TGTGATCGCCAGTAACGCCATCCACGCAACACACAGCTTGACTGACTCCTCCCGCCATGTTCGCGAATTTCTGAAGACCGACGGCTTCCTCATGATCGTGGAGATGACCCAGCCGGTTCACTGGGTGGACATTATCTTCGGATTGTTTGATGGCTGGTGGCTCTTCGCCGACGGTCGGGATCATGCGATTGCCTCCGCAGGCTGGTGGGAGAAGGTCTTTCAGTCAGTGGGATATGGCCAAGTAGACTGGACAGATGGCCATCGCCCAGAGGTGCAGATTCAACGCGTGATAATCGCCTTTGCCTCAGGGCCTCGCTATGGCCGGCAGCCTCTCCCGCCGGCACCTCCCCCGAATCTCGTTCCAGGAAGCCATGCTAGTCGACAGGCCGCGGTAAATGAGTATCTCGATAAGTATACGAAAGGGTTCACACTGCCCGCTCAAACCTCTAACCCAGACATCTCCAACTCAACCAGTTATTGGGAGAAGCAATGTGTGCTAATCACCGGCGCGACCGGCAGCCTGGGGGTGCATCTCGTGGCCGCCGTAGCAGCATTGGACGACGTCCAAACCGTGATATGCCTAAACCGGCGCAGCCCAATGGACCCAGACCTTCGCCAACAACAGGCATTCGAACGACGCGGTATCCTCCTCGAAGCCGCCAGCATGTCCAAGATCCGCGTCCTACAAACCGACAGCAGCAAGCCGCAACTAGGACTCACCGATGAAGTCTACAGCAGCCTCGTAACATCCACAACGCACATCATCCACAACGCATGGCCCATGACCGGTAAACGACCCCTATCGGGCCTGGAACAACAATTCCAAGTCATGCGAAACCTCCTCGATCTAGCAGCACAATGCTCCTCTACTCGACCAGCCAACGTCCCGCGGATCGTCTTCCAATTCATCTCTAGCATCGCAACAGTGGGATATTACCCTCTATGGAGTGGACAGACCCTGGTGCCCGAGACCTGCATGGGGATCGAGTCCGTACTGGCCAACGGCTACGGCGAAGCCAAGTACGTCTGCGAGCAGATGCTCGACCGCACTCTGCATCAATATCCCGACCGGTTCCGCGCTATGGCTGTCCGACTGGGTCAGATTGCGGGATCCCGAACAAGCGGGTACTGGAACCCGATGGAGCACCTGTCCTTCTTGTTCAAATCGGCGCAGACATTGCAAGTGTTCCCAGACTTCACAGGTGATTTGTGCTGGACGCCCGTTAATGACGTCGCTGCTACGCTGAGTGACCTTCTACTTCTATCTCCGCACTCAAGTAGTATGACCGACCAACCAATATACCACATCGATAATCCAGTCCGACAATCCTGGAGCGAGATGGTGCCGGTGTTGATCGATGCGCTCGGCATCCCGGCTCAAAATGTTTTTCCATTTGCGGACTGGGTCTGTCGGGTGAGGGCATTCCCCGGTCAAGTGGAATGGGATAACCCTGCTGCATTGTTGATTGATTTTTTGGATGATCATTTCTTGCGCATGTCGTGTGGAGGGCTGTTGTTGGATACGAAGCGAGCGTGTGAGCATTCGCCAACTTTGGCGGCTGTTGGGCCGGTCACTGCCGAGTTAGCGAGGAAGTATATTCAGTCATGGAAGGAGATGGGATTTTTGAATCCTTGAGTCTAATATTTGGTTGATTTGTTTGGTAGTTGCTAGATAATTTGGACAATGAACTGTTACTTAGTGATTGTGGACTATCACGTAGAGTCTAGATTACGTAGGCTAGAGAGAACGATAATCTGCAGAAGTCGCTGTTGGGATAGTTGAATTGGCGCTCCTGATGGCTGATGATATGTATTCCATTTCTTTGGCTTTAGTATCCAAATTGATTAGATAGGACTACACGAGGGTAACTTGCTAGTCTTGTGTACCACAAGCATGGCAATATATATACTACCAATCTGCCTAGGCTTGAATGCTGCTGAGTCGCTGCCTAATATACTACCATCACAACAGACTAGGAGAACCAGACACTATAAATAGAAACCATAGTCAAATATCTAAAGAGTTACAAGCATGTACAACTGGCATCTTATCATCTAATCTAGTGAGCAAAGGACGGAAACGCGCGTACGACCATGACGGCCTCCCGGGCTGCCCCGAGCTTCGAGACCAGGATCACGACCGGCGGATATCCTGAGCTGCTGCTTCCTGTCGAGCCAATCGATTCACGGTCTTCAAATATTTCAAGGCGTCCTGCACCTCCCCTAATAGCTTTGGGGTATCATTACGGGCAACAGGGTGCTGCAATACCTCTGCACATAGACCTAGTAGAATAGGAGTGAAGGGATGCACCTTGAAGCAGCTGAAATGGCGTAGATTACGTGCTAGAGCGACGGTCTCGCGGACCGCGTGGAGCGCGCATGCCTCGTAGTCGGGTAGGAGGCTGACTGTTTCGGGCTCCCAGGGCGTGGACTGGAGGATGTCATACAGGGAGAGGACACCGGCTTGCCCGATCATCTTGGCAAACAGGAGCATAGGGTCGCTGGATTCCGCGGCTGTGGGAAGCGGGAAGCACAGCTGCAGGTGGGCTGTGAGCGTCGTGTCGATCCACTGATGGCGAGTCCAGATATCCTGAAGCGGATTTCCTCGGAGGAGCTCAGCCATAGATAGATGGCGGTGTGACAGAGTGCGGCCACTGATAGTGGCTAGCAGGATACATTTAGCAAAGGAGGATAGGGGACTGGTAATATCCGTACCCGCGAGTGCTTCGGCCAAAAAACCCATTGAAATAGGGTGACCACATTGGAATTCACTCTCGGGCATGGGGAGTCGGGTCAGCGCTTGCTCCGTCAGGGTGAGAGAGCCCTTATGGCGTAAATTTAGGGAACAGTCCATTATGTAGGCCATCCACACGGTGCGTCGTTTCTCCTCGGCCACCACCCAGTTGGAATCTGGGTCTAGGTCTAGGTCGAGCAGCGGGAGAGGCGAAGCGTCTATCTCCGGCAGGCGCAGCAGCTGCACTAGTCGGAATACACGACCGGCACTCATCCAGCCGCGAGAATATGAGACCTGCATAAACTCGTAAATGGCGATGAGGATCCACGCTTGCACCTGCTCGAAATCCGGGGCTGTCAACAAAGTGTCGTCCGACTCGAGGGACTCCAGTGTGTGGCGCGTGGTCCGATACAGTGCTACGCGTACCTCGGGCAACTGGCTACTCACGCCAGCGGCCAGCGTGCGAATAGCCTGCTGCAGCCCCCGTCGGTTTGCCGATTGCTGAGGTTCCCGTGCCCAGGAAAAGTATCGATGGCGTTGCAATATGGGGACCATCGGCTGAACGCGCTCGAAAAACACCTGGTCCCTGAGCCGGTGAGTCTGGATGACTTCAATCTCGCAATGGAAGGGAAGGTGAAACATACAGGTCTTCCAGAATGTTTTCGGATACTTCCTCAGGGGGGTCCGGGGACAGGGAAGCTGGCGAAGAGGCGGACAGCGCTTTATCCAGCAGCTCATCGTCCGAGATGGGATCAACGAGCATGCCATCGCGCTGCTCCAGAAGACACCGCTCGAGGGTGGCTGTTCCCAGGAGACATAATCAGCAACAAGCTCAATCCTCAGGAAGGAAATTCAAGGCCCTACCGATGCGGCCCTTCAAGGCCTTTAGATGACCCTTCTTTGGACCACGCGCGGGGCGTGCAAGGTTGGTGACACAATAAACACCAGCATCAACGCAGTTCTGACACTGCGGCTGGCGGTCGCACCGTAGCTTCCGGCGACGGCATTCCTCACAGGCCGAACCAGGGCCCTGGCGCGAGGTCTTGTGGTTTGTAGTGTTGTTTTTGGTGGTTGTGGTTCGGGAGTCTGACATGATCAGTCACCGTCACAGTTACGATCACAATCACGATCCATCAAGCGCGATAGGCTGACTTCTTCAGGGAAAGAAGGACCCTTATCTTGACATCCAGCGTACTTAACCAACTCAAGCTGCTGCCTCATGGCCACAAAAGGCTCGCCGATCCAGTGTGCAGGAGGCCAATGGCATGCCAAACACGGCACGTCCCACACCAAGCGCCACCAAATCGTCGTTTATCTCCCCCTCATCATGAGTCTCTCATGGCTGACCGATAAATTTCACAGCCCGCAAGAAGGATTGAAGGATTGAAGGATGAAAGGCCATACCACATCCACTTGCGGCTTCCAAAAGGGCGGCGTGTTTGCCATCGGCTCACCTCATACTTCCCCGTCTTTTCCTTTCCCGTGCGTCAGCAGCGTGCAGCAATGGATTTGTGAATATACGAGGCGACCGGGGGGAGATTCCTGGTCGTGGCTGACCTAAGAGAATCCCCGAGACGAACATAAGCCCGCCGATAAGCAGAGCCTTGTTGGCTCCCCAATCAACATCGATGGCCGGCAGAGGAATGCTGAAACGGCCAACCTAGCATTGCGAAGAATATAGGATTGTCTCTTATCAGCGCTGGAAGGGTCTGATCACTCGCTGCCATATGGCAGAGTGCAGTATGCAGGATAGGTGCAGGAGATCCTGCTGCTCGTTCAGCTCGCCTACCCTGCGTTCTGTCGGCCCAGACCATGTGGAAGGACGGGAAGCACGGTGCGTGCACAGACGCCGGCGGGTTTTGCTCATAGTATGGGGCCAATCGCAGGGCGCTGGAAGAGAGGAGCAGGTCCACCATAGGCCGAAATGAAGCTTTGTGGCTCTTCCGGGCCGCCAGGTTGATTTACTTCTTCAACACCCCATATGAGCTTGGCCTGCGAGGCTGGAAGCGATTGGATCATCTAGTCAACTAACGAATCCTGCTGTTGCCACCCCCATTTCCCCTCATTGATCAGTGGAACGTGGGAGAAAACTCCGGTGGAAAGTCCGGGTAATTAAGATGACCGACCCCGCAGTATCATTTTTTTTTTCCTGACTAGTACTACTACGGAATATAATCGAAGGCATCGATAAAGAATAATCACACCAATCAACGAGCCCTGCACATCATGATTCATCACTCCTGAAAGCCGATGTCTCATAGCCGGCTTACGGCAACGTCACCACCAGCTTCTTAGCCGAAACCCCTTGTTTCAAGGCATTCAAGGCCCCTTGAACCGCCTCCAATCCAGTGCCCACCACCTCGGCCTCGGGCGCAGCAATGAAGCTTCCGTGTGCTAGAGCTTCACCGAGGTATCCGTAGAGCTGATGGCTGACCTCATTATCCTTGACGGTGCTGGCGAAGATGAACTTGCAAGACACTCCGTCCGGCACGTTCGGGGGTGCAGGCATCGACAAAGCGACAAACTTGTCACCCTCGGACTCGGCAACCAGGTTGAGACAAGCCTCCGCCGCTTCATTGCGGGTCTGAGGAACCACGCCAGCAATAGCTAGGGCTCCTGCGCACGTCTTGCCTCGAAAGGCCTCTCGGAGATCGTCACGGATTGACGGTTTCTTGTAGTCAAACGCCGCCGTAGCCCCTAGACTCTTGACCAAGTCGAAATTATGCGGGGAACAAGTAGTGATGACCTCGTATCCAGCCGCGACAGCCAGCTGGATGGCGTTGCAGCCCACACTGGTGGCTCCACCCCAAATCAATAGGGTCTTCCCCGTCCGGGTTGGGGTCAGCGACGGGATCTGCAGACCCAGATAGTCCTTTTGGAATAGACCCACGATCGCGGTGGAGAACGCCAGAGGGACAACAGCTGCCTGTTGATATTCGAGAGCGTGGGGCAGAGGAGAAGCCATGTTCTCTAGCAACACCACATACTGTTGGAAGGCTCCTTCAGCGCTGTTGTTGCTGTTGGTTCCCACTGCGTGGCCAACCACGCGATCACCAGGCTTAAAGCGGGTGACTCCCGGACCAATCGCAACGACCTCACCCGCGATGTCCTCTCCCAGCACCAGTGGATAAGTGACCCACGGAAAGAGAGTCTCACCCATCATCTGAGTGGCATAGTCAACCGCATTGACTGCCAGGGCATGGACCCGCACGACGATGCGGTTCTCTCCCGCTGTTGGGTACGGCGCTTCCTGGACGACCAGCGACTGGTTCTTGCCGGGAACGATGGCGGCGAAGTTGGTGGGCATATTGATGATTGAGATTTGAAAAGATAGATACTCAAAGAAATTGACGTCAGATATGCCAAGAAGTAGTTAATAAGTAAGACGGAATAACTGCTTATTTACGGCTGATGGGGCAGTGGGGGAATCGTCTGGCAAGAGGGGCAGTGAACTATATACAAAGCAGATCGGGTTTGGTGCAATCCCGACGGCCAGGAGATAAGATAGGCTCTCTTAACTCCGAAAGCTTGCGCATATTTATGCCCTTCCTTTCATTTTGTTGGATGATCGACCTTCTTGCGTAATGTTTCTCAGGGTCGTTCCAAACTCCCCGTCGGGATTCAATGCCGGCGGAGTTTCTGTTATTGACGGCCATGAATGTGTTGGTTTATTGTTTCCCCTAAATGGAGGGCGATGAAGTACATCTTTCTGTTCAGATCTACACAGGATCAGCGGTCATCTGTAACGATTACGTTCAACTATCAAAAAGGAGAGCTGTCTCTCGATAGCTTTGCGAGCGCGGCTAGTCATTCGACCATGGCCCCTCTGCGACCCACCGATGCTGACGCCAGGAATGCATCTTCCGATACCCCCGAAAAGGATTTACCATCAGCGGGTACCAGAGAGTCCGGCACTCTCACGCTAATAGCAGTACTGCGGGCGAAGCGACGCGCTGTGTTCGCCCAGGTGGTCCTGGTGGCCGTGGTCGAGAACAGCCCCGCCTTCTCGCGCCCCTAGGAGTGTGTGATTATGGCGATGGTCTAGCTTTCCTCGCTGGATTAGGCAGCTGAGATGTATTGGCCAGCTGTGTTAATTCGGAGGACGATGAGTATGGTCCAAAAGTCCGATCGAAGGGCAAAAGCAATATGAGGACTCTTGGAACGACGTTGTGACTTTTACCCACCCATTTTCTCGTTCCAATGGTGAGTTAATCCTACATGGCATACAGGTAGATGGAACTTATATTGATATATATTGCTATTTGAGCACATGCTGCCTACGTAGGACAAGACAAATGTTTTGCCATACAGGATGGAAAATATATTGTATCGTCATTAGGAAGCATTCGCACAACTGTCTTGTTTCTTTCCATCAAGAAATTCCTGTATAGCCGCAACAATGACCTCGTGGTCGGCAGCCTCCTCCTGCAGCCCACTCACAGCAATTACCCCCACGACCCCTTCGACTCCCTCCACGCGAATCGGAAACCCACCCGCCTGCAAGGCATATTCGTATCGTTCCACCGGTGACAGAGCAAATTGCTCAGCCAACACCTCTATCCCCTCCATAACTGAAGGCCCGACACACACGGACTCATTTGCATTAGTTGGCTTCAACCGGCAGTGGAGGTACCAGGTAGACACCTGCCAGCGGAGGACTGTCTTCGTCTTGCGCTTAAGCCAAAGAACATGGTCCACTCGGGTTCCCGGCTCTGTAGCACAGTGGAAAACTAACTGCGGAGCTGATGAGCCAGACAGGCAGATGGAGATCACGGCTGGTCGTCTCTTATGGGCGGGCAAAGCCAGTATGTGGGATCGTAGCGCCACCCCAAGTGTCCATGCCGTGGTTGTCGTAAAGCTGGGAAAGACCAAGGCTTGTTCTTGGGCCAAAACAAGGGCGGGCTATCCCGTCTATCTGATTAGCCAGAAGTTATTATATTGTCGGCGGGGTGTGGGCATGGAAGATTGATTTTCTCACGTCAGCCGGGTTATGCGATGAAACAGGCTCTTGGGGGGCCATGGTAGCTGCCAGAATACCTGGGTAATCCGAGCCAGAATTTGAAGCGGTGAAAGACCTAAGGTCCTTCAAGAGCGCTTCCTTCGACTTAAAGTAGAGTTCGGGCATATAATGCAAACTGTCAGTGGGCCATCGTCCGGGATCGTCTGGCTGGAGTTTTTGATAGTCCGCATTGGAGCAGGTTTAGCGAGACTATGCTAAAAGCTGATCCTGCTGCTCCTGGTCCTATCACGAATTGCCAAGATGAACAGTCTTAAGGAGATCGTGCCCTGCCAAGCTGCCTTTGTGCCAGGAAGACCACTTACACTACCCACTATCTCGTTTCGTCATGGCTGTACATCCTCCCGCCGTGGCAGACGAGACCTCCCCACTACTGCCATCGCAAGATGGGCCTGGACTTAATGGCGTCGTTCCTGCAGCAACCAAGCCCAAAGAACTTCAATCATCAATGGGTCAGGTCGCGCTACTTTGTTGTGCTCGAGCAATTGACCCGCTGGCCTTCTTCACTATTTTCCCGTTCGTCAACCAGATGATTGCCGACACGGCAAGCATCGACGAAGCCGACGTCGGCTTCTACAGCGGCATCATTGTCAGTCCTCTACCTCCTCTCTTAGTACCATTACGCTAACAACTTCCACCTTCAGGAATCGTTGTTTTCTGTGACTCAGATGATGTTAATGATCCCCTGGGCACGAGCAGCAGATCGGATGGGACGCAAGCCGGTCCTGATCCTCTCCCTGGCCGGTTTATCCATCTCATCTGCGCTGTTCGGATTTAGTCGGACTTTAGGCCAGATGGTTTTCTTCAGATGCTTGGCGGGGACGTTCGGTGGGACCGTTGTGTACGTGATATGCTGACACGTTGGGACGGGTGAGACGCTGATCATGAATTGCATAGTACTGTCCGAGTGATGATTTCCGAGAATAGCACTACAGACACCCAGGCCCGGGCATTCAGCTACTTCTCCTTGGCGAACACCATTGGAACGGTGATTGGCCCTCTGCTTGGTATGCTAATTTTTATCCCTGCCGTCAGCACGCCTGACACATGCTGATGTGGGCTCCGTAGGCGGAGCACTTTGTCGTCCTGGTGGCGTGTTCCGTCCCTACCCGTATGCGTTGCCCACTGTCGCAGCCGGAGCTTTTGGAGTAACTGTCACGGTTGCCTGTCTGATGTTCGTCAACGAGGTGAGAGGCCACGGGTAAGGAACAATGACACAATTCGCGGAAGCTAAGATGGGCCCTTCAGACGCGGAAACCCGCAGATCATACACCTCATGAAACAGCCTCGCCAACATGGACTAGTGCCAAGATCCTCCGATCCCAAGGCGTGCTACCAGTTCTCTACATTCACGGCCATTCGATGATGTTGGCATTCGCGTACACTGCGGGTAAGCTCTCTTTCGAGCGTCCCAAATATCTACAAACTCTAACCAGCTCTCTTATTGAAGTTTCCCCGGTATTCTACTTCACATCACCACGTCCAGGCGGCTACGGTTTCTCTCCATTCTATATATCTCTCTTCCTTGGCGGATCGGGGATCGCTCAAACCATCTGGCTAGTGCTAGTATACCCGCCACTACACAAACGTCTCGGCACGGGTAACATCTTACGAGGCTTATGTTTCGTTTGGATTATTTTCTTGGCTGCTACTGTAGGAGCCAGTGTTCTCCACCGTCATGGTGAGATGGTAGCGTTCTGGATTTTGGCGCCGCTAGCTTTGATACTAGGCAGCAGTGTTGCAATGCAGCTGAGTGAGACACATCCCAAATTTCCTCACTACTCTATGGAAGTGGAGGACTGATAGCTAATGGTATTAAGCGGCTATGCAACCCGCGCTCGACTCCGTCTCACCGTCACCCGCCGCCTTAGGCACGCTCAATGCCATGTCCTTGGCCATCATCAGCTTTCTTCGCGCTGTCGCCCCAGCAATGTTCACTTCCATGTACGCGAGTACCCTTAAGCTTAGTAGTCCTGGATTTTACACATTTTGGCTCGTGCTGGGTGGGCTAGTTCTTGTCCTGGCATTTACACTGCGCTGGCTGCCTGAGCAGGTGGAGAAGGCTTCTCGCAAGCCGGGTCGGTCGAGCGCCTGAGGACAGAAGATATTATGATCGTGTTGTCGCATCAGTGTCGACAATTCTTTCCCTTACTATCTATTCTCTTAACGAAAAATCACTGTCCCGGGTTATTAGACATGGGTGTTGACGTCTTCGAGTTTATTGAACATAGTACCAAGGATACGTGGTGATTAGCGGAAATAACTGCAAGCCGGGACCGTGGCTGAATCTCAGAGTTCAGAATGCTGCTAGATAGGTTTGATAGTAACTGGAACATACTATACAAGCGAATAACGTACCAATCATGGTACTATTCATGAACAAGCATCCAAGAATTAAAAGAACTAAATTTGCGCAACGGGGACAGTACCACTCGACCCTACATGATACAGCTCAATGCGTTTACGCAGCGAGATTTAAAATTTGTATCAGACATCCTACGGGCGTTCTCAGGCGCTCTACAAGGGTTTTCAGGTAGTGAAAATCACTAAGGGATGCCCTTACCCTCTTTGGAGCAAGTGTATTATGGCAGTCGATGCATGGGAGATACCAGAGAAGGGGTTCTAATGCAGGTGACGTGTTCCACTCATAGTCCTCGTCCTAAATATTGGGTGACATCGAGCTTCCGGTATGTTATGACGATGCTTACTCTGTTTCACTTGCTAGATGGGGAATTCCAGACCTCGAATACGGAGGACCCAAGAGTTATCGTATTTGAAGAAGGATCTGTACACCCTGAATGGGGTCACCCAGAGTCAGACTTCCGGTATATACACACTGCTTTCTCGTTCTTGTTATGTTTCAATTCAACGACCAAAAGACTCGCCTGATGAGAAAATCAGATTAGACGTCTGAACATGCAAGATATAGAATGAGCTCCAGGACCAGAGCTTCGATTGGGATTCCATCACTATAATTTAAGCCCTTGGCTCGAGCATGTGACTATGGTAATAGGCTGAGTAGATCTAACTGTCGATCTGTCAACGGCGCCGACGACGACTCCGTTGCATCGCCTTGTAGTTGACCTTTAACGTTTAATAAATCTTGAATAAGCCGAAACAAAACTTATATTCATTATATGTAAGTAGGAAGAATGTGATTGTCGTTACTCACTCTGCAAATCTAAACCCCCGATGCAAAAGCCAATTAATGCCGCGGTATGGACACCGGCACAACTGATATATATACACATGTTACGCAGCAACTGATCTAGGGCAACGGCACCGGATAATTGAAACTGAAAAGCTCATCCGGATCCCACTTAGACTTCAACTGCGAGAGCTTAGGCAGGTGTTGTGGCGAGTACCAAACATCAGCGCCTTCGTCGCCATGAGCGTAATTTAAGTATATTTCCATCTCGCTAAAGCCACTAGTACGCTGGAACTGTGAGCGGATGGATCGCATGAAGGAATTGACGGCGTTATCGAGGGTAGAATTATCACTGGGGTAGGAGTTTTCGAATAGCCTATACCCAGTGTGTTAGTCATGGAATGAATCGTGTTGGATGGCAGAAGCATACAGATGAGAATTGATGTTTCGGTAGCCATAGCCGTAGGAGGTGCTGTTGGCTGGAACGGCTGCCGCCGCCGCTGAACTGTAGCGGTCGACCACGAATATTCCCGAGTAGTCGGGATGAGCCTGGGAGAAGGCCTGCAGCTCATTGAAGAAGGTTGTGTAGGTGTCGATGTTTGTCTCGGCCAGTCCCAGTCCCCAGGTGTTGAGATAGGAACCGGTGGTGCAGGCATCACCGTCCGCTCCAAAAGCCATCGAGCTTGTCACGTTGGGCCAGGCTACCATCATTAGATTGGTTTCTGTTGCATTGAGCGCTGTAAAATTGGTCAGGTAAGATACCCCCTCTTCTTTTGGCCCGTAGTAGATCGCATTAACGATCAGCTCCATCTGTCACCCCGTGTGGGTTAGTCTTGAAAGTCATGAAAGTGAGGCTACGTGTGAACGAACCTCTTGAGTGGTTTGATTGAATCCCGAGTATGCCGTCAATGACAGCTCCGGGGGAAGCGTCTCGTCAAAAGACTGGAAGATCTCCCACACGGACCTATTCTCGCTAGCGGGGAATAGGTAATTCGCGCTCATGGCCAGGCCGTTATTTGTGGCATTGTAGATCTTGTAAGTGGCTGAGGTGATGATGCCAAAGTTGGCACCGGCGCCGCGGATGGCCCAGAAGAGATCGGCATTTTCAGAGGTAGATACAATGAGGACATCACCGCTGGGCGTTACCAGCTCGACGGACAGTAGGGAGTCGAGAATCAGCCCATGCAGGCCTTGTAGATTTCCTATCCCGCCGCCGATAGTCGCCCCAACGAGTCCGACACACGGTGCGGTACCGGTAGCTGGGTAAATGCTGTTAGCATAGGGCTGTAGACATTTTGGATGCTGGGGGGGGGGAGAGCAAGCAGCATACGCAGCTCTTTACCCGCCTCGTAGAGAGGCGGAATGATGTCCTCAAAGCGTACTGCTCCACCAACGGTCATGGTATTGTTGGAAGCGTCAATCGAAACAGTATCGAAGTTGCTAATATCAATTTCGATGCCATTGGTACAATTAACATATGTGATGGTCGCGCCGTGGCCGCCCCCTGTGGCGAGAAAAGGGATCTTGTTGGATGCAGCTAGGGTCACCTAGTCCGCAATTTTGCGGTGAGCCGTGGTACTTGCTGCCTGCTAATTGAATGGAAGGCGTCGTCTTACAATGTTTTGTATATCTTTGACCGTAGCTGGCTTGATAGCCCCGATGTAGGTGGGGGCGCCGTATGTAGTCCATCGCTGTGTTACGTCCTCTGTGTAGTTTGTGTCGGAAGGTAGAAAAATTTGGGCGCCCGGAGACAGGCTGGACCTGAAGATGGATGTGATGTTGTGCGTGGCAGCAGACGAGAGTGTGGCCAGCCCCAGAGAGCAAAGAAGAATTGTCCAAAACATGATTGGCCGACGAGGACTGAACGAGAAGACAAACGGCGAGACACTTTGAAGTAGGTCTCCCTTATCAGTAGCGCACTATATATTTTTGAGTCCTGGATTTCCAGTGATGGGGATTATGGTACTCCGAGGGAAGCGCAATAACTCCGTGCTTATGCGTTTTGTCAGACCGGCTTGAGAGTGACTGGAAGGATACGGGTCCCTGTTGGCTAGCAAAAGTCCGAAGGGAAACTCCATCGCTTGGCTGCAAATGTGATTATCTCAGCCCAAGCGCACTCTGCTTCCACGCGAGAGGAACGTTAAGCCAGTGTTTCAGAGGCGAGGAGCCACGCGAGAACTGCAGGGCCGTCCGATGCACTGCGGAGTAATTCGCCGGACTTGCCCTAAACAGGAAGTAGAACCAGGACCACCTTCCATGTAGTTGGTACGGCAGAGTATCATATCCGCAAAGAGAGTCAACGAGGATCAACTGATGGAACATAATGAAAATAGGCTTCATGGCCCTATCCAAAAATCAGCCCATTTCAGAACGGTGATTTCCCCTCCATTCGACGCTACATATCCCTCTTGAACATTAACGTAGATTGTACATTCTTTTCTCTTCAGACCTGTGAGCGACTTACCCACTTACAATGGCCGGCGAGTATTCAACGGCCCCGATGGCCATCATAGGCATGACCTGCCGCTTCTCTGGCGGCGCCACGAGCCCCGAGAAGTTGTGGGACATGATCGTACAACGGCGATCCGGCTGGTCGGAGATACCAACCTCACGATTTAATGCAAATGGCCTTTACCATCCAAACGGCGAGCGGGTGGGGACGGTAAGACATGCTTATTCTGTCCCTTCAAGTGATCAAGTTGACCCATGCCTTTCTCTCTAGACCCACGTGAAAGGCGGTCACTTTCTCGAAGATGATATTGCCTGCTTCGATGCGGCCTTCTTCGGCATGGCCTCAGAAACCGCTAGTGTAGGATTGTTCCATCGTATTCTCCCAGGAGGCCTACCACCAAAATAAACTGACATGAAGGCTGTTAGGCTATGGACCCGCAATATCGGATGGAACTCGAGGTTGTCTACGAGGCTCTGGAGAGCGGTATGTAGTCACCTTTCACGCCTATCACCGCCCGAGGACTGACACATTTGCTTGCAGCGGGGATTCCAATGGAGTCCATTAAAGGAACGAATACGTCAGTATATGGGGGTGTGATGTTTCGCGACTACCACGACACTCATAGCCGTGACTTGGACACGCTACCTCGATACTTTATGACAGGCAATGCTGCCACGATGGCGTCGAACCGCATTTCCCACTTTTATGACCTTCGCGGGCCGAGCATGACCGTTGATACAGGTTGCTCCACAAGTCTGACGGCTCTGCACCTGGCTTGCCAGAATTTGCGCAATGGAGAATCCAACATGTCTATCGTGACGGGAGCAAGTCTCATGATAAACCCCGACGTTTTCCTCAGCATGTCCAATATCGGGTGAGTAACTTCTAGCTGTCACACGTTGAACAAGTGGCACTGATAAATGTGACCAAGCTTTTTGTCGCCCGACGGTATATCGTATGCCTTTGACAGCCGTGCCAACGGTTATGGGAGAGGTGAAGGAGTGGGTGCCTTACTCGTTAAGCGATTAGACGATGCTCTGCGCGATGGCGACTCCATCCGCGCCATCATCCGCGAGACCGGGGTGAACCAGAACGGTAAGACCCCCAGCATCACAGCCCCACAACAAGCAGCCCAGGAAGCCTTGATCCGCCAGTGTTATGAACGGGTCAACTTGGATCCCGCACAGACTACATACGTTGAGGCGCACGGAACCGGTACTCCAGCCGGCGATCCGCTGGAGGTCGGCGCGCTGGCAGCCGCGTTGGGAGGCAGTCGATCGGCGGAGCACCCGTTGTATCTCGGCTCTATCAAGGCCAATATTGGACACACTGAGGCTGCCAGTGGCGTGGCCAGCGTCATAAAGGTGGCCCTAGCGCTGGAGAAGGGACAAATTCCGCCGAATACGCAACTGAATACACCGAACAGTGAGCCGCGGTTAAATGATAGAAACATGGAGGTAGGCTACAATACCTTATTTGGTAGAAAACTCTCATGCGAACGGTTATGTTTGAACAGGTTCCTGTATCAACGCAAAGATGGCCTGTGGGGAAGGGTCCCCGACGTGCCTCCGTCAACAATTTCGGTTTTGGCGGTAGCAATGCTCATGCCATTTTGGAATCGCCCCCGGTAGGTTCCACCAACGGCACCCATGTAAATGGAACGCACGCAACAAACGGAACGGCTGGAATGAACGGCACAACTGGAGAAAATGGGGCAAATCGAACGAACGGGCAGCTAAAGAGCAATGGTCCGGTGGTAAATGGCAACAAAACCAACATTTTCAAAAGGGAAATCCCATGGGTGTTCCGCTTGAGTGCAAAGGATGCCCAGACTTGCCAGCAGATGGCCGCCGACCTAAGTGCCTATATAGAGTCCCACCCACCAGTCGACGAGGAAGCCTTCCTAGACCGCCTTGCATACACCCTGGGATCGCGCCGTTCTGTCTTCCCATGGACCGCAGCTGTGTCGGCCAGGTCTCTGGCAGATTTAACACGGGCACTGGACGATGATGAGCGTTTGGTGCCGTCACGCGCAGCCCCCTCTTTACGGTTGGGATGGGTATTCACTGGCCAAGGGGCTCAGTGGTATGCTATGGGTCGTGAACTAATTGCCACTTACCCGGTATTTCGGTCAACCATTTTGGAGTGCGACCGCTACATGACGGAGATGGGGTCGACGTGGACATTAATGGGTGGGTATTGAGCGCTCTACCTTAAAGCAACCCTTGCTAATTATACATAAAGAGGAACTGCATAGAGAGGAATCCACTTCACAGGTCAACAACATCATCTACAGTCTGGGTCTGGCCACCGCCATCCAGATAGCCCTGGTGGAGCTGCTATGGTCCTGGGGCATCCATCCCACAGCTGTGACAGGTCATTCGAGCGGTGAGATTGCAGCAGCGTATGCATCGAAAGCCCTGGACATGAAGTCAGCCATTGGCATTGCTTACCTTCGTGGAGTGTTAGCTGAGAAGTTTGATGACAAGATTCTCGGCAAAGGGGGCATGATGGCCGTTGGGCTTGGACGTGAAACGGTTGAACATTACCTTAGTCGCGTCACTGCGGGGTACTGCGTCGTGGCCTGCGTAAACAGCCAGTATAGCGTCACAATCTCAGGTGATATCCCAGCAATCGACCAGCTTGAACAGTTGCTGCAGGAAGACCAAGTCTTCGCTCGGCGTCTCCGCGTCAATGGGGCGTTCCACTGCGAGCAGATGCGCCCTATGGCTGACCTATTCGATTGGAGTCTACGCTACCTGCTCACCCCTCATCCCGACTTCGGGTCAGTCCTGTTCTCCTCCCCCAAGACAGGCTCGCGCATCCAAGACGGCACTGTACTAGCGACCTCGTCGCACTGGGTAGGAAATATGTTGCAGGCGGTTGAGTTCGAGAGCTCCTTCCGTCATATGTGTTTTGGTGATCCAAGCCCAAAAGGCGCCAAAGACACCCAAGATGTCGACCTAGTACTCGAGATCGGGCCACATGGAGCGTTAGGGGGTCCGATTCAACAGCCCATGACCCTCCCCGAATTTGAGGGTAGTGGGATCTCTTACCTGCCCACTCTGGTACGAAAGCAGGATGCCGTCTTCGCCATGCAGCGCCTAGCGATTGAACTAACTCACAGAGGCTACCCCGTCGATCTCAATGCCGTCAACTTCCCCCACGGCCCGCCCTCTCTTTCCATCTTGCACGACCTTCCATCATACCCATGGAATCATAGCACGAGATACTGGCTCGAACCCCGGCGAAACCGAGCCGACAGACAGCGGCAAGCGCCGCCCTCGGATTTGGTAGGTTACTCTCAACCAAGCATCACGCCGCTTGCACACACTTGGCGCCACATTATTCGCTTAACAGATCTGCCCTGGCTGGGAGATCACCGGGTGCAGTCGAGCATTGTCTTCCCCGGTGCTGGCCTGATTAGTATGGCCATAGAGGGCATGCGGCAAGTGGCGGCGGGCCGCCAGCAAACTGTGTCCGCGTACGAGCTGCGCGACGTAGATATTGCCAAAGCCCTCACGGTGCCCGAGGCAGATGAGGGAGTCGAAGTGCAATTAAATATCCGCCCGTGTGATGAGCAGATGCTGGGGACGAAGGACTGGCTGGCTTTCCAGATCTTCTCCGTCTCTGGCGACAGCCGCTGGACGGAGCACTGCAGTGGACGAATCTCAGTTATCGCAACCTCTGACAGCACTCCTCTCCCGTCTGCCATACCATCACAGTCGGAGGACCTGTATAACCGCCGCATTGACCCCCGCTATATGTGGGCAGCCATGCGATCCGTGGGCATATACCATGGGCCTCTGTTTCAAAACATCCACCAAGTACTGGCGAAGCCGTCCGCATCTCGCACCATTTTTGCTATCGCGGATACGGCTGCCGCCATGCCGAAGAAGTCCCAGACACCCCATGTGCTGCATCCCACCACGCTGGACTCGGTCTTCCAGGCTGCCTATACACTTTTGCCTGAGTCTGGCGCGCGTCTGCCTTCCGCCATGGTTCCCCGCCATATTCGGTCTGTCCGAGTGTCAGCGCAGATCTCCAGTAGTCCAGCACATGAGCTGGAGGCATATGCCACGCTGAATCGGGATTATGACGCGCAGTCATTCGAGACATCCCTCACTGTGGTGGACGCCAAGGACAGGAACAGCCCGGTGCTCGAAGTGGATGGCTTGACCTGTCAGTCACTTGGACGAGCCCTGGATCGTGAGGCAGATCCACACGAGAATGAAATCTGCAGCCGGTGGGAATGGGCTCCAGATATTGGCACACTTGATGCGGCCGCCTGCAAGGACCGGATTCGCTGTGCGCCAGAGGCAGCGGAGATAGAGACGATGCGCGACCTCCGCCAAGCCACTATTCTATACATCCTTGACATTGTCTCCAGCCTGACGGTGACAGATGTTCAGCAGTTGCGGGGACATCTTAAGAAATTCTACGTGTGGATGGTGGAGCAGCTGAAAAAAGCCAGTCGCAATCAGTTCGCGCCCGACAGCGCCCAGTGGCGCGATATCAGCGCGGCGGACAAGGCAGCCCTGTACGAGAAGGTCGGTCGGACCAGTGTGAATGGTGAGATGCTCTGCCGATTGGGTCCACTTGGAGCATCTTTTCTACGGCAGGAAATGGCTCCTTTAGAGGTAATGTTGGAAAACCGGCTTTTATTCCGCTACTACCTCGAGGCGCTGAAATGGGATCGGTCGACACGCCAGGTAAGTGAGCTCGTCAGGCTCTGCACGCACAAGAATCCCCGAGCCAAGATTCTAGAAATCGGAGCCGGCACAGGAGGCGGTACGCAGGTGATCTTGGAGGCCCTGGGCAAAGAGAATGGTTCCTCGACGGGCGCTCGATTTGGCCGATATGACTTCACGGATATCTCTGCGGGCTTCTTCGAGGCTGCCAAAGAACGCTTCGAAGACTGGGCGGACTTGATGAACTTCCAGAAGCTAGATATTGAACACGATCCCGTGGCTCAAGAGTTTGAAGAGGGCTCCTATGATGTAGTAATTGCCTGCCAGGTGCTTCATGCCACCAAGTCGATGGATCGTACTCTCACACACGTTCGCAAGCTTCTGAAGCCCGGGGGCAAATTGATTCTAATGGAGACCACGCGCGACGAACTAGATGTTTTCTTCGCATTCGGCCTTTTGCCAGGATGGTGGCTGAGTATTAATTCCCCTTCCTGGCACTTCTCATTATATTTGGTATATGGCACTGATTATGTTCTTTAACAGGCGAGGAAGAGGAACGTCGAACTACCCCATCACTCACCCTGCCATTCTGGAACCAGGTTCTATCCCGTAACGGCTTCACCGGGTTGGACCTTGAGGTCCACGACTGCGACAGTGAGGAATTCTACGCTTTCAGCACAATTCTCTCCACCGCTCAAGCCCCTGCTTCATCTATAACATCACCCGTGACTATCGTCACTGGCACATCGCCACCGCCGACATCTTGGATGAGCGAGCTTCAAACAGCCGTGGCAGCTCATATCGGATGTCAGCCAGTAATTGCGACGTTGGAGACAGTTACCCCCCAGGGTAATATCTGTATCTTTCTCGGCGAGGCATACGAGCCCCTGCTGGACCATGTCAGTAACCCAGTCGAATTTGACCGTATCATACATCTGGCCACAAGATGCAAGGGCCTCCTGTGGGTCACCCGCGGCGGGTCTTTGGACGTCGACAAACCGGCCATGAGTCTGTCCCAAGGGTTACTGCGCACCCTGAAGTCAGAATATCAAGGCAAATCCTTTATTTCCTTGGACGTGGATCCACGACGGTCTCCATGGACTGCGGAAGTAGTCCAAGCCATATCCCAGATTTTTCCCGCTTCGTTCAGTGAGACTACTGACCCTGCCACGCGTGAGTTCGAGTATGCAGAGCGCGATGGGGTCCTACACATTCCCCGTACCGTGAAGGATATCCCCATGAACAGAAACATTTTCCCTGAGAGCGACACGACTGAGAAGACCATCCATTGCCGGTTCCGAGATGCGGCCCGTCCCCTTCGCATGAAGATCGGGACCCCAGGGCTCATCGACACCTTGGTCTTCCACGACGATTTAGACGCAAAATCCGACCCGTTGCCTGCAGACTGGATTGAATTCGACCCCACGGCTTTTGGTCTAAACTTTCGCGATGTCATGGTAGCAATGGGCCAGTTGGAGGCCAATGCCATCATGGGCTTCGAGTGCGCGGGCACCATCGTCCGGCTGGGAGCCACTGCGGCAGCGAAGGGCTTTGCAGTTGGCGATCGTGTATGTACGCTACTCAGGGGCCACTGGGCGACGCGGCCTCGAGCACCCTGGACCAGCGTGATGAGGATCCCTCAACATCTAAGCGACCAGGAGGCCGCCTCTTTTCCCACTGTCTTTGCTACCGCCTACATTGCCCTGCACGAAACTGCCCGCCTCCAACGCGGCGAGTCGATCCTCATTCACGCTGCTACCGGAGGAGTCGGCCAGGCTGCGATCCAGCTTGCCCAACTCATCGGGGCAGAGATCTATGCCACCGCGAGTACTCCGGCAAAGCGGCAATTGCTCCATGAGACGTATGGTATCCCAGAGAACAATATCTTCTGCAGTCGAGATCCATCATTCGCCACCGATGTACATTTGCGGACCGACGGCCGAGGTGTTGACGTCGTATTGAACTCCCTTGCAGGCCGTCTGTTACAGGAGAGCTTCAACTGTTTGGCGGAATTCGGTCGCATGGTAGAGATCGGCAAGCGGGATCTCGAGCAACACAGCGGCTTAGACATGTACCCGTTCACCCGGAACGTCTCTTTCTCGTCGGTGGACTTGCTGACATGGCAGAGCCGGAGAGGCGCAGATATCTCTTGTGTCCTGCAAAGCCTCTCGAAGCTACTGGGCGAGAAGAAGATCATGCCGGTCTATCCCCTCACACTATATCCTATCTCACAGATCGAAAAAGCCTTCCGAACTATGCAGACTGGCCAACACATGGGCAAGATTATTATCTCTGTCGACGAACAGGATACTGTGCCGGTAAGTCGCACTCTTCCCAGTTCCAACCTCAACCTCGACTGCAGGTGAATTCGACAAGGGCTAATGTGACCTGGGCAGGTGTTGGAGCGTCCCCCACCTTTCTCTTTGCGATCCGACGCATCGTATGTCATTGTCGGCGGCCTTGGCGGTATTGGACGCGTCCTGTGTGAATGGATGATGGCCCGCGGGGCACGGCATCTGATCATCATATCGCGGAATGCTCGTCCTGGACCTTTTGTGACTGAGCTTGAGCAACAAGGGTGTGAAGTTCGCACCCTCGCCTGTGACATTGCGGCGGAGGATCAGCTGGGGGCAGCACTGGCACAGTGTACTGACATGCCTCCTATTAAAGGCGTCATCCAGGGCGCTATGGTGCTCAAAGTATGTTGCCTCCCTTCATTTCATATCGGTCTCTAGTGGATGGGCAGTGCAGCATATACTAACGTTTACACAGGATACAATTCTCGAGCAAATGACAGTCGGCGACTTCGAAGCGGCAGTACGCCCCAAAGCGCAGGGAAGCTGGAACCTGCACCAGCAGCTGGGCGACGTTGACTTCTTCATCATGCTTTCTTCCTTGATGGGAGTTATGGGAGCCGCCAGCCAAGCAAATTACGCCGCCGGTGGTGCCTTCCAGGATGCCCTGGCCAGGTACCGCCGCAACCGGGGTCTGCCTGCAGTGAGTCTGGATCTGGGAATCGTTCGATCAGTAGGGTTCGTAGCCCAGACCGATGGCGTGCAAGAACGTCTCGTCCAGATGGGGGTTACCTCTCTGTCTGAAGAAACAGTTCTCCGGATCCTCGAACAAGCCATCATGCATCCCACAGGTCCACCCCAGATCATCACCGGTATTAACACCGCCCCAGGTAAACACTGGGAAGAGGCCTCCTGGATCCAAGACCCGCGCTTTGCCGCTCTGAGATACCGCGACAGCACGCAGGTTGGAGCTTCCCGTGCTACTACGGGGACGACGAAACAGGGAAAGTTAAGGGATCAGCTTGCAGAGATTGCTTCCCCAGTGGATGCTGCCGCGCTTATCTGCCAGGAGCTGATGCAGAAATTAGCCAGCATGTTTGGTCTGGTGGTCGAGGAGATGTCTGCTACTCAAGATCTGTCTTCCTATGGAGTGGACTCGCTGGTGGCGGTGGAACTGCGCAATTGGCTTGTCGCGCAGGTGGGTGCTGAGGTTTCCATCTTTGATTTGATGCAGAGTCCGTCTTTGGAGGACTTATCCCTCCGGGTGGCAACGAAACGGACGTAGGAATGGGTCTTTTTCTTCCTGCTCGCTTTCGGGTTGCAATTATGGGGTAGGGTTGTTGACGACAATGGTGTTCAGGATTCGAGATTATGCTTTTGTCAGATATAAAACAATGGTATATGATTCTTTAGGAAAACCTGGAAGCACCAAGTAAATGTAAAGTGCTAGAAGAGATGCTTGGTCCATTATTATTAACCAAAGACCTGCGGAGTTCAAGATGCTCCATCACGATTATTTGCATTTATCTGATTATCGCATTTCACTCCGCGCAGACCTCTGTTGTTCTTGCATAATCAGCCATTCTAGCGCAATTTTATTCCTGGATAACCAACGGGGAAGGGGTCATTTACCAAAGCAGCTGGGTTGCATGGTAGCTACTATAGAAAGCCTTGATACTTAGATTCTATGGTGATACAGCCGGGCCTTCAGACCTCCAGAAATGAAAATAGATAAAAGAAAGAAATAATAAGGGGAGAGGGAAACAAGAGCAAAGATAAACTGTTGCAGGGGGTAGGAGAAGGATATAGTATCAATAACGTTCAATACTGCCTATCTGACAGCAGAGTTTCCGATTTTAATCTAACAAGGAGCAATTATATGTGTCAATAATATGGGAATCAGTATTAGACATCATCCACGACCCTCTCAAGCCGAGTGAGGTTCGTATAACGCACTCGAGTCGACAGTTCGCGACACTTCCCCGGTAAGTACCAGATCCCCCAAGCGCCCAGAACCACCACCATCTGATACCCATCAAATGCATACGAAGGCCACTCATAGTCCACGAGAAACTCAATGCCACCTGCCATTGTCAGCCGCATTATGTTGCGTCCGGTTGCAATGATATATCCTGCTAAGGGGATCAATTGGTTCCATGTCTTCCAGTTGGCTAACACGCAGCTGCTAGCAGTTGTGGGATGGCGACCCAGGCGATAGCTCATGCAGATATTTTCTGCCATAGTAAATCCCCAAAAAATTGTTTGAACCACGAAGAGAGCGACTGAGAGCTTTGTTCCCGTCGCCACAGTCTCACTCGATGATGAGATGGTCATGCAACCTCCAACAAGCTGAATGACCATCAAGATTGCGTTCATAGCGGGATAAACTCCCCGCTGCCACGCCAGTGGGAGCAAACAGAATTTTTCGGCATCAAGCACGTTGACGAACTCACTCTGAGTCATGTTGACGGAAAACATGATCAATGTCGGTCCCATCAATAGTGCGACTGATTGCACACCGTACGCGCCTCTATCGCAGACATCTTGGGTCGAGAAGGATCGAGCCGTATGTCCGATTAACTCTGCTACATATTGTTAACAGATTGATAGGGCATCAATGACAGGGACAACTTACCCAGACCACCAAGAACGAAGAATATGCCAAACCACGCTTTTGATTCAATCATACGGTACAGGTGGATCGTGGTCAAGGCAGAGAATAGAATGACTCCGATAATCGCCAATGCAAGGCTGGGTGTATACATATACAACTCGCACTGCGTAGAAGCCATGATGGGGAGATGTTGACAGTGGACGAGGTGATGGGAAATATTTTTTTGTCTTGAAGGATGTAGGCCAGAAAAGATGAGCGTCACATTGGCCTCCAGATATATACCTATTCTTCTATCTAGGCAGTCGAATTAACCTTCTCATCCGCTGTAAGTAACAACTTCAAATTAAGCCTAACTTTGGCCCTTCCCTATATTCTTGCAAGCCTGGAACTCCACAGATTTACGTTGACTACAGGAACAGTTTCTTGGCGCGACATGGTTGGCCTGTTCACCATCAAGCTCGTGCAGATCTTGATGCCAAAATGTGTTTCAGGGTTCCACATTTCGGGTTTGTTTCGGGTTCGGGTTCGGGTTCGCATTCGAACTCGTTTTCCATTTTCTTAAAGAACTTTAATTGCAGATCTATTTGCTTGCCTCCCCACATTTCTATTATAAGATTGTTCTGGACTTTGATTGTGGCAGCCTGCGCTTGTCCCCAAAAACATACATTGGAAGTGTCTTCCCACTGGTATATAAATATGACCGGAATGACCCTACCTGGCATATTCAATCATCCACCGGCGGATGATCAAGATTCTACTTACCATGCTCACAACAACCGATCTAATGCCACTGAACGGGAGCGCGGGGTTGGCGGTACTTGTTTCCGCGGTAATGGTCCTTCCTCGGTCTACAATATATGCGACGCTCAATCTAACTTAGCTGCACAGGTCACTATTTATTATGCGACTCAAATCATCTATAATGTCTTCTTTCACCCACTGAGTCGGTTTCCCGGTCCGATCTCTCATGCCATTTCTCGCCTTCCCTATTGCTACTATGCACTCATAGGAACACTCCCATTTCATATGTTAGACCTTCATAATCAATATGGGGACATTGTCCGCATTGCACCGGATGAACTTGCGTTTTCGCACCCCAACGCTTGGAAGGACATCATGGGCCACAAGAACGGCGAGGAAGAGCTGGGCAAAGCCGATTGGTTTTACCGACCGTTACCTGAAGCACGACATATTGTTAACGAAGAGCGAGATCAGCATAAAGGTCTGCGTCGCGCCATGGCTCACGGTTTCTCTGAGAAGGCAATGCGAGAGCAGGAGCCCTTGATTCGGAAATATACCGATCTGCTCTTGGAGAGGCTGCGTGAGCAAAGCAAAAGCGGACAGTCCGTGGCCATTTCAGACTGGTACAATTTTACCACCTTTGATATCATTGGTGATCTTGCTTTTGGTGAAGCGTTTGGTTGTTTGGAGAATGCCAAATACGATTATTGGATCAAAACTATCTTTGAATCGGGACGACTGGGAATCATACTTCAATCAATATCGTTTTACCCCATATTAAAATCACTTTTATTGCTGTTGGTTCCGAAGTCGCTCCAGGAGGCCCAGCAGAAACATAAAGCCCTTACCACGACTAAGATGCTCCGCCGATTAGCTATCATAGAAGATCGACCGGATCTGATCAACAGTCTCCTGAAGAAAAAAGAAGATTTGGTAAGCTGTGAATGATCGCGCTCACCAAAGATCCATCCTGACCCATACATCTAGGCCCTGACCATGGATCACCTCATCGCCAATGCCGAAATCCTGATTATTGGGGGCTCGGAGACCACAGCATCCCTGTTGAGTGGGGTCACATATCTCCTTCTCCAGAACCCTGACGCTTATCAAAATCTGAGGGACGAAGTTCGGTCCACTTTCCGCAACCAAGATGAAATCAACTTAATCAGTGTCAACAAATTAACCTATATGCTGGCGTGTCTCGATGAAGGCCTGCGTATGTACCCTCCCATAGCAAACGGCCTCCCGCGCATGTGCCCGCGAGGAGGCTGCACGGTGCTTGGGCACTATATACCAGAAAACGTGGGTCTAGTTTTGATGTCCTAATGGGTAGTGCCTTTCTGACATGTTATGCAGACGTATGTTTCAATGCACCAGTGGGCGCTCTATCATCGTGAAAAGCACTTCACGGACCCCGAATCATACCATCCAGAGCGTTTCATGGGCAGCCCCCAGTTCGCGAATGACCGCCGTGACGTCCTTCAACCATTTCATGTGGGTCCGAGGAACTGCCTGGGGAGAAAGTAAGTTCTGAATCAAACCTCTTCTCGTTCCTCATCTTAACTAATTGTTTTCTTAGTCTCGCATACAGCGAGATGCGTCTCATTCTCGGCTTGATCATATTTAACTTCGACATGGTCATCTCGGAGGACTGCGATGACTGGATCCAGCAGAAGAACTTCCTGATGTGGCAGAAACGCCCGCTGAAGGTCTACTTGAAACCTGTACCCAGACATAGTCCTTGATTGTTCGCACTCTCTTCACTTGCTACTGCTGCGCTCTGTTGAAGGCATGCCCTTGTCGGGGAAAAATCACTAGCTAAAATCATATTTAAATTCCACTATTATCAGAACCACGCCGTTAAATAGAGACCATATAAAGATCACTAATTCATTTAGCCTAAGTCTCCCATATACTCAGTACCAAAGCCACCCAAGGCCTAAACATCAGGAGCACTCTTCTGCCCAACCACTGTATACCAAGTCGATCCAGCATACGACCCTGCCCGTGTCACCCTCCCTGAACCCCTAAACGCATCCTGTATCACCTATTTCTTCTCCTCAGCAATGCTACTTTTCAGCGAGAGGGCCCCACAGTACGCAGACTATCTCATGATACTTTGCTGCAGGCTACTGTCAACTTTGGTCTCACTATTTTGATTCGTTGGGATGGTCAGTTTGTCGGAGGCAGTCTTCTGGTTCTGTGGGTGTATTGGTCCAAGTAGATGAAAACTTGGTGACAGGGAAGACTTACTCAGCAGGCCAAATAGATCTTTCACAGATTCCTGCACTTCGTGCTTCTCAAGCACAATTGTCAAGTGCCGAATGCTGCCTACAACATACATGCCTTCGAGGTGCTCTGGTACGTCTGTCTTGATATCCCAGTGGTGAAAGCTCGTTTTCAAAATTCACGATTACGTAGAATGTTGAGAAGCATTCCACTACAATACTGTATGTCTAGAAATCAAGGAATCGACTACATAACATGAGGCCCTCCATGTACGTTCTTTGGCTGAATCTATATTATTAGTATTCCTACTTCACAAATTTATCCAAATGCATTCAATTTTTCAAATAAAACCATGTATACAAAATTCATAATAGTTGCTGCAACTTTATCGCAAGTATCCTGAGACACCCGTCAGGACATGCTGATCAAACTGCTTTGTCCTATACGTTTCAAGATGACAACGTATATCAATAGTTCATTCCGGCACTTCTCGCAGAGGAAACCAGAAAAAGGGCCATGATATGTACGCTGATCATATATCATAACTCGGGCCGAGTTTTCTATGCACTTCCAAGCACACCATGTACTATGTTGTCTTAAGGCAGATTTCCATCGCTTCTGGCTATTGTCGCGTCTCGAATCGACACTCACCCCTTTTGATGTCCATTTCACTTTTATATAGACAAATTTGGACTGTACCATAGCGTCGCCTTGTTGAAGGTCGGCCAAATGATTTTAGCGAAAGACTAGCAATTGACGCATCCATAGTTCCACAGCACGGACCACCCATGAGGTCTCTTGTAAGTAAACAGTAAGCTCGACAGATTTTCACCCAAAAATTGAAACAAATAATGGAGCTCTCTTCTGGCGGGGGCATACCCTCTTTATCGAAGAAATTTTGCGCTCCATTCCGGATGAGCTGGCCGACTATGTGGGCCTGATCTGCTGTTCCGTTGTCCGTTGCAGGGATCATAACCGAGGCATGATCTCAAACACGACGTACAATATATCCCGAGCTGACCTATACATGCCTAAAACACCAAAGGATACCCTCGATATCCCAACAGACTGCGTAATTCCATTGATCCTCTTTCCATAACCGAGGCGGGTCAGTTTTCTCGCTCCAGGCCTCAACAGCGTCGATCTCAATTCGAGCTAGGCTGAAGCTGAACACACTCGATATAAATATTACCCTCTCTGTCCACCCGTCTTTCAACCTCAACATCAGACACTTCAGTCACACCTATCTCTACTGCAGCAATGGCTCCTCGTACCCTCCAGGTCGCCTGTGCCGGCCTTGGCCGCATGGGCAAGCGTCACGCCCTGAACCTCCTGCACCGATCCCCGCGGTCATCTCTGGTGGCAGCTTTCACCCCAGATCCTGTTGAGGCCAAATGGGCTGAGGACAACCTGGTTCCCTACGGAGTGACCATCTACTCGGACTACGATGCTATGCTAGGCCACAGCGGCCTTGAAGCGGTGCTCGTATCAACCATTACCACCGTGCATGCAGAACAAGCTATCAAAGCCATTGAAGCAGGAAAGCATGTCTTGTGCGAGAAGCCTCTCTCAACTGATGCTGCTATCGTATGTTCAACTCTCTGATCCGTAAGCGTCGTCACATCTACGCCCATGACTAAAGGAACGTACATAGTGCCAATCTGTCGTGGACGCAGCAACCCTCCACCCCGAACTCAAAGTAATGTGCGGATTCTCCCGCCGCTTCGACGTTTCCTATCGAGATGCCTACTCAAAGATGAGCTCCGGACTTATCGGCACGCCCGCCATCATTCGCAGCCAAACATGCGACAAGATCGATCCCACCGGTGCCTTCGTGAACTTCGCCGCCACCTCAGGCGGGATCTTCTGCGACTGCTCCGTCCACGACATCGACCTGATCCTGTGGTTCTTCGGGGCTGACAGCAAAGTGAAGAGCGTGGTAGCGAGTGGGACCGTGGCCCTGCATCCCGAGCTCAAAGCTTACGGGGATGCGGATAACGCGGTGGGGATTATAGAGTTTCATGGGGGCCGGGTGGCGTATCTGTATTGTTCGCGGATGATGGCGGCGGGGCAAGAAGATACGACGGAGATTATTGGGACTGAGGGGAAGCTAGTAGTGAATGGTCATGCGCAGAAGAACCTGGTGGGAATCTTTGATCGAAATGGGGCCAGACGCGAGCTGCCGGCGCATTACTATGAGCGGTTTGAGATGGCGTTTGTGGATGAGGTGAATGAGTTTACGGCGGCTTGTTTGGATGATACAGAGCTGCCTATGGGGATTCAGGGTGCGGTGGAGGCAGTCAGGATCGCGAAGGCGTTGCAGGACTCGTTGGGGAGTGGGGAAAAGGTAAGGTTCGATGAGCGGGGGATTCGGCTGTGAGCGTGGTGGTGTGGTGTGTTTGTTTCGGAGGATTCTGGATAGGGTAGAGGAGTGTCAGTGATAGATTGAATGAGATATGGTGTTATTGATGCATTACTGATGTTCCATGGGCAGTCTCTTAGTCTCTCACCGATCCTGGGCGTAACTTGGAAGTAGGTTGATGCATCTAGCAGCGGAATGTGGATGCTTGACATGAGCTGGGTTAGGGTGGTGTCTGGTATCTGTGACTGTAATACAGAGTGTATTGTCTCTTTGTATGTATCGTAAGTAATTCCGCCTTGTAACGTAATAGCAGTATGCCATTAATAATACAATACGGGGACCTCGTTGCCTGATCGGCATCCTGCGGAAGTCAATGCCAACCAAGCAAGAGATTAACAAACACAACTAAGCACGTCGCTATACGGAAATCTGCTAATCTCACATCAGCGGGCGAGACGTAAATAATATCGGAGAATATTGCTCGTTACTCCACTCGAATCGCAGATCGAGTTCCTAACCAAGTCAGGTTAGCTGGAGCTGCAGCAGAGCTCGATCCTGCCGAAACTACACTTTTACCAAAGTGCCAACAATCTCCGAACACGAAAGCTTCAGCCTCAGGATGATACACTTGGCATATGCTTATGATGTATCAGATTGCTTGTCTGTTGAACGCACGAGTATGCTGCGTGCACCAGCGCAGAGGCGCGTATATGCTTTACTCGGCATGGGGCCGAGTATGTAGCGGATCTAGTGACTCTGAGCGCGCTTAATATCGCATCGGCAGTGTAGCTCTGAGCTCCTTTTATCTTGCCAATTCATTACTTCTGTAACATCATCATCTTTCTACCATATGCACTCTTCGTACACTTCCCATAGCACACTGTAACCACCATAATGGCCTTCGCACCTCCAGCAGCCGACCTTGGTACAACCACCCATTCCAACCAGCATGTTCATAGCTAACAACCCTAGACTGGTCGAAACTTGGCCTCGCCGTGACGGACATTGGTACATTCCATTTACATCCCCAACCCTATCCCACGGCTAACCAAGGCAGTAAACGGCCACGTCGAATGCAAATTCGACCCGACAGCCCAAACCTGGCAAGCCCCAACCTTCGTCAAAGATCCTTACCTCCGTATCCACGGCCTCGCCCCAGGACTCAATTATGGTACTCCCATTTCTCTCCCCTTCCAACAACCACTAACCCCAACAGGCCAACAAATCTACGAAGGTCTCAAAGCCACCCGCAACAGCAACGAAGAGATCCTCCTCTTCCGACCCGACAAGCACGCGTCTCGTATGACCCACTCTGCCGACCTAGTCTCCATTCCTCCAATCCCGGACACCCTATTCCTCGACGCCGTCCGCCTCGCCGTATCCGAAAATGCCGCCTTTGTTCCACCCCACTCCACAAACGCAGCGCTTTACATCCGCCCCCTCGCCTTCGGCACAGGCGGGCACTTTGCCCTCACCCCGCCCCGCGAGTACCTCTTCTGCGTGTACGTCCAACCCTTCGGCACCTACCACGGGACCGGGGCGGCGGATGCGCTAGTCATTGAGAAGTTCGATCGTGCGGCGCCCCGGGGCACGGGCCATGGGAAGGTCGGCGGGAATTATGCGCCTGTGATGAAGTATACGGAGATGGCGAGGAAGGAGGGGTTTCCCCTTACGTTGCATTTGGATAGTGCGTCGCAGACCGAGGTTGATGAGTTTTCAACGTCGAGCTTTTTGGGAATTGTTAGGGATAAAGAGGGGGAGGGAATTAGGCTAGTGGTGCCGGATAGTAAGTGTGTTATTGATAGTGTAACGAGTGATTCAGTGCAGGGGATTGCGAGGAGTTTGGGGTGGGTTGTGGAGAAAAGGAGTGTATGTTCACTCTTTTCCTGTTTTGTTGGGACATGTGGGCTGACTGCTTAGGTTCCTTGGGATACTCTTGGCGAGTTCACGGAGGTTATGGCGGCGGGAACGGCCGCGGCTGTGGTTCCTATTCGGTCGATTACGCGGAGGTCGACTGGGGAGAAGTTGGAGTATGAAAGTGGGCCGTTGTGCTTGGAGTTGTTGACCCGGTTGAGGAAGATTCAGCGGGGAGAGACTGGGGAGGAGTTTGCTGGGTGGGTGGAGGCCGTCAAGGCGCCGGAGACGGTGTATGAGAAGTATGCTGTGGGTAAGAAGGCAAATGGTGTTGCAAATGGCGCTCATTAGAGTCTGTCTTGGGTCATTGTGTTTGATATATATGGAACGTTCAGGACACAATGTTACTAGTAGTCAAATATATATTTTTTTGCCGCTTGTCATGTTTCGTGGGATACTAGTAATTTGTTCGGTTATACTCAAAGAAAGTAGGACTGGATATAATATGTACTTGCGCGGAAACGTTTACAATTATTCGTATATCAACGGCTAAAGTTCCGAAGTTGGATGTTTCCGATTTACTCCGAGGTACTGTGTAGCTTTTGATTTGAAACGATAACTCTGATTGTACTAAAACGTTGCACTAAAACGAAGCAATTGAACTAACTAGCTAAGGATCATGGAGGAGGGGACCAGCGGGAACCCCCTTTTCTCCTTGCCACCTTGCCCAAAACGGCAGGTGCCTACCGCCTTCGTGACCAGGAAAGCGCCCGACAGTACGTCGCTGACGTGCTGGTGGGAGGTATTCACATACTACTATGAAAGCGTATACTAAAGCTGTCGGTTGGTAGGAAACGATATCGTACCACTCAAGTCCTATACTCTTAAAGCATGATAGAGAAAAATAAGAGGACGAGAGAAACTTGAAATTAGGCTTGGAGACAATTGCGATACCACGCAGAGGTGAGTGCGTCAACCCGTTGCACACAGTAATTCTTGCCTCAGGCAGAACAACAGTCTTACTCAATACAGTAAATACCGAGCAGGGCATTGTCACAACAACCAACAGGAAACCCGTGTATATTTTTCTTTTCGAATGAAGCATACAATATGCACAAAACCATAGCAAAACAAAGTGTATAATCTACCAAGCTCTACAATCAACTACATCCTCTCCCTGAAACAAACCATGGGCCCCTCCTTCGACGCCGTAATATGATCATACAACTGATACTCATTCTCCCTTTCCCTACCAGGCCCCAATCCCTTTCTCCCCGCACCAAGTGCCATACCTTTCCCCTCACCCAAGGCAAAATCATACCTCCACAACATTGTCGCAATACCCAGAGTAAGCTCAGCCAGCGCCAACCCCTTTCCAATGCATCCCCTAGGACCAATTGAGAAAGGGTTAAACGCGCCCTGCGCCTTTGCCAGACTGTCTCGATCAGCCATTCCTACGGCCTCAGTGTCGCCCTCCGCCCCAGCCAGAATCCATCGTTCAGGGCGGAAGTTGAAAGCCTCAGGGTAATAGTTCTCATTATGGTGGATGGCATAGATGCCGGTTCCGACGTCGCAGCCAGCAGGGATGAAGTGGCCATCGAAGGTGGCGCCGCCGGGGCCAACTTCGCGCCAGAGAGCGGAACCGGCGGGAGGCGACATTCGGAGGGATTCGTCAATGCAAGCACGGAGGTAAATGCAGGAGCTCAGGCGGGGACCGAGAGTGATTTCGTCGGGGGAGGAGAACGTGTTTCGGACTTCGGTGGCTACGCGGTTGTACCAGTCCTTGTTGTGGGAGAGGTAGAAGAGGCAAGAGGAGAAGGCTGTGGAGGATGTGTCCGAGCCTGGAATACGTCGGGATTAGCTGGTCAGAAGGTTGAGGGAAAGCATGGGGACGGATACATACCAGCTACAACGAGGGTCGTTGTTTCAGCACCAATCTCGGCAAGGGACAGACTCTGCTGAGTCTCGGGATCCTTAGCATCCAAGAGGAAGGTGAATACGTCCTGGCGGGCAGACTTGGCGGCTTTGAATCGGCGCTGAAGAAGGGTATTTACGAACTGGATGAACTTGTTCCTGGCGAGAATGGACTCCGCGAAAATCTTACGGTCCCAGCGCCGGAAAGCAAGAAGAGGGGCTTGGGCGAGGACGGATGTCCGGACGTTGGAGTCCTCGATCGCTTTGACAACATAGCGGTGTTCCTCGCTTGTTACCATGTTATAGTGTTCGCCGAATAGGACGTCGGACATGATGTCGAAGGTAAGGAAGTTGACTATGGTCGTTAGTATGGATCTGGATATCAAAGGAGAAAGCATACAGTAGTGTGCGACGTTCCGTGGAACAGACCACTCGCTGGGCTTGCTACCCATCAGCGCGCCGCAGAGCTCATTGATATGCTTTAGAATAGCAGGCTGGTACCGCCTCAGTGCGGCATCAGAAAGACCCTGACTGATGATACGCCTCTTTCTACCATGCGCCTTTTTGTCGATGAGGGTAAGGGTGTTCGGGGCACGATGGACCATGGCACTGTACAGCTTGGACTTCTGAGTGTTGCGTCCGAAGCCGTAGATATCTGATGCTATTAGCTAACTCCTGCTGACTACAACGGGTAGCATACCATGAAGCCCAATAGAAGTGTTGATCAATAGCTGGTTCGGTGCATAGCGCACAAAGTCCCCTACAACAATTAGCGACTAGAAGCGCAATGAATCAGACGAAGAGGCATACCGTATTTTTCATGGCAACGCTGCATGTCAATATGCAAGTCACCCTTCCATGCATGATAGCCAGAGTAGAGGCAAGTAAACTTTGCCCAAAATGGTCCTGGAAAGTGCGCAAGTGGATGGAAGAATAGGTGATAGATGGCATACACAAACGTCTATGTTTGTAAGTAACGCACATGCATACGGACATGAAGACTGACCGAAGCAATTGCAGCCCCAAAGACGGCGAGAATGCCTGACTGCCAAGAGGCTTGGAAAGTAGAAACAAAGGCCATAGTACCAGTAAAGGCCAGGCTCAAGGAAAGGTTCCAGTGACCGTGGGAGAACGCAAGAACTCAATTCAGAAGAAAGGCTCAATATGCAAGTCAAACAGAACCTTCAAACGCAGATAATATGCTTTTCTGATCAAAGAAAGTACAAGGCTTTGTTGAATATCATACGATGAACAGAAATTCAATAAGCTATTGTTCGTGAGGTGGACTGAGCGAAGACATGCCCTCATGCTGAGATGAGACGATGCTAATCATCGGACCACAAGCCAGCTGAGCTCATCCATGTAAATACGCGGATGAGCTCCACATTCCTCGTGGCGAGCTGCATGTCTCCACTGATTTCGAAAACGTGGTGAAGGATCAGGGCACATAGCCACCACCTGGGCAATCTCGTCTGCAGGATCAGGATCAGCACGATGTCCATATAGATCGGTATGATAAGATACGGTTCGTAATGTAATATATACATGTGTAACTTACACCGTGTATTGATACTAGCGTTGAATTTGGCGTAAAATACCGATACGAAGCCTCTTCCGGTGCGGAAATAAACTAAGCCCTATTTACGCGCAGTTTCAGGAATTACGATCCACCGAAACGCTCGGATGCTTCCAGCTCAAACCTTCCCAGACGCTGACCATAGCGCGAGTCATGCTGACGAACTCCGAGCCTTGTCGTTGCAGCTGGGGCCAAAGTGTCGGAGCCAGCCGCAATAGCACGCTGGGTGATAACACGCTCGCAGGCAAAGGACAAGGCTTGTCAGTGTGTCGAGCTGGACTCCTGAGCGCCCGTGTGCAACATATATCCTGTGCTTGGGTTTCCTCGAAATACCTCTTGGCTCCCAGGAATCAAGCTTTTCAACAGAGCCAGCATGGCACCCAAGGAGAAGATGCATCCCCGGGTCCAGCGGGAGCTGGCGTACGTGTTGTTGACGGAACTTCTTGCGTGAGTTTGCTTCTCAGTGTTGGGAGGCATTGCATCTGATGTTTCTTCTTTAGGTACCAGTTTGCTTCACCGGTCAGGTGGTACGTTACCCTGGATCATTTGCGCTTGGCAAGGCAGGACGTAATGCGCAGTCGCTAAGATTCCACAGGATTGAAACACAAGACGTCGTGCTCCAGGAACAAAAGGTTGATCGGCTGGTCGAGATTGGACCTGCTGAGACTTTGCTTGGCATGATAAAGAAGACATTGGGAGCAAAGTACCAAGTACATGATGCTGCACTTGCCATCCAACGAGAGATCTGGAGTCATAAGAAGAATGCACGAGAGATATACTATGAATTGAACGATGCCGAGATCGTACCAACCCAAACAGGCAAGGAGACATCCACGCCCGCTGCACAGCCCTTACAGCCCACCCCTATCACACTCCCGGAGGCAGCTGAGACCGCCACGCCCCAGCCAGTACCAGTACGGCAATCCCCTTCCAGCATTGAAGACACCCCGATAGCAGCACTCGACATTATCGTCGCCCTAATCGCACACAAACTGAAGAAGCCGTTGCAAGACATTGACTTGAGCCAAACCATCAAGAAGCTGGTCGGAGGTGAGCATCTCGTTCCTACTCTTCCCGTGTTATCCCCACGATCACACCTGGCTTCATATTAACAATCCATAGGCCGATCCACCCTAGAGAATGAGATCGTCGGAGACCTCGGCGCCGAGTTTGGCTCCGTTCCAGACGCCCCCGAAGATACTCCCCTGTCGGAGCTCTCTCAATCCATCGAAGCTCAAGGTTCATGGAAGAAAGGCCTGGGCAAGACCACACAGACCCTTGTCAACCGAATGGTGTCGGCAAAAATGCCTGCGGGTCTGGGGTCAGGCGAAGTACGAGCTCACCTGCTTAATAAATATGGTATACAGACAGGCCGCCAGGATGCGGTTCTGCTGCGCGCCGCTGTGCTGCAGCCCGCCGCAAGACTCCCAGATACTAGCGCTGCTCATGCTTTTCTTGACGACGTCGTCCAACAGTACGCTCAATATGCGAAGATTGATCTGTCTGCTATAGGAGCTTCGTCTGATGGGGCTGGCACATCATCTGGGCCAGTTGTGGTAGACCAGACTGCCGTCAAGGCACTGGCCAAGACTCAGGACGACCGGGCCCAAGCCATGCTGGAGTTGTATGCAAAGTTGCTTGGGGTAGACCTGCAGGCTGGACACAAGGCTAGCAACAAAGCAGCAGAAATTATAGCAGAGCTACAGGACGAGCTGCAGCTCTGGATTTCGGAGCACGGTGAGGTCTACGGTTCGGGCATCAAGCCTATGCTATCCGTGGCCAAAGCCCGCAGGTACGACTCGTTTTGGAATTGGGCGCTACAAGACACTGTGGACCTGTTTCACCGGATCCTGGCCGGGGCCATTACGCTAACTGGCCGCGAGGTGGAAACCATCATGGGCCGTATTGCTCGGAAGTCCAATCCAAAACTCGTGCAGATGCTAGAATACCTGGAGACACAGTGCCTGAAGCTTCGAAACCCGCGAGCGGTTCATGCCCGCGATGTCCTCCATCAATTGCGGCTGGCATGCAACCCGCAGTTATCAGATGCTCAGCCATTGGCTGCGCACCGGTTGATGATTGACGCACCGAAGACAACCATTGACAGCCAAGGAAAAATTCATTATATGGAGGTTCCTCGTGCCACCGTCGATGCCGCACCACCGGCTACCCTCAAATCACTGGGGAGCCGGGGTTGGGAAACCCGAGCGGACTTGACTGCAGCCTTCATGGCGGCTCTCCGCCAAACGGACCACGAGTGTCTTTCGTTCTCAGACGCAGAGGTGCTTGTCATTGGTGCGGGACGGGATTCCATCGGCACCGAAATTGTCCGCGGCCTTCTGAGAGGAGGTGCTCGGGTACTCGTAACGACCAGTAGCTACTCGCTCGCGACAACACGATTGTATCAGCAAATTTATGCCGAAGAAGGCGCTCGTGGATCGCAGCTTGTTCTTCTGCCGTTCAACCAGGCGAGTCAGCAAGACCTTGAGTCCCTGGTGTCTTACATCTATGAATCCGACAAAGGGCTCGGATGGGATCTGAGCCATGTTGTTCCATTTGCAGCCATTCCGGAAGGTGGCCGGCAAATTGAGGATATTGACTCTAAGTCCGAGTTGGCCCATCGTATCATGCTGACAAACACAATCAGGTTGCTAGGGGCAATCAAGAAGCAGAAGCAGGCACGAGGATTCGACAGTCACCCTGCACAGGTAATCCTGCCATTGTCGCCGAACCACGGCATCTTTGGTGGGGATGGCCTCTACCCCGAGTCGAAGATTGCTCTCGAAACACTATTCAACCGCTGGAACTCCGAGTCATGGGGTACATATCTTTCAATCTGCGGTGCTGTTATCGGCTGGACGCGCGGAACCGGACTCATGAGCGCCAATAATGGTGTTGCGGAAGATATTGAGAAGATGGGAGTGAGGACGTTCTCCCAGGTCGAAATGGCCTACTACATCCTTGTCCTTATGTCATCTCCAATTGCAACCGAATGCGAGGTGACACCAGTGCAGGCAGACCTAAGTGGTGGCATGGGTCACTTCCCGAATTTCAAAGAGACGGTTGATTCCATCCGGCAGAAACAGAAGGAAACCAGTGAAATCCGAGACGCCTTAGCAAAGGAGGAAGCCTTTGAGCGCGCTGCCCTTGGACAGCCATCGGAAGAAGAACCGCAGGTACGGGAACAAAAGGCCAGGCTTGCGCTCGAGTTTCCTCGTCTACCTGACTACCAGACCGAGCTTCTTCCTCTCGCTGGTCAGTTGCGCGGAATGGTTGATCTCGACCGCGTGGTCGTCGTCACCGGTTTCTCTGAAGTCGGGCCACACGGCAACGCCCGGACACGCTGGGAGATGGAGGCATTCGGGGAGTTCTCGCTGGAGGGCTGCATTGAAATGGCTTGGATCATGGGTCTGATCAAGCATCACAATGGACCTCTCAACGGGAATCTGCATTACCATGGTTGGATCGTTGCAGCGACCAAGGAGCCTATTCGCGATATCGATGTAAAGAAGCGGTTCGAAGAGCACATCCTGGCACACACCGGCATTCGACTCATTGAGCCAGAGATCAACGATGGTTACGATCCTTACAAGAAGAAATTCTTGCAGGAAGTGGTTCTCGACGAGGACATGCCTCCGTTTAAGACGTCCAAGGAGACCGCAGAGCAACTCCGACTGGAACACGGCGATAAAGTTGATGTCATCCCCGAAGGCGAAGAGTACACCGTCCGACTACTCAAGGGAGCTTGCCTGATGATCCCAAAGGCCCTTCGATTCGACCGGGCAGTGGCTGGCCAGATTCCGACCGGCTGGGATGCCCGTACTTACGGGCTTACCGAGGATCTCGCCAGTCAAGTGGATCCAGCCACATTATATGCTCTCATTGGAACGGTGGAAGCACTTTTGAGTGCAGGCATCAGTGACCCATTCGAGATATACCAGTATTTGCATGTGTCGGAAATCGGCAATTGCATTGGCTCTGGCTTGGGAGGCGTCAAGGCACTCCGAAAGCTGCATAAGGACCGCTTCGTGGAGAAGCAGGTTCAGAACGACATTTTGCAGGAATCATTCATCAACACCACGGCTGCATGGATTAACATGCTCTTGCTGTCCTCCACCGGCCCTATCCGTACCCCGGTCGGCGCTTGCGCAACCTCGATCGAGTCGCTCGAATCCGGCTATGAGACTATCGTCTCCGGCAAAGCCAAGATGTGCCTTGTTGGTGGCTTCGACGACTTCTCCGAGGATGTGTCGTATGAGTTCGCGAAGATGAAGGCCACGGTTAGTAGCGAGGCAGAGTTTGAAAAAGGTCGTCATCCCAGCGAGATGTCGCGACCGGCTGCTTCCACCCGTGCTGGATTCGTCGAGTCTCAAGGCAGTGGTATCCAGGTGATCACATCCGCCCAGCTGGCATTGGACATGGGCCTTCCCATCCAGGGCATCGTCGCATGGGTCGGAACTGCTAGTGACAAGATTGGGCGTTCTGTTCCTGCTCCCGGAAAGGGTCTCTTAACGAATGCACGCGAGGCACGACACCGAGCCCCGTCCCCCATGTTGGATATTTCTTACCGGCGTCGGAGACTGAATATGTCGCTCCAGCACATCAAGGAACGCGTCGACATGGAGGTGGACATTGCTGAGGCAGAATTGACCGACCTGAAGCGCAGCCCTAGCCCCTACGCGGAAGAACGCATTGAAGAGATCAACGAACGCCTCCGCTACGTACGCCGGGAAGCCCGGGTCCAAGAGAAGGGTGCGTTGAACACGTTTGGTAATCATTTCTGGAAGAATAGCCCGGAGATTTCTCCGCTACGCGGTGCTCTAGCAACTTGGAACCTGACTATCAACGACCTGGATGTGGTCTCGTTCCACGGGACATCCACCGTGTTGAACGAGAAGAACGAGACGAACATGATTAGCCAACAGCTGCATCATCTGGGTCGGACGAAGGGTAATCCTGCATTAGGAATCTTTCAGAAGTATCTTACTGGACACTCAAAGGGAGCTGCAGGAGCGTGGATGCTCAATGGTGGCCTACAAGTGCTCAACACCGGCTTGGTTCCAGGCAACCGCAATGCAGACAACATCGACGCAGCCCTGCAGAACGACTATTTAGTCTACCCCAGTCGCAGCATACAGACTACAGGTGTCAAGGCCTTTTCGGTAACATCTTTCGGGTTCGGACAGAAAGGAGCGCAAGCCTTGGGTGTTCATGCCCGCTATCTCTTCGCCACGCTGGACCAGGAGACCTATGACGCGTATCGGGTCCGAGTTGAAGCTCGACAGCGCCGGGCGCAGCAGCATTTCCGGTTTGGTATTTCACACAATGCTGTTTTCTCTGCTAAAGAGGCACCGCCATACCGGAATGATCAAGAGTTCCGCATTCTGCTGGATCCGAAAGCGCGTCTGACCGAAAATGGTCGGGGGCAGATGGAATATGCGGAGTAACGGTGTAGGGTGTTTGGTGATTGGGTAGATTTTGTTTAGGTCTGCATATCCCTTCTGTTCATTCATCGACTGGTTACTATCCTACTGGGTGAACATACTTATTAGCTTTTTGTTCTTGGTTATGTGTTGCACGGCGTTTTGCGAGATGCGAGAATATAATCACTTGTTCGGTTCGAGTTGATGGTAGTCGTTGTTCGAGTCTGTCCACTTTAAGGGGTGGTGGCCCTGCACCGGAACCGCTGGCTTCATTGATACGCTCCAGATTTGGTAATATAATTGATTGATCCAGCATTATACTATCTATCTTTCGTTGTACTACAGTGGTTGTGTGCACGATCAGGCTAATCGCTCTTTGTATTCCGGGGTGACAGAGCATAAAGACGACGCGTTGATGTGACATCAGAAAGAATCCAGTGTCTTCTTCTTCTTTTTCTTGTCTTTCTTCGCCCTGGAGGCAGACTCCCCAAATGAAGACGCATCTTCAGGCGGGGAAGTAGTGTTCACCTCCACAAATGACGGCGAATCATCTGCTGGCCCACCGTAATCCTCACTAATCTCCGGGGCTTCCGCTGGTGGAGAAGATACTATATGACAGTTAACAAGAAGACTCACTTCTACTAAATGGAAGTTACGAACCTTCGGCACCTGAGTCGGCACATTCTTGTGCAAGGCTATCGTTCTCATCCTTAGTTGGTGATAACCCAAGGCCGTTTGCTTCTCCTGCCCTGCCATCTTGATGACGCGTTTCTTTGATGCTATTCCCAACCACGCCGCGATCACTAGCAAATTGTCGGCAAGTCCTCAGGCCTTTCTCAAGAATTTGCAACTTCTTGTCCAATTGTTCCCGCAGTGCGCGGTTTTCGTCAGATTCGCCGGCAATGCGTCCTACTAGCTCAGATGGCATCTCGAATACTTTGAGGGGTGTAAAGAGACCGGGGAGAGACTGGACCAGTTTGACCTCCACAACTTCAACTGCAACGTCATCTATGAACCTTTTCAGAGCCACCTGCAGTAGTTAGCGCTGATCTGTAGAGAACAGCCTGGTTCATGGTGTCGACTGTACCTTGTAATAAGCGAGCATGCAATCCAAAGCCTCGGCTGATGCAAACCGCATCATATCCGGCTCATCAAACTTCAAAAGTAATTTAACCAGCCCCTCAAGATCGTAGTACCCATCGAGATACGTCTTTACTAGGTTGTCCACTCGAAAGAAATTCTTAATCGTTTGGCGCAAGGCAACTTCACGTCTATCCGCACGAATTTTCTGTATGTTCTCTGTGAAGTAGTGGTTATATGTGATTGGATGACCTTGGAGGTGACTTCCCACTAGTTTTTCGCCAGCCTTAATCAGGCTCTCTTTGAGCTGATTGAGTGCGGGCGAGATGACCTTGTCAAAAAGAATCACAGAAGTGGCTTCATCAGCAACATAATCTGTGAGAAGTGATAGAAATTCCCCAACCGCCTCCCAAGTCCCAAGAATATGTTGATAGGTTAGATCTTTCCAGGGACTGCATTGCTCCTGGAAAAGTTCGCCGATGATCATCGGATTAAATGTTCCTGGCAGCTCCCGGCCCCTAGTTCGTTTCATGTGCTGCTGAATGTGGTTAATAAATTCGCTTCGTGTAATCGACAGCTGTTCCTCAAGGTCATTATCCTGAGGCTTCTTTTCCACAATCTTACGGTAGTTGCCTTGTCTATTAAGCTGCTCAGCAAATTCTTCGTTCAGGTTTTGAATAACGGAACGAAGACGCTTTTGTTGCCCTGTAGAGGAGTGGGTGCGCTCGAAGAACGGTTCATTGTATGTGCCATCGATGGCTGCCTTGACCAAGGTCTGAAACGATTGACTGATCTTAAGAAGATAGGTCTTCTGTTCATCCAGGGTGGTTCGTGGCTGACCAAGCTTGGTCAGTTGCTGGCTGCAATCATATTCTTTTGCTTTGATTTCATCGATAAGGCTTGGAAGCTCAGCTGCAATTTGCCGCAGAAGCACCTTGCTAAGGCGGTTTCGCAGGGAGTTTATTCCAACCCATGCAGACGGCATCTCCGCCCACGCACCCTGGGAAAAGAATTCGCGCTCTTTTCTACCACGGTCGGACAGGCTCCAGCTTCCCTTATCACTATCCATGTTTCTCAGCGTATGCCATCCCAGCCGAAATTCAACGTCTCGGTTGTTTGCCAGTGAAATGAACATCTTCTCACTTTCGGAATTCGGGACCAATGTATCGGGCTTAGTGATAACACCCAAGGTTCGATCGCCCGATTTATCAGCATCCCTTGCCAGGCGTAAGACAATTTGGTTTGCGTAATCATTTTTGGCCGATATCACTGCAAGAATGACACTTCGCGGTTCTTTCATATATGACTGGACCACATTCTGCACTAGCTGGACATCTGCTGCTGATTGCTGTTTTGTCTCCGAGTGTATCAGTCCCGGTAGGTCAACGATAGTCAAGTGCGGTCGATCTGGTCCTGATACTTCAATACGGAGAAGATCATTCGAGAAGGCTTTCCCATGAGTAGATATGCCCATCGCTGCTTTCGCGTTATCGACTAGTTGCGGAAGTCCATCGAAGCCGTCGAGCTCTTCGCAGAAACTCCCCAGTGACCGTTGTTCCGCCTCGCTACGCGAGTGATGGGGTACGATAGATACTCTCACTCCGACATTGGCATCCTTCCGGAGTACGAGCTCCGTTGGGAACCGTGTGCAGAGATTGCTCTTAACGGGAAAGGAGACACCGGATATTGCCTCAAGAACAGAACTCTTTCCTGAGGACTGGTCGCCGCAGACAATTATTTGCGGCAGAGACACATAGTGGCTGATCCCCTGGGAACGTAGCGTGTCTATGGCGTTCAAGAGATCGAGCTGTTCACGGGTACACAGGCTGTCCAGCCCATCCGAGCTAAACTTTCTGAGGACCATCTTGTCCGTAGAGGAAACCGGTGGCCAGTCCGAGAATCGAGGAGTAGAATAACCGATCGTGAGAAGGGCAAGGTTCAAGGCATCTTACAGTCGCCATGAATATATGCGAGGTTCGAAGCAGAGACCTTTATATGTTGTGTCGTTATATGTTGTGTCGTGTCTTCCTCTGAACCTCCAGACTCGCATGTCCTGTTGTCATCCTTGGTGCACTATGGAGATGCTAGGACTAGAGTGTTACTAGCCCCGTTGAATGACTCGGTCGGAATGGGAGCGGAATGGTTGTGCAACCGGACAAAACGACTTGATTTATTTCAGGGTCAACGGTTTAAGAAGGCAATTGTGCTGGGTACCATATCTAGGGTGAGGCCATCTTGCTTTTTTTTTTTTTTTTTTTTTTTCTTAGAGTCTGCCGCATGCCTATAATTCTGTCATGTCTCAACATGACAACGCTATTTCCAATGCGCTTCCTCTGTGTCGACCTCATCGTCATTGGACAGTGCAGTACTATCTTCGCGGCATGCAGATCAAAATCCGAAAGAGGGAATGTGGCAGGGAAAAAAATGCCAGCAGCAGCGGCGAGTTCATCATATCGAGCGTTTTGCAAATATGTGGTAGCCCAGCAAGCATATGAATGTATAGACTTATCGATGCGCAAAGGGAACTTGCGATCCTTTGTGCTCGGAAACGCCAAATCCGGAAATGCCAACATGCCTTCATTGCTCAGTACATGGACAATCCTGTGATGTGGTAGCACAAAACATAGCGCCTAGCGATGATTCGATAAGCTATCGGTTTGCCTCCTTGCATTGTATTTTACGCTATACGCCATCACTCTTAATAGATATTTGACCTAGTTCTATAACTACCTAAAGGGATCAATGTACTTCCCGACTTTCAATAGAGCTCTTTCCCCCGCGTAGAAGAATTCGATAGCTTCATACCTTGGAGCGAAAGAAGAGAATGTTTGATTTGACAACTAGCCTACCCAAATGACACATACTATACAACAGAACGTATCGCAAGCTGATCAATTTTTGAAGGTGGGGTTTCTTTTTATCGGAATATCAACTTTAGTCAGTGGCTTTATAGCCAACCCAGCATACCTTGACTTTCATTTCACTTTTGTCATACCTTTTCCATATCATATCCTTTTCAGGTCTTTTCAGGTAAGCCATTCCAGGCAGGCATAAAGCTATAGCCTAAGCCACACGAACACCTGATAATTGTTGCGGCAGAAGCGATGTCTGCTCTGCAGTTCCTAACCCAGGCGACGTGGTGGCTTGTATAGCTGCTGAATGCGACGGAGTGCTTGCAGATCAATTGACGTTGCAAAGGTTGATGTGAATAATGAGTTTTGCAGCACACCAAACTTTTTTTTCAGGCTTGCAATCAATATTAGAGCCGCTTCAAAGGGGACTAATCCCTGGTGGGTGTGAATATTGAACGATATCCCCAGTCAGCACATTACTTAGACTTCCGGCGCATGTCGCGGACATAGATTTCGGTAGACGACTTGTGCGGATGGGTCCGGTGGCTGGTTTCAAATAAAGGAGAGGCAGCAATCAGATCACTGAGCTTGTCGTATCCGTGGAAGTCGAAGTCTGGATATTTTTTGATCAGCTGAGAGCCAACTTGGGAGAGACTAGCCCATCCGTCGTTATCGGAGGCTGCTTCTACCGATGTTCGTAGCTGAGTTACCCATTGTTCTTCATTCGGTACCTTTTTAACCGGCAGAGGATGTTCGGGAGCGCGGATGTTAGTGGCATGCGGCTCAAGCTTATCCAGGTGCACGAGGTTTTCAGTATAGATGAATTTATCACAGGCAGCAACGAAGGGCTTCGGCGTCTTTTGCTCGCCAAATCCATAGACTACAAGTCCTGACTCGCGGATACGAGCGGCTAGTCTCGTAAAGTCACTGTCGCTGGAGACCAGGCAAAAGCCATCATAGCGCCTGGTGTATAAGAGATCCATCGCGTCAATGATCATGGCTGAGTCAGTGGAATTTTTGCCGTAGGTATACGCAAACTGTTGTATGGGTTCAATCGAATGCTGGAGAAGTTGGTCCTTCCATCTTGTGAGGTTGGGACTACTCCAGTCTCCATATGCTCGCTTTGCGTGAGCTGTCCCGTATCTTGCAATTTCGGCAAGCAGGGGATGGATGACTGAGTAGGCCGCATTGTCTGCGTCGATAAGAACCGCAAATTTTGGCACAGAATCAGCGCTCATCTTAGATGAAGGGGATGATTTGAGATGTCAGACTGCTTGTATTACTTAGCAAGGTGGGTTTCGAGCAAACAATCGTCCTGAGTCTTTGCTGCCTCGTTCGTATGTTATAGTGCAATAAGCTTTGATGAACCGAGGTCATGACGGTGTATCTACGTGATGGATGATTAAGGGGGGAGGGGGGTTCGTATACGATCTACAACTCTCCTCTTTCGTATCCTCTATCAACTATTGGGAAACCAAGTGCCCACCCCCTGTTTGCGCCCGGGTGTCTTGATTTGTTTCATAGCCAATATGTATTCGGAAAGTACACAACTCTAAACAGTCCTTTAGTGGGGAGTAGACGAGGATGGTTGTCAGTGGGAGATATCCAAGAACCTCGGCGTAACCCAGTCTCCTATTCAAGGGTGCAGCAGCTAATATTACATTGCTGGATTTTTCAAGGGAAATGAGAGATTAGTTGCAGGATATCTGCTGGATGAAGTGCAAAGTAGTAGTAGATAGTTGTGGTTATCCCTCACGTGGTGGTCCGTCCCACTCCGGCCACTAAATTAACTTTCTTACTCTCTCCGCCCGTCAGGCATCTGAACTAAAAGTTGGACCTCGGCATCGCATCAATGCAGTCATTCCCTGGATTACATTATGATGCAGCTCTCTCTCTCCCTTCCCCCTTCCTCGGCACTCTTCAATCCAACACAGTACTTAATCTCCGGAGGTTTTGTTTGTCCCACGTTTTCAGCCTACTTCACGCCTTGACACTTTATCTAGCATAAACTCGCACATCATCATGTCTGACTACACATACCAACATTTCAACGTCACATTTCCGCCGGAACGTCAATATGTCGCCCACGTGGAGATCAACCGCCCCGACAAAATGAATGCCTTCTTCGAAAGGTACCACCCCCCCTCTCCCTCCCCAACCCCCTTTCTTCTGCCCAAAACTAAAATGTAATCAATCCTCCAGCATGTGGCTGGAACTCTCTGCCATCTTCACCCGCCTCTCCTCGGACTCCTCCGTTCGCGCCATCGTCCTCTCCGGTGCCGGCGACCGCGCATTCACCGCCGGCCTCGACGTCAAAGCCGCCTCCGAGGGCCTCCTCTCCGACACCAACGCCGCCAGCGATCCCGCCCGCAAAGCTGCCCAAATGCGGCGCCACATTGACGAGTTGCAGGGATGCATCTCGTCTATTGAAAAATGCGAGAAACCAGTGATCGTGGCCTACCACGGTATCTCCTATGGTCTCGCTGTTGACATCGGTGTGGCCGCTGATGTGCGGGTATGCTCGGCGGATGTCCGCTTTGCCGTGAAAGAAGTAGACATTGGTCTGGCAGCAGATGTCGGGACATTGAGTCGGTTGCCCAAGGTGGTTGGGAATTATGGATGGGTGAAAGAGGTGGCTTTGACGGCGAGGAACTTTGACGCGGAAGAAGCTCTACGCGTGGGATACGTCAATCGCGTATTCAAGACTAAAGAGGAGACAGTCCGGGGCGCATTGGAACTGGCACAGTTAATAGGCACCAAGAGTCCCGTTGCGGTACAGGGGACCAAGGAATTGCTGAATTATTCGAGGGATCATACCGTTCCGGAGGGTAAGTACTACTCCACAATGTTTTGGAGTCCAGATGTATGTGGATGCTAATGCTGTATTTCACGCTATAGGACTGTGGTATACGGCTGTCTGGAACAGCGCAATGCTACAGACCAAGGATGTCACTGCCGCGCTGCTGTCGGGCATCCAGAAGAGAAAGCCGACGTTCGAGAAGTTGTAGCGTAGATGATCACTGCTGGTACTGGTACTCAGTATGATGGTCTGCTTGAATTCAGGCTGCCTCGAGTTTGACGGGTTCAAACAGTGGCGTGGCCAGTCAAGGCGATCCACCGCAGATGCACCAACTAGAGAGAATATACCTCGTGAGCGTTGCATTGTCAGCGTTTTAAACAGAAGGATGCGAGTAGAAAAATTGACATAAGATAGAGTCGAGGAAGTTTAACATATTATTTGAGTTGTAGTATTCCATGTCCTGTACCCTCCGCTCTGGTTGTAACCGGTGATCATGTCAGCCACGACTGTATTAGTATTCCTCGGATATCGCACATGACGACTTCAATGGCATATAGAGAAGCCGAACCGAAGAAGCTAAGGCATGGTTGAAACGGGTAAGCGGGCCAAACTGTCACTGTCCTCACAGACTCGTTCTCTTGTGGATCCTCGTATATAAGTTCAAGTATCGATCTGCGTTGGCCCAATCAGCCACGTAGCCGGGCTGCTTACCAGGTCCGGGTGCTTATCTTCAATCTGACAGAAGGTCAAAGCCTCCATACATTAAGTAGGTTCAGATCATAATCTTACCCACCAAATTGAACTGAAGCTTTGTCACTGGCTTGCTCGTCCCGCGAAGCTTTCGGGGCCGTCTAAACAATTACCGGCTATAGAAGCCCTTTACTCGGTCTCCTGCTTATTCAGTAGCTGCGGTTTGTAAGGGGTCATCTATCTCTAGTCGAGGGTCCGCGTCATTTCCAAACCGTCTCTCGGTGGTTTGTTCACAATCCATCGGGAAGACAAAGGCCAGGAGACAATCGGAATCTGGCAAACAATCACACATACACCCGATTAAACCCATTGTAAGCTCACACTGCTGCTTGGAGTCCCACCTCAGCCACCTGCAACTGCGCTCGGGATGCAGCCAATCCCTGCTACACTTTCTGCGCCACGCCGTCGTATTTCCTACTAGTCCGGGTGCCTCGACAGTTTGCGTTGATTAGGCTGCAGTATGGTGTGTGAGGAAAGCCAAAGGCAAACCACAGAGGATTATCTATCGCTTAAGAATGAGTCAACGGCGAGACGGGCCTTAGAATATCTCCTTTTTGTGAAATCTCGTCCCTCTTGCGAGCAACTTCTTTCCATACAGCCATCGTTTTCTAACCATGACTACCACAGAGGGGTCTCGACCGGATGATTACCCCTACCTCACACATCCCTTCCGGTCAATGAAAACCGAATATGATGTTGTCGTTGTCGGGTCTGGGTATGGAGCTGGTGTTGCGGCGAGTCGGATGGCTCGAGCTGGGAAGAGCGTGGCAGTCCTCGAGTTGGGTTGGGAGAGACGGCGTTCGTAAACCCTCATTTCCGAGCCCAGGGCGCAGTGACAGACAGTTATGATGCAGCGGGCTCGTTCCCTCGTTCCCTTTTCCAATGTCTGAGAGAGATCAACATTTCGGGTATCTCCCGATGGCGACTGCCAGACAAACCTACTCGCCTGTTTCAATTGATCCTGGGGGATGGACAGCACGCTCTCACTGCTCGCGGTATGTCTAGCCAGTATCAAGCAAAGGAATATTAAATCCGTGTTCGGGGGGTGAGGACCATGCAGTGCTAACATCTCTCAATCTACCTGCACAGCACTAGGCGGCTGTTCACTTATTAACGCGGGAGTCTTCCTCGAAGCCGATCAACAAACCCTGCATATGAGTGAATGGCCCTCAGAGATAAGGAACGATAATTCTGCGCTCCGACCGTGTGAGTTTCTATCGAATCGTAGCAGAGGACCGGCATTCTTAATGTTTATGGAACAGACTACTCGCGCGCGGCAAAGATGCTGCAGCCTTCACCTTATCCAGAAGGCCATCCGCGTCTTCTGAAACTTGAAGCCATTCAGATGCAAGCTGAGTGGCTAGGCAAGGTAGTAAGTTTTTACCGCACGCCCCTCACAACATTCTTTCGTCGGGAGCGCAACCATGTCGGCGTGATGATGCAGGAGAATCAAGGATCGGGTGATGAAAGTACCGGCCTGAATGATGGATCCAAAAACACGGTTCCTACAACTTACCTTACAGATGCCTGGAACTGGGGCGCTGAGATCTTCTGCGGCTGCGAAGTACGGTATATAGAGCAAGTCCCAAACCAGAAGGGTTACGTGGTGTACTTTGCCTGGCATGGGAGTGGGATGTCGTCGTTTGGGGAAGATGTTAAATCCCAATTGTTTTGGGTCAAAGCTGTAGGTTTTGCCACCACTACTTATTAACCTGGGCTTATAGGGTGTCATTTGGCTAGAACGAGTTGTGTTTCCTTGGGGCCGGCGCATTGGGAACAACAGAGATTTTACTTCGCTCAAAAATTTTCGGTCTGCCAATCTCGCCCATGGTGGGAAGGAACATTTCAGGAAATGGGGACATGTTGGTCTTTGGTAAGTCTGGTTGACATGGAGATAGATTAGAACTAAGGGCAAAGCTCAGGTTACAACGGCGACTCTAAGGTGAACGGCATCTCGGGGGCAGCATCAGGCCCTGCGAGTCGACCAGGTCCAACAGTCACCGGCGTTGTGGATCGAAGAGGGGTATCCTCAGGGGGTGCCCTGGCCGGTTATGTAATTGAAGATGGATGCATACCAAAATCTTTGAGCCCGCTGATCCAAGCCATGCTTGTGCTGCAGACCGTTCGTTTCCCGGCATCCAGGTCAGAATCTGAGAGCATGTCTCGGATTTGGAAGATGCTCAAGAAGCTTTCTGCCAAAACGTTTGAATTGAGAGGAGCTATGCAACGCACGTCAACCTATCTTGTCATGTCACACGACAGTAACGAACTCACACTCACCCTGAAAGGTGATCGACCAATTCTGCGCGGACCCGGAGAGGGACGGTCTGAAAACTTTTCTAACATCCGATACGCTCTGAGTTATGTCATTAGCCGGGCAGGAGGGAAAATAGGATCTTCACTTCTGCGTAGTACGTTTCCCGTCCTCGTCACTTTAGCATACTAAGGTATATCCTAGGTCGTGAACAGGAAGAAGTCACTGTCCATCCGCTCGGAGGTGCCAATATGAGTAGCGACGGCACAGGTCGTGGCGGTGTCACTGACCATCTAGGCCAGGTGTACATAGGTCATGGGAGTGCGAAACATGAAGGCCTTGTGTGCTGCGATGCTTCTATTGTCCCAACTGCATTAGGTAGGTACTGAGCTACACAGCTTCGTTGCATCTTCTAACATCTTAGGTGTAAATCCTATGGCGACAATAACTGCGCTTGCCGAGAGATCCGTTGATTTGATCTCCAAGAGGCGACAGTTCTCCATTGATACTTACACTCCCAACGGGAGACTTGACGCTTCTTCGCAGCCGACGGTATCAAAGAGGGAGGCCCATGGATCTCAGGACACAACTAAGTCAAATAAGCCACTATCACCAATTGGATGGCAGTTCTCCGAGGTCCTCGATGGGCACATATATATGCAATCAAGTGATGTAGGCTTTGACGCATGCGAAACACTAGGTCGCGGTTCGTCCTGCACCACGCGCATGTTTCTTACCGTCGAGATTTGCCGAAGGATAGGTGAGTCTCCATATGTTGTGCATGGCGAGGTTCTCACAATTTTAGATACGTTTGGATTACAGTATGAGGGCATATGTACTGGAACAGTAGCCTGCCGTGGACTATCCAGAGGTCCGATGAGAGTGGTCGATGGCAAGGTTCGGTTTTTCGTTCAGTCAAAGGAGCAAGCCGAATCAACGACTTTGAGATACTCACTTCAGCTCCTTTCATTGGAAAACATTAAGTATAATCTCGAAGGGTACAAACTGATTGATTCGGCCTCCGCGTTCTCCGTTCGCGGAATGTGGGAGGCGACCACTAAGGTCAATGTTCATATCACTCAAGGTGATGGGTTGAAGGTAGGAGCAGGTGTTCTCCGCATATCGTGGCCCTCATTCCTGCGACAGATGAAAACATTCCGGCCAACCGAATCTTTCAGAGTGCAATTAATATCTGCATTGGTCATTTTCCTGGCCTACTTTACTTTTCAGCTTGCTGTGGTCTTCCTCCGACCTTTTGCACCGGCACGGGAACTTCGCCGCTCCTCTCACTATCACCCTACCCAAAAACAGGGACCCTCGACTACAGCATTACTTAGGACAAGTGATGGAGTCACCGTGGGTTTAGAAGAGTATGAGCCGCTGCCAAGCACAGACGAAGTTATCAAAAGCCAGGTTACTGGCCCTCGGCCAGTATTGTTTATCCCAGGAGTCACCGGTAAGGCTGCACATAGCACCTTTGCGCTCCCATATTTGCGATGCAACATGGTCGAGTATTTCACATCACGCGGGTGTCGGTGCTACGTCTTGACTCCTCGCTGGGGCAGCGACTCTACAACGTCAGCGCAGTGCACCGTTTACGACTGCCGCCTCGACATTGCGGCAGCACTGCAACACATTCTAGGCCAGCAGAAGCAGAAGCCATACGTAGTAGCCCACTGCCAAGGCTCCGTAGCACTGGCGATGGGTCTGTTGGACGGCACCATCAACCGCACACACATACTCGGTATCACAGCCAACGCCGTATTCATGACGCAGGTCCTAGCCTACTGGAACTCACTAAAAGCCGCCACTCCAGCCCTGATTCGGCTATACGAGTTCATCTCAGGAACACACTACCCAATTGGCTCGCCTGATGGCAACAAACCAATTCATAAAATCCTCGACATCCTCCTTCGGTTCTACCCCGTTGAAAACCGCCGAGACATTTGCACCTCGACACATTGTCATCGAACCACGTTCGCATTCGGGTTATGCTGGAACCACAATAATCTCGACGCTAACATACATGACAATGTTGGCGAGTTCTTCGCAGATACGCATACTAAGCTCCTCGAGCATGTTACCCGTATGGGGACACATGGAGCGTGCTTGGATAATGAGCTTCGTCCCCTTCTCACAGATCGGAATCTGCGTAATCTGCAGGGTATTCCGATTCTGTTCATGTCAGGCACAGTCAATGAGGTGTTTAAGCCCGAGTCGACTCTACGAGACTATGAGATGCTGAGACGTCGATTCGGGGAGCATCTGTATCGTCGATTCTTGGTTGAGGGATATGGTCATTTGGATCCGGTTATTGGGAAGAATGCGGCGGATGATGTTTATTGGAGGGTTTTCGAGCATGTTAAGTGGTGTGTCCAAGGTCAGGGGGATACAAAGAGATGATGGCTGCTGTTTGTTGGGTGGGTAGTAGTACAAACTTCAAGTCGTAACGAGCGCTATATATTTTGGGACATCCGTAGGACCATTATGATCGTGATCATTTAGCATTCCGCCTCGAAGACTCCTACGAGTAGTTTAAGCACTGGTTCTGCTGCCAGACGGACGAGTTGTCTTCTTTCTTGGTTTTATTAGATCTTTACTTATCGTCAAAAACAGCCCAGGTGCCCAGACGAGAAACCAAATTGTAAAAAAATAAAAAAAGAAGACGGGAGGAAGAGAGGGGGAGGTGACGGGAGGCGGAAATAAAAAAGAAATCCACTTGCATCATCCGTGAATCGAACACGGGCCTCATCGATGGCAACGATGAATTCTACCACTAGACCAATGATGCTAGTTGTTATATTAGACTCATTTTTTATGTTAGAACAATTAAAAGTAATTAGCTTCCCGCCTTGCCTCCGTCGGACCAAACGCGAGCGCGAACCTGAGTTGTACACAACAACGCGTACAACATTCAACCCAGTCCCTAACTCGGCCAGTGTCTAGATTCTCAGTGATTAGTTATGGGGGGTAGGTAACTCAACCTTTACCCTGGACTTGCACCTAATTTCAAACCATTCCAAAAGACACCGTAAATAATCCGGGAGATGCTTTCCGCGTCCCTTCCGAGACACCCCCTCCAGCAGATGATGATTTCAGTGACACCTCTTCACCACCGAACCCAAATGGACCAGAGGGATCAGAGGAAAACAGAATTTGCGGTTATATTTTTCGATGGCTTGAATCAGGGTTCCCGCCTTCGCCGCATCTTGTCCGCGAAGCTGGGAAATGTTGTACACAAGCGGAAATGCGAACGTTTATATTCGTATTTTAGGCCCCTTGCGCAGAATTGGGGTCGCCGATTTCTAGAGCTCCATCCTCATTTGATGGCAACTTGGACCTCACATTCTGAAATTGTTAAGGGAACCAAGCAGCCCCAGCCTGATCAAATCTCTAGCTTTCTTGATCTCTTCGAAAAGACCAGAAACCAGTATGAGATCCACCCCGACGATATCTGGAATGCTGATGAGAAGGGATTCATGCTTGAGAATCGGACCGGCGCCCAGAAGTTCATCCTTTCCCAAAAGTCTATTCAACATAAAGGCCGTAAATTGCTTGCGCCGACCGAAGACTGGGTCTCAACGATTGAGTGTTGCAATACGACGGGCCAGGTACTTCCTCCTTATGTCATCCTCAAAGGGGATGGGGTCAAATCTTATCGGCGCTTGATCCCTGACAAGAAAACATTTATGAGATATCAAGAGAAAGGCATCGTCGATGAGAAAAATCAATTGAAGTGGTTGACTAGAGTGTTTATACCACAAACAGCCGTGTCTCGAAAGACTCTATCTAAACGTGGTATATCATCGGGTCGATACACGCGTTTGCTCCTGCTAGATGGACACTCTTCTCCTATCTCATTTGAGTTTGTCCTCACCTGCTGGGAAAATGATATCATACCACTCTGCATCCCTCCATGCACCTCGCATCTCCTTCATCCACTAGATGTCGGGGTGCTCCCGGATTTCACCAAGATCTACACCGGTGAAATGCGGAATAACTTACATCCCCACCAGCTCAGGATTAGCAGGGAAGTATTCTTCCTGCTGTGGTGGCGTTCTCGGGAGGAGGCCATGTACCCGGAGAACGTCATCATGGGCTGGCGGAATTCGGGAACGTGGCCTGTCAGCAAGGGTGTCGTGTACAAACGGGCGGGCTTCGATCTTCCGGAAGCCAGGGATGTGCTTGATCCTACGGAGTTGAAAGCTCCCACCAATAAAGAGGAGTTCTATACCCTGCTGGATCAGATGCTTTCCAGCCCGCCGGAAACCTCGACCCAGCTACGCGAATTTTTGATGGATTGCTTTTATCAGAGGAGTCGCAGTGTTGAATTACTCCAAGAGAATTTAAGCAATCACTACGATGTACAAGTAGACATCGAGCGTGACCTCCCGGAAACAGACGCAGAGGTTACGAAGCGACGCGCCGAAGATGATCCAGCTGCACGGACAGCATCCGGCGAAAGTTCATCGTTCAAACGTCAGAACATGAACTCAACTCCTAATCCTGAGCCGATTCAATTAAGCAGTCAGCCGATACAACCTCCCAATGCATCGCTCAATGCAGGGCCCCAGCCAGAATGGCACTCTATCAGGAACTCATATGGCTGCATTGGAGGTGTTTTACCTCAAGCAGGGCCAAGCATTCATCCGACAGGACCGTCCTCTGGTACCTCGCAGTATCCTGGCAATCTATGGCAATACGAAAGCTAGATCTTCTACCAGCACACAAACTCCAACACACCCAAGGGCAGTCTCAGCACGACGATTGAACCACTGACCCCTCTTTCTGTACATAATGAGCCAAGTTTCACAAAGCAAAGAATAGTCACGACCGTCGAAGCTATGAGCAAGATCTCAAGGAACAAAAAGCACAAAAACGAAAATGATACATAAAACGGAAGGGATCCGCTGGTGGTCATCCACCCAACTACTAACCTCCCGGCGTGTGGCTTAAACGCGGATAGAAGTAGGGTGCCTGCTGCCCCGGCGGAGCTAGACGGCGAAGCCGCTTTATCGTCGCGACACCAGGGTGAGTAGGGTGAGTGCGCAATAGACAGGGTGAGTGACTCACCCTTCAATCCACGAACCGGCAGACCATGAGCAGTGATTGGCTATGTGACTCAGAGCGTTTCACGAAGCTCCTCCACCTGCGAGACATCCTCCACAAAGGTAGCGCCATACTCTCTCATAATCTGGATCCTCTCCTCCATATTCATCGCGAAACTGATTCTCATAAAGTCCCTTGGCATTTCCTTGGCATTCGCAAACCTCAACACCCACACCCCTACACCATCCGCCGGCCACCCAAACACCAGCACTTTCTTTTCTTCCTCCGTCATCTTTCTCACCCCTAGAACCGCCTCAAGCTCATCCTCCCTACTCAGCCACCACGTCGCCCCAGTCCGGCGCAAGAGCTTACAGAACCTGTCCTCCTCATCGACACTGGATGCGCGCTGCACGGCCTGAAAGCGCGGGAGCGAGAGGAAAAGCAGGTCAACCAGGTCAGCGCTTTTAATGAGGACGCCACCGGTGGAGGGGTACCCATAGACAAGGCATCCTCCGGGGCTGAAGACGGTCCGTTCCATTGTCGAGAGAGGGGGGTTCACGGGGCACGAGCCGGCGTCGTCCTGCTCCACGCCGTCGAGTGCTGGGAGTCGTCGGCCCACGATCGGGAGGCGGCCCACGTTGATGGGGAGAACGCGGCCGATGGTTTGGGCGCAGAGGAAGGAGAGGAAGCTGGACATGTTGCTCGACTGAACCTGGGTTTGATGAAGCTGGGTTTGATAAGGTCAGCGGGTGAAAAGAGAATCGGCAGGGAAGACGTAGTGAGGGGAGGGGGGAGATCACGTAGCGCTGGCCTGAACAGGCAGCGACATTTATGATGACATCAAGCCACATTCAAGCTTGCTCCCTCTAAACCTCATCCACACCGCTACAGAGGATCTCAAAATTGTCTTGACCAACAAACACAACGTAATTCTTTTTCAGGCACACTGCCAAGAAATTAGCGCGGGTAGATGATTGAGCATTCAAAGCCTGGTGTAAATATTAGCCTTACAGATTGTAACATACCCAGAAAGTATTACCCGAAAATCACATATATCTCATGCCGAGAATTCTCCTGTCATTATGAGATACGAGATTAGGTGGAAGCTAGTAGATTCTATGCTAAGCATGCCGGTATTAAGGCTTTGATGATAAATATTAGATTGATCCCAGATCATTATTTTACAAAGAGATTAGAAGAATGCATCTGATTAGATGTTATATATCTATGTACTCCTATACCTAGTAAGACAAGGCTAGTAATGATCAGAGCTCAGCGTAAGGACTCGTCCTGATTCAAAACCTATATTAATAAATTGATTGTTCCATCGTAGAGGTTGACACCTTGAATATTGATGGTAACTTCAAGAGATTCATTAGGGTTCCATGTAATCTAGGTTCGATCAGGACTTATTCCAAATCCCTGTGAATGCAGCACTCCGAGATTTGCTTGGGAGGATGTTGGGTCGGCGAGGAAAGATATGGTAAATATATCTATATTAGTTTCAAGACTCGAGTTGATAATATCAAATTTTGTTACAGAGTTGCTGTAACCGAGGATCTACAGGCAGGCGCCGCTGCCGGCGTCCTACAGCTTGATGTTGTTGATAAGCTATGTGGAGTCTTGTGAGAAGACTACCGACCTAATCCAGCTATTATACTTCTTTAAGGTCTGCTGACATGTACTACTGCTGGTATTCCACATCTTTATAGTATTATCTCAAGATACGGAGGCAAGTAGTATAGAGTTAAGTAAGAAGACCACTGATGGTGCAGTTTCTTGACTAAGATGAAGTGATTATCTGTGTTGTAGTGTAACACCCTTGGAGCACACCAAGAAAACCGAATGAAGGATCCACTTGTTAGTACACACTACTGTTTTGACATCGGTCAGTGTGGTGCTATCTCGTCCGGCTAAAGCCCTTGCCTCCGTTTCCCCTCTAACCTGACACAATGCACCCCTAACAAAGACTATAGGCACTACCTATTCCTCCAGCATCCTAGCGAGCTCCACCCCCCAACTACTGATCTGTATTGCAAGGTCAGCTATAAAAAGGCCAGTGAATATGTGGGGGCTAGTGAACATACCATCGAGGGCAACATCATGGAGAAATGATTGCCGTCGGCCCGAACCACCTTTATATTATCCAGGACCTCATTCCATCCGAACCATCCCTCATCGGTGCGATCGTCCAGAAACCACTTCACGGCTTTCTGATCTTCTGGCAGAAACACAGGGCGGGGCACGTCATTCTGCTTATCAGCACCTTCTTTTGCGGCGATCAGCACCACCAGTGGTATCTTTCGTCCCGGTAGCCTGCGCACTTGATATGCTCTCATCTGCTGCCGGGCCAAGCAAAAGTGATCATTCGCCACCAACCGGCCCCGGCGATTTGGTCGCAACTCGCTGCCATTCCCCACGCGCACCTGCTCGATGGAATCTAGATACCGGACTAAGGCGTCTGGGAAGTAGCGTACAAACGTCGGACATGCAGTGTCGATCAAGAATAACTTCTCGATGTCGTTTCCATCTTCGAATAGTTGCCGTGCCACTTCAAAGGCCAGCACGCCACCAACAGAATACCCACCCAGTAGGTATGGACCCTCGGGCTGCCGGCGCTTGATTTCGCCCACGTAGATTGCAGCGAGTTCCTCGATGGTTAGCGGGTCATCTGGATAAGGATTACTGTGCATGAAGGGACTATTAAGAGCGTAGACAGAGACGTTCCTAACGCTACTGAGCAATGGCCCCAGACTGCCAAACACGGCTCCAGAGCCAAATCCGTCCGGGGCTAGAAACAAGTTCCGTTTACCACACGCAGAAGTCCCCCGGTGCAAAAGCATCGAGGTTGCCTCGGCCGGGCACTTCCTCTCCGGTTCAGCTGCCATTCCACAGATCACCCGGATAGTTCGGGACTCACGACTGGAGCTCTCAGACCAGTCGACGTGGGCAAACCCAGCATTATGCAGGGCCGTTTCCCAGGCCCACGGGCTCTGCAGAGCGTGCGTGCGGCCATCATAGAGCTGCCACCATCCATCCAATAAGCCCCAGACGAGATCGTACCAGGCCAGCTTCTGCGTTGGCTCTATCAGCACTACGCATCCATCGTTGGGACGCACCAGGTTGCGAATATTGGCCAAGATGTTTTGCAAATTGCATGTCCCATGAGCATAGCTACTGGATATCACAATGTGATAGCGTCCTAGGAGATCCACAGGAGGGTCCTTCTTAACGTTGACTTCCCGGAACTCTATGCCCTCGATGTCCTGGAAAGTTGTTTTGGCGCGCTCTAGCAGTGTCGCCGAAGGGTCGGACAATGTATAAGTGAAAGGCAGGCCATTGGCTCGAAGCTGTGGCAGGAGATGTTTAGCAGTGCTGCCAAACCCGGCACCAATTTCGAGCACGCGGAAGGGTTCACCGGGTGCTATAGCCTGCATGGTCGTGGAGAAAAGGTCACGAAGCACGTGTTTTGCCGCAAGGAGACCGGGATCGTTTGTATAGAAATTCTCAAGAAGCTTTCTGCCCTTATCGCTATCGTGTAGGATAGAGGTAGCGTCGGATTTTCCGGTAAGGCAATCCGCCAATTGCGGTCCAAGAAGATCAAGCAGATTGTGTGTTGATCCATACTGAGGAAATGTCGAAACGAGCTCAGTGCTCAGCTCCTTGGCTGATCTATCTTGTATGCGAGGCACGGGACCGCGTACGAAAGTATCGCCTTGTTTCTCGACCACGCCAGCTTCTTCCAAGATCTCCCATAGCCGCGATACCTCTCTTTGGTACCTGGGCAGCGTTCCGCGTAGCCGGGGAAGCCTCTCTCCTTGACCGAACTTCAAGAAAGAGCATCCGAGCTTTTCGAATGCCTCGAGGATATAGGCCGTCACAGTGCTTAGTTGCCGTGGGTATACCTTGTCCCAGAATCCTGTCAGGTTGACCTCTTTCGCATGCGAATCAAAGCCGCGGCGGACCTTCTGGAAGGCCGCGTGTACTAAATTTGCATCATCCTTTGTTGGTATCGGGTTCTTGTCCTCAGTTGCTGTGGTCGGGTGGCCGTTTGGCACGGCAGAATTGGAACCGCTTGGAGAGACAGCGGCGGCCTGCGTTGACACTCGTCCTGAAACATGCGCGATGAGACCACAGAAAGACCTCACATCTGTCAATGAAGCAAATTCAATTGATGATATAGTCAGATTTAGTGCCTCGTTGATGTTGCTAGCTATCTCCGCTGCGATGAGCGAATCCGCGCCGAGGTCCTCGAGTTGGGAATCCATTGAAATCTCCCCCACTGGTACGTCGAGATATTGGCCGAGTATCTTAATAGCGGTCTTTTGCCAGTCCAAATCCTCATCTTTGGCAGTCTCTAAGATATGGTCTGATCCCTGAAATTCCTCACCTTGGTCTACCGTATCGGTGGCGGTGCCGCCAACCCGCGAAGAGATCAACTCACATAGAGCGGCAACGTCTGTCGCTGCGGCAAGGTCGTCGACAGAAACCTTGATTCGAAGCGCATCATGGATACTGGCCAATATCTCTGAGCTAATTAGTGAGTCAACGCCGAGCTCCTCGAGCGATGCTTCCAGTGTGACTTCCGCGACAGGAACGTCAAGGGTCTGGCTTAGGGTCCCCTGTACGATTTTAAAAACATCAGGTGAATTTGCCTTGGCCCCCTCTGATATCTTAGGATTCGTGGCAGGGGCGGGATTGGTCAGCTGCTTGAACCCAGATTTTTCAGTAACCCGCGAAGGGCCTATGTCACTGTAGATCGTCGAATTGAGATTCACGCCTGCCAGCAATTTGGTTAATGTGCTGGTGGATATGCCCGAAAATTTGATGTCCTTGGCAGACAAGACTAATTCCATTGTCTGTGCGTCAAAGGCCAATACATCCAGTATAGCCTCGTTGGCGCTCTGCCTGGCGATCTGCGCATAAGCCCTGTAGTCCCTGCCATCGGGAAGCCTGTTTAGAGGGCCTACGGACCCTAAGCTCGTACATATATAAGCTTTGCTGTCATCCTCGTTACCAAAGTTGTGCAAGCAATTAATGTATGCTCCCGGGACTTCAAGGAAGTTGTTCATCACCAAAGAATCGACAACGTTGTCGTTGGGCGTTCTAGCCACGGTGTCCAAGTCGTTCACTGGTATGGAGATGTCCGCTGCGCCCTCAGTGCCTTTTCCAGCCAAATGCCGCAAGCCACGGTATGCGGCTGCGTGCTTTACCATGTTACTGAACACTTTGTATATCATTGCGCCGCGCAAAGCGTCCGTGTCGGGATCCTTTTCGAGTAAATGTATCATGCGGGCCCACTTGTCTTTCTTCCCTTGTTCTTCTTCGGCTCCTTCGTTGTTGCGGTCTTTCAGCGAAATGCTGCCAACGGCGTGTACGGTTAATCTCGCATCCTTGGTGGAGTTGAATTCAAATCCCCAAGAATACTGTTCCTTGTTCGTGAGTGTCAACTTGACGGAACGTTGCGTGTCCATACTCAAAGGGGCCTTGAAATGTACGGAGTCGACCACTATGCTGGACGTTATCTTATTGTTCAGCAGTAAGGCAACGGCATGTGCAGCCAGCTCCAGGTATACTGCCGCTGGGCATATCGCAGTCCCAACTACGACATGGCCTTTGACGAGGTCTTGGTAGCGCCTACTGCGCATATCGATGATGAAATCAGAGTTGCTCGTATCCAGGGTGTGAGTCTTGTCGCGCCTTATGAAGGGAGGGTCGGCGATGTCTCTCTGGCAATGCGGACATACTGCATGATGGTCTGGCACATCACTGCTGGTGTTCTTATATTTTCTACCTGGGAGACCGGTGTACTCCAGCCAGTGCCTGTGCTTTTCGAAATGATAGGGTGGCAGGGCCACAGGTCTATAGCTCGCCCGCTGAGTTGCGTGGAATAGCCAATATTGCACGTTTGTCTGCCCAGTTTTCCACAGCGTGACCGTGGCATCGGCGAGTGATCGCACCAAGTCTTTCCCATTTAGGGCCAGGAAGGTATGAGGTCCTTGAGCCAGTGCTTGTGGCAGCGCACTTCGTGCCATCGCGACTATGGGACCATTTACGCCGGCTTCCAGGAATGTGCACGCACCCAGACGGTCGACTATGCGCGACATCGCTTGGCCAAAATAGACAGGCTGACGGGTGTTACGGGCAATTACGTTGAGTTCTGGTCCTGTCCAAGCGCCTTCGTGACATGATTCAAAGGGAAGCCTTGGATCCTGTTCGTGATAGTGTGTTAGTTGAATAGTGGAATCAGTTATACCAACGCTCTGAATCAAGGCTTTCTTCTGCGCCAAAACATCTGCAAATTCCACTCGGGATGTGTAAGCCCACCTGAAATTGTATTGAAGCCGACAGCTTGCCGCACTCATTGACGATCGTGTCCGCCATGCTGGAATGGTACGCGTACATGCCCCTCAGGACCTTGAAACGGAGTTTCTCGCCGCTGGATTTCTTTTTGACAAGATATGATTCGAGCACGTCGACGTACTTGGTGGCTCCGGCAACAACGTAATTGTTGGGCCCATTGTAACACGCTATGTCCAGCTTTATCTCTGGATGTCTTTGGTAAAACGTCTCTAAATGACTTTCTGGCGTTGTGTCAGTACCAACGAGGTCAGCCTCAATTGCTACCATGGATCCGGGGTCATCGCCCCAGAGCCTCTGGATAATAGCTGCTCGCCCTGCTGAGTCGTTAGTCCTCCCGAGATCGATGTACTGAATGAGCGATGATGTAACTTCTTACTGACTTTGATACAGGTTAGCATCTACCATGAGCAAGAAAAAGGAGTCTCCACGATGAGGAACGGCGGGTACGAGAATTAAATCCATACCCTGATACGATCTTTATGCCGGCTTCGAGGGTGATAGCTCCCGAAACTGTCAGTGCAGCCCACTCGCCGAGTGAGTGGCCGCAAAGCGCCTGGGGCTTCACCCCTGAGTCAATCCACGACATACCACATGAGTACTGAATTGCGAACATGCTAATATGCCGCAGGATGAGATCAGCTCCGCCTCGAATTCCTTTAAGGATAACCGGAAAGAGACTGGGAAGGCCAAGTGAATGCACCACATCCTCGCAACGGTGCAAATGTGTACGAAATAGCAGACTACTCTCATATAGCGGCCCGGCTGAGGGCACGTTATCGCCGTTCTGTCCGCTGAAAAGGAGCACGACAGGCTTTGGCTCTGGAGAGGAGACAATCTGCTTCTGCGGGTCGGTAAGCTGGGACTGTATATCACTCACTGCGTTGGTTACAGGATGTCAGCCTTCAACCTCTGAAAATACTCTAGGGAAGGATATGCATGTTTCTTACATAAATTTGCTGATGTGCAGAAGATATGCTGAAGCTGGCGGTTCTGCCTTGTCGCCAAAGCGAAGGACATGTGAGGAAACAACTCAGGAGTGAGTGATTCTTCGATGATATTGTGACTCAATGTACTACAGTACGCCAATAAACTGGCCCGGGAAGCAGCAGAAATGAAAACAGGCCAGGCAGAAGCGGATGGGATCGTTGGCGATGGCGAAGATTGCTGATGAGGCGGCGGCGCAACGACAGCGCTGGCATTATTGCCTGACGCACCGTAATTGTTGACCACAGCTAGGCGCTTACCCCGCCATTCGCTTTGAGACGTTGGAATAGCCATCCGATCAGGCTCGAGAGCTGGAATATGTGGATTCAATACGTGAAGCTCCGCCTGCCCCGGAATCTTGCCGTGTTTCATCATCAGCAATACCTTGATCAGGGATACCACGCCCGAAGCCCCTTCGGTATGGCTCACATTGGCTTTGACCGCACCAATATTTAAGAAAGATGATCTAATCTTCCCACCGAAGACTTCTCGAATTCCCTGGATCTCGACAGGGTCACCAGCGCGCGTTCCCGTCCCGTGAGCCTCGACGTATGAGACATCTGCTGGATCGACTCCAGCGCGACCCAGAACGTCTCTGTATAAGGCCACCTGGCTCGCCAAAACAGGGTTCGTGATACTCGTGTTGTTAACGTTTTGATTGTTGCCAGTAGCTAGCAGCACACCATGAATGCCGTCCCCGTCTTCTAAGGCCCGGGCCAATGGTTTCAAGATGAGAACTCCAACGCCCTCCCCACGGCAATATCCATCAGCCCGTGAGTCAAACGCCTTGCATATCCCTGTTTCACTTGTAAATCCGCTGGCATGTAGTGCGTCAGAGCTTTCCATGTTCAACAATAGGTGGACGCCACCCGCGACGGCCTGCGTGCACTCCCCAACCTGAATGGCACGGCAGGCTTGGTGGATAGCAACCATAGCAGACGAGCAAGCCGTATCAATAGTTTGTGAGGGGCCTGTCCAGCCAAAGAAATGGCTCAACCGGCCAGCCACGAACGATCGCATCATTCCCAATCCAGTATATGGTGAGTGGGGGTTGCTAGCCAAATGTAAGACGTGGTCGGGGGCGCTCATGCCAATGAAGCAACCGGTTGTGTGGCTATCTGGATCATGAGTTTCTGCCTGCTGTCGTCCTGGTCCAAAGTAGCCGGCCGATTCGAGTGCGTGGTACGCGGTTTCAAGGAGCACTCGCTGGTGCGGGTCTGATGCAGCGGCTTCGCGCTTGGATCTTTGGAAGAATTGATGATCGAATGAGTCGATATCAGACATAAAGCTTCCCCACATTGTGCCATCGCGGACGACACCGGGGAACCGCTTCTCGTCTACCTCACGCACTATACTTTTGCCTGCCTGGATGGCCTCCCAGAGGTCATTCTCTGTATTCCCAGCAGCTGTCCGACAAGCCATACCTATCACTGCAATTGCATGCTCGGGATAGTCTTTGTAATCCATAGTGGTCGGGAGATATACTTGTTTGCGGGGAGTGATGTCTTTGAGCATAGGATGTCGTACGGATTCGTCGGCCGCGAGCTCTAACACGCGCACTACCACTGCGTGATCAGTATCGCGACTAGCTATGTGCTCCCACGCCGCAAATGCCTCATCTGGGCGGATATCTGCGATACCCCGAGATATAGAGGCCTTGGTAAGCCTTCGCATTGCTGACTTGCTCTGGTCCCAGACGCCTACCCCCTGCCAGCCTGCCCACAAAATGGACATGCTATTATCGCCCTGTCGCCTTCGGTGCGCGGCCAGTGCGTCTAGGAAGGAATTCGATGGCGCATACGCCAACTGCCCCGGGAAGCCGACGAGCTGCCCCACTGAAGAGGTAAATATGAAGAAGTCCAGGGTTCCAGGTGGGAAGAGTGAGTCAAGATTCAAGCTGCCCATGACTTTCGGCGCTAAGTGTTCAGCGATGTCCGAAGGCGTGCATTGTATCAGCGTACGGTAGCCCGCGATACCAGCTGCATGAATAACACCCTTTATCGGTGGAATGTGCAAGTCGTTGACTGCTTGACCTAGTGTAACGTCTGCGTTGGGCTTGCTGAGATCAACAGCCACCAAATGTACTGAGACACCCAAGGCCTTGAGCTTGGCAATCCGCGAGACTAGGTCTGCGCTGCTTGATGCGACTGGCTTGCTGTCACCGTTTAGTGGAAGGCCACGGCGGGACACAAGTACTAAGTTCCGGGCACCGTGCTGCGCCAGCCAAGTTGCTGTTGCCAGGCCTATGCCTCCGGTTCCTCCCGTGATCAGGTAGGTGCTTTTTGCATCCAGCTGAAGTCCCTTCAGATCATCGGGCTCGTTCGCGAAGGGTTGAAGAGAAGCAATCTGCGCTTCACCTTCACAGATTTTGACGACATCGAAGCCCTGCGCATACTTCACTGCGGACAATGGAAAGCACCCGCAGTCATCCTCGAACAGGCCGCCAAATATCTCTGGGATTTCTGTCTTCAACACCCGCGACAGACCATGCAGTGGAGAGTGAGCGAGGTTGCATATGTCCCAGCTCTTTGACACGATAGAGAAAAGCTTGATCGCCTCGCTCTTGGCGGAAATGCTGCGATGGTAGAGCTGTTGTGCAACATTGATCAAGCCGGTACATGCCTGGGTTGCGGCAGCGTATATGTCATCTTTACGCTTAGCCGTGGGTGGGATATAAACAACAATAGACTTTGGAGTTATCAAAGAGTCGATCTGGATTGCATCATCGATAACGACAGTTGTAATTCCCTCGTGAGCAAGCTGCGTCTGGTACGCAGATAGGATTTCACTCTCCTTGTCCGTGAGCACGAACACCACGTGCGCAATGCTCAACGGCTCTTTAGACAGTGCGGCGGGCGACCAATTAATTCTATGAATCAACTCGTCAGTAGCCATGGTCAGTTATTCTATCGCTATGGTGGCTCTCAAACAACAAGAACGAAGATAGTAAATATGTTCAAGGCACACTAAATCAAAAAGTAGTCTCTAATATGGTTAGGTAATGAACCAAATTTGGAGAGTCTTTGAATTCACTAACATGGCATAGGGCAATGTTCGAAGGAACTGATAGTAGGATTGCGGCTCCAGTCTTTAACTGATGCATTGATGCCCCCTACCCAGAACGGCCCTACAGTTAAAATGCGGCGGCGACATGTTTGGCCTGCATGAATGCACTAAACAGCTATGATCAACATACCAGAGCCATACGACGCCCTTTTCTGCTGCAGAAAAGCATCCTTGATAGATCTATTTTGACGTGAGTCTTACTTGATACCAGTCAAGGAACTCCTGCCGGGAACCTGACTCGGGTACTCTTTGAGTTTGGCCCTAAAGTTAATGAGAGTGCTCACATGTTTTGCAGCTTTCCTCTTAGCCAATGGCCGACGGAACACCTATGAGGTGCTAAGGAGGACCAGGGACGATCTACTTTCAGTTGTGCAACCCCAAATTGACTTCGAGGTTAACGTACTGATGGGGAAAGGCCTCAGCATCTTAGTTATGCTTCAGCCACGCCACTGATACACAAGCATATCAGCCGTGAAAGGGCTGGATTGTCTCATTAGCTGCAGAGAAGGAATGCTATCAGCCCAATCTGCCGGTTCCTAATATTCTTGTGACACTGCTGGAAGCCTTAAAGCTCGTGGATCCAATCCGAAAGTAGGATATTACAGTAGATCACGTGAGAATCAAAACATACGTATCACAATGCAGCGCAAGTTGTGTGATACTCATAGGTTCGAGATCTGGGGAACTGTTTGTGTAAGGATCCCCTTACATTGTGTTGCAAATACGGAAGTTCTAAGAATGAAAACTAAAAGAGTAATACGTGTCACTGCAGGAAGAACTGGAGGCCAAGGGCCCAAAACGGGTTCTGGGAGCCCGAAAGGCTTAAGTTACAAATTATAGTACGGCTCACACGATATGTACTAAACATTCTGACTGTATTTTCAACGGATATTGGATTTGTACATTTCAGCTTGCGCTAACATGCAGTGAACTCACCGGTCTACTTTTTCTGATAATATACTGTCTCGCCCTTCACCCGGCTTCCACCGTATAGCTCTTAGCACGGTTGGGATATCTCATCATTGTTGTAACACAACACAGGTTCATTCCCAAGTCGTGTAACATGGCTATTTCTTCCGCCATTTCCCCTTGCTTTTACTTCCTTCACAACAGCAGAGTAAGCTTGCGAACAAAACCTCTCCTGCGATGAATAGATAAGGATTTTCCGGTAGCCAGTTAGCTGTCAGAATCCTTTCACTCAATAGATGAGGTTCGTTAGATGTGTCATCAGAGTAGAAGTGGATACAGGATCAGGCCCCCGAATCCACAGTCATCTCAAATCCAGACGTCTGTCAAGTACTGACCAAAATCTCATGCAATCAGTGTGAGGTGCTATATGCAGGTGCTCCCATATAGGGCTGTACTATCCAGCCAGTGAGGATATGCACGGGTGAGACCGGACCACCTTCTCGACTAGCTAGCATATGACTCCATTTCGTACATCTAGATAGCCTGGCCCGGTATAAAGTACAAATGCACTTGTCTGAATGTCACGAGTGAAATTTTCTGTATGCAGTTCTTCTATAGGTCCCCTCATCGCAGGTTCGGGTGGCTGTCGTGGGCATGTGCTTGGACTGCTAGGGGTGGAAGACTCCAGAACGAAACGCCGTCCCAGATGACGTAATTCTCACTTTTGATCAGTCTCCCCAAAACATATAAGCTGAGGCTGGTTTCCAGGGGCTGAATGTCACGTAAAGCGTGATAATGTTGCTGACGTATGATGTTTCCTGAAGACCCAGCTGCCGTGGGTCCTGGCTAGAGTGAAATGGGAATTGAGAGCAGTAATAGGGATGGTTGATGCATAGATGATATTTCCCTTGGAGCAGGTATGAAGACAATGAAAGTGTGTATATATACCGGTCCTACGGAGGGATTTTTAGCTACTCCATAGGGTCTACGGTGTACTTAGGGATAGGGTAAGTTCGGACTACAGTCGGGCAATCCGGCCGGCGGAAAAGGGTTCCGAGCAGCAGTCACGAGATTGCGGTTTCGGCCCCGCTGCCTGAGGCGGCTCGGCAAACAGGCCAAACAATCCCCGAATCCCCAACATCTTCAGCTTCACAAATAGTTCTTCCTCAGCTCTTCTCCTGCCGCTGCCTCTTGACTTCTTTCATCCCCTTCCTTCTTCATCATTCTTCCTTGCTCATTCTCATGTGCTTTGACTAACACCACTGTCCTCGGCCTCCGACTGTCTCCCCAGTCGATCTGCCGTCCACACCGCATCAATTCCCCGCTCCTGTCCGCCTCCGAATGACCATGTGCAGACAATGAGTTTCTTTGCCCAATTTACCAATCTACCCGCCATCGCCACCGGAAAGGCCCTTCTTCTGCTTGACTTCCAGAATGACTTTGTACGGCCGAATGGCGCGTTGCCCGTCTCCAACACCGCCGATTTCCTCGATCTCTTGCCTCAGCTCGCGACCGCCTTCCGGCGCAATGGCGAGGTCGTCTGGGTGCGTTCTCACTACCAAGAAAGACAGCCCTTGATCAGCCCGACAGATGCGCAGGACCTCATCGTGCTCGGTCGCATGGACCGAGAGACCAGAACCCAGACTCTCGACGGAGATGCATTCGATCCCTCTGATCCCTCCGCTACCGATCGTGCCGGACCCGTTGACGAAGAAGCATTCCTCTCCGCTGACTCTCCGCGATGCTGTATCCCCCAATCGACTGGCGTGCAATTTCCGGCTCCAATCCTAGCTGCGATCGACAATGAGTCCGATATGTTGGTGGACAAGTTTGAATACTCCGCTCTGCAGGATCAAGGCCTGATTCTTTACTTCCGCACGAGGTTTATCACCCAATTATACCTCTGTGGGTCGCTGTCCAACACCTCTGTTTACGCCACAGCTCTGGATGCCGTGCGACATGGTTTCACGGTCACACTCATCGAAGACTGTCTCGGGTTTCGCAGTTTTACGCGCCATGAGGAAGCCATGCGCCGTATGGCCGACATCTTCGGGGCCAATGGCATCACCACTCAGGAGCTATTTCAAGAGTTGGACTGGGAGGAGACGGAAGAGATCGCACGCAAAGGAAGCCCGCGCCCCTTGCAGTCACCGACTCCCGCTGGTATTGAGGGTGTTTTGGATGAACTAGAGGTAAGGCCGAGCGCCTCCCCCACGACGAAGGAGGAGAGCCCAGAATCGGGCTCAAGCGGAGGCCGACGCCGCAGGATTGATGATATTCTTGCGGAGTTCACTGATAACGAGGACGGAGACTTGAAAGAGCTAGCTTCCTTGGCTCGTTCGCGTGTTCGATATGGGGAGTCAGCCCGTGGAGCGACACCCGGTGGGTCGGGGGAGAAGAAGGTTCGTGCTCGGGTACGACGTTCAAAACGACCGGATGCAAAGACAGAGTCTTCGTCTCGGCCCGACAAGCGACGCAGCGGCAAGTCCAAGAAAACCGATATATACCGACCGGGCGACGTGATTGGTGAGGGAGATTCCCGCATTATCTATGATCTCGACCTGCCATCCGAGGCTTTCGAGAAAATCCGCGAGGAAGTGTCATGGCAGAAGATGTATCATCTGTCGGGCCAGGTGCCGCGTTTAGTGGCGGTGCAAGGCAAGGCATCAGATGACGGATCAATCCCTATCTATCGCCATCCGGCCGATGAGTCGCCGCCGCTACAACCCTTCACGGCTACAGTAAATAAGGTCCGCGCGATTGTAGAGCGCATTCTCGGGCACCCGTTGAACCATGTGCTCATTCAACTCTACCGGGACGGGCAAGACCGGATTTCTGAGCATTCCGATAAAACCCTTGACATCGTTCGAGGTTCCTCGATCTGCAACGTCAGTCTCGGCGCCCAGCGAGTCATGGTTCTCCGCACCAAGAGTGCCGCAGAGGGTGGAGAATCGGGCCGACAGACACAACGTATCCCCATGCCCCACGAATCGCTGTTCATCCTTGGAGAGAAGACAAACCGGCGGTGGCTTCACGGTATCCGACCGGACAAGCGACCGGAGACGGAGAAGTCGACGGAGGAGCGTGCGTACGAGGGGCAGCGCATCTCCCTAACCTTCCGTCACATTGGCACATTCCTCAACCCAGCTGGCGACACAATTTGGGGCCAGGGTGCAGTGTCAAAGTCGCAAGAGCAAGCACAGCCAGTAATCCATGGAGGTGCGACCGAGACGGAGCGCATCATCTGGGCGTTTGGGCAAGAGAACCACGCGACAGACTTTGATTGGGAGGAGGTGTATGGAAGCGGGTTCGACGTGGTCAATTTTGTCACGGCGGGTACAACCAAGCTCATCCTCGGGCCGGATGCCGTGGCCAACCTGCGGGTGCGGCTGTGCCTGAGTGAGAACGGCATTCGCTATGAAACCGATTCAGTGCCTGCACGCGCCTCAGAAAACGACATACGGCCGCTTTATATTGCCGCTGACGGAGCCCAAATAGCTGGTGACGTCACCATATTGACCCACCTTGCGCAGCACGCCGCAGAGCTCGTGCGACCAGAGCTCGAGGCCCTACGCGGGGGAAGTCATCTCGCGGCCATCGACAAGCTGCTGGCCCAATGGCGCGACTCACAACACCAGGGAACTGACGATTACGATTTGTCGCAGTGGGAACAGGCCCTGACCGGGCAGACCTACCTGAGCGGTGCAGGGTTTGGAATCGATGACTGCGCGCTATGGCCCGTTCTGAGAGAAATTGCGCAGTCGACAGCACTGCTCTCAGACAAGCGCTACCCGAACCTGAGCCAGTATTATCAGCGGGTGGGAAAACGCGGGCTGGTCAAGGCGGCGTTGGAGGAGATGGAGTAAGCGTAGGTAGCAGATGGCGGCCTTATGAGACACGATTAATGAGCGGTTTTTTCTTTGCACGATACCATCTACAAGTATAATTAATCAGACGTTTGGCGGTGGAATGTGATCCTGTGCAGTTTCCCGTGGCGGTTCGATACCTACATAGCGCAGTTTAGGGACTATTGTGTTGGATGTGAAAATTATGATATGGATAAGTTTTATACTCGTTGTATTAACTACTTAAGGATTGATCTTCAATTTCAAGTAGCTTTGGCAGGTACACTGATCTTTAGAGTCAGTCGTTGCTAACTGTGCTGCTTGGGGGAAATGGGCTTTTGCAGTGTTCCTCATGCATCCCACATAACGAGAACACTTGAGCGAAGGCATCCATATTGACCAGTGCCAAGGCTGCTTTGACAACTATAAATAGCGACTGATACGGGCTGTCGATGTAGTCACGATCAGCTTCTGAGTGAGTGAAGTCGAGCTTGATGCCGTACACCTTCATCTGGTGGCTGGGTTAACTTGTGGTGATAGGGTAGGGACTAAGAGGGCAAGAGGTGGGATGGGATGAACTCCATGGTCACGGTAGTCTGCTTGTTCGGATGTACTTTGACAGCGATGTCGGAGTATGCCTGCATGTTACTGACATCGTATAATCTCATATGATACAGGATAGAAGTGTAGCTGTCTACGTTCTCTGGGGATTCCTGCCTCTGCTGAGATCAGTTCTGATGATGCCTGCCATTCCAGGCCCCAAGGCGCCACACCCCAGGTGCCATGACTAAGCGGAATGCAGTTGTTGACCGACTAACGTTAACTAACTATTCAATTCATTCAACCACTAACTACTCCGTAGAAGTTAGAAATTCGATCTCGGACTCTGCCTCATCCGGCGTTCCGCAGCGGCCTGCTCCTCCTGTTTAGTATGCTTCATGTCCTTTGCACACAGCTGAGTCTGGGATAAGAGACAAGTTTCCCATCCATCCCCACTGCACCACCACTGTGTCTTAGCCAACATTAACTATGTCCTATGAGTCAGCGGGCTTAGGAGAAGCAGAGATTCCAGCATTCTCCTGCCGCGGCCCGGACCCGTTCTAAACCTTAAGTGTCTGGCTAGGTGTACCAGGGCCAGGTCCTTTCCATGCGCTCTCCCTTCTCACTTGTATCAAATTTCAGCAGCCTGCCTCGCAGTCAGTCTACCCGGTATTCTGAAGTTTCTACTCGCACCATGTTCCACCTCGAAAAAGGCACGGAGACTCAAACGGACAATGGCGTGAAGGGCCGCAACAGGTACTTTGGAAGTACATAATTGCCGAATTACCGGCCGTTGCGCCGATGGGTCAACCTCCTCACATCCCCTCCTCCATCAATGGAGACTCAGGCCGATGGATTCTTTCCGCCCGACTGTGATGATCTGATGGACCCTCTGGCCAATCACGAATCGCTGTACCCCCAAGGCCCACCCCATGTCGCCATACCTTATTCAACTTGCTTGACTTGGAGGTTGTCTGCTTCCCATATGCCTAGTTGGGCCACGGCTGCTAACTCCCAAGCCAAGAGGACTCTTACGTAGCCATGTCTGAGTGTCCGGAACAGATGAGAGCCGGCCCGACGTCCTTGTAGCCCATATATGAATTGCACAGATGCCCACTTCCCCTGGCCACTTTTCCCATCTATCAAGACTAGCATCGGATTCCTTACTCCGCCTTTATGATGTCCAATTCTCCTTTCAAAGTTATCATCGTGGGCGGTGGCCCGGTCGGCCTCACCGCAGCCCATGCCCTCGCCCACGCAGGCATCGACTTTGTCGTTCTCGAACGCCGGGACTCGGTGGTCCTCGATCAAGGCGCTAGCCTGGTACTCGGGGCCTCTTCTCTGCGAATAATGCACCAACTGGGCCTGCTCGATCAACTGCTAGCTATTGGCGGAGAGCTTCGCCAGGTTCAGGCGTATACGCGAGAGGGACAGGTATTCCGCAATACCAATCCCTTCAAAATCATGCGTAAGAAGTACGTACTGCGTACCGTCTGTTTTCTGGCAACGCGCTCTATAATGTCGGCGGAATACTGATATCAACAGTCATGGAATCGCCCCCGTTGCGTTCCACCGCGCACACTTGGTTCAGACCCTATATGATTTACTTCCGGAGACGGCCAAAGCGCAGTACCTACTCAGTAAAAAGGTCAGCCATATCGAATCAAGCGACACCGGGGTTCGAGTCACCTGCGCTGATGGCACCTCGTTCGAAGGATCCATGGTCCTTGGAGCAGACGGCGTCCACAGTAAAACCCGGCAGTTGATGCGCGGACTCGCCCTGGCCGCGGACCCCACGCGGAGCTGGGATGCCGCAAGCCCCTTCACGGCCGAGTACAAATGCTTGTGGTGCAGTTTCCCGAGACGGACTGATGTCGGGCATGCTACCGAAACCCAGAGCAAGGATTATTCGGTCATGTATCTCTCCGGGCGCGAACGTGGATGGATCTTCCTCTACGAGCGCTTGCCACAGCCAACATCCGATCGAGTAGACTACTCGACGGAAGACATAGAGGCAATGGCGGCACGGTTTGCCGATTTCCCTATCACCGATACGCTGAAGGTGAAAGACGTGTACGCAGAGCGGTTCACCGCGGGCATGGCGAATCTGGAGGAAGGCGTTCTCCAGCACTGGGGATGGGGACGGATCGTTCTCGCGGGAGACGCATGTCACAAATACACTCCCAACGCTGGACTCGGGTTCAATAACGGCATCAAGGACGTAGTGGTCCTGTGCAACGGGTTACACAAGGCGCTACAGAGCGCGGCGGGTAAGCCATTAGACACTGCCGCGCTAGGTCAGATATTCGACGAATATAAAAAAGAACGCGCCGGGCCAGTTCGTTCAGATGCGGGGCAGTCAGCGAGCACAACACGGTTGCATGCGTGGGCCAATTCGCTGTACTTTCTCGCAGCGCGGTACATCATGTCGTGGGAGGTGGTTGAAGGATTTCTGATCAACTACCTAGGCGCACGCGCGATGAAGCAGTCCCCGGTGCTGGGGTATGCCCCTGCGACGGAGCCGTTCGTTGGGGCTGTCAAGTGGGATCACCCGATACCAGCGATAGACAAGGAGCTTGTTTGTTAAAGACATGGATTTAGTGTTGCGTGATTCCATACCTTAATGGAAACCTCTTCTCTTCGGTGATTTCGGTCCCTGGCTTTGCCAACGCATGATATCAACATGCATAGAGCCCCTCTTGCGAGGGCAGTTGCCCAACGGTCTGTTCACATTGCACCCTGACGATTTCTCCGAACAGGGAAATTTTCCTATGGAATAGCAGATGCAGCAATATGTGTGGACAATTTGTGACCGGATTTTGCTGCATGTCAGATGCGGGGATCCAGCTGACCAGTTCCCCTCACCCACTCCGCATCCTGCAGATGAATCAATCACTCAATTCATGCCGATCTCGTCCCTGCAGATCACGGACCTACCACCTCAGCTCCGTTTCCATTGCTGCAGTAGACGGGCTGATTTGGACGATTCTCGGTGCATCACACCCCGATGTTGCACCTTTTTTCCACGTATGGATGGAAGCGTTCGCCAAGAGCTGGCACTTCATTAACCCTATCTCTGCAAGCTCCGTGATGTCCTGACGAACTGAATTGCCAACCCTAAGCCTATGAGATATTCAGCCACAATGAAGGTCTCCAGCCTCCCCATCTTAGCCTTCCTCCCTACCTCCCTCGCCACAACCATCTACCTGGCGGGGGACTCCACCATGGCCACTGGCGGCGGTGGTTCCGACACAGCAGGTACTTTCCCACCTACACCATCACACCTTCATCCACTAACAAACAATCAGGCTGGGGTGACTACGTCGCCCAATACCTGAGCAACTCAAGCGGCATCACCGTGTCCAACCAAGCCGTAGCCGGGCGCAGCGCACGGTCCTACACGCGCGAAGGCCGGTTCGACGACATCGCCAGCACCCTTGAAGCGGGCGACTACGTGATCATCGAGTTCGGTCACAACGACGGCGGCACGCTCAGCTCGACCAGCGACAACGGCCGCACCGACTGTTCCGGCACGGGCTCCGAAGTATGCTACTCGGAATACGACGGCGTCAATGAAACCATCCTCACCTTCCCTGCATACCTCGAGAACGCCGCCAATACATTCAAAAAAATCGGCGCGACCGTCATCATCTCTTCGCAGACGCCCGATAACCCCTGGGAAACAGGCACTTTCGTGGATGACCCGCCGCGGTTCGTCGAATACGCGGAGATCGCGGCGGACACGGCGGACACGTCGTACGTGAATCATTTCGCCTATGTGGACCAGGTATACGAAGCGTTGGGAGCGGATACCGTGGATGCGTTTTATCCGATTGATCATACGCATACGAGTCCGGCGGGGGCGGATGTTGTGGCTAAGGCGTTTCTTAGGGGTGTGGTCTGTGGGAAGTTGAGCTTGGCGGATGAGCTTGTGACGGATGATTTGGAGTTGGATGAGTATGAGTGTTTGGATGAGTAGATGTGGTTATCCTAGCTGTCGAGCTATGGCTGTCAAGTATTGGTTTTGCGAAGTCAGAGAACACGCAACTTCAATATATTTCTCCCCCGAGGTTTTCTGTACAAAATCTACCCTTGGAACTGAATATCTAAGTTTAAGCCTAGATTCGTAACACAGACAAGTAGAAAACTGGGCCCAGCAAGGCTCTGCGTTTGAATATATTGCTGTATAGTATGACACCCGGCACAAATACCTGGTCTACATGAGTAGCTGCAAGAGATGATGGGCCAAATTGAATTGGGTGTGTTAATAGCCTACGTAATCGAGACAAGCTTTTCCATGCTATGACAGTAGACGCTAAGGAGTTGATAAAGATCCAGGTATGTCAGTATATCCTTCTTACTGAGCTAAATCTGCAAAACCCCATAGCAAAGTCCTCGGGACATATACAGAAAGCGTAAGACAGACCGTCTAATAAAATCACATCTCATGAAACTAGCACTAGTGCCTCTATCTTATTCAAACCTTTCACACTCACTGTGCAACAGCCGACCTCAGCAGATCAAACAGCTCGGAGCAGCTGCCTTGTAGGGCAGAACCAACATGGACCCATTCCCCAAATATACCTCACACAAGTCCCCATAGCATAATACACATGCTAACTAATTATCCTTCTGCATATTTCCTTATCAATAACCAGCCTGACCGAGATAAACAGAAACCATCAAGCCATGAACCCATCCCCTCCCTACCTCTCCTATCTCCGAAGAAAGCGCAGATCGCCGTCGGATATCCCGCACAGTCCCGCATTTAGTTCCTCCGGTCGCAAGCACACCCCCTCTTTCACATGTGAAAAAGAGACGAGGTACAAGCATTCCGATAATAAAAATAACAATCATGTCAGAAAAGTGATGGTGGGGAAACTATTTTCCATTTGGGAGGGGGGTGGTGTTTCTAACTTACTACTGACGAAGCCAGTCCCTTGGCAACCGTTACGCTAATCTAATCAACTTGACTAGTTACTTACTCCGCTCTTGTTCAGGCTAAGCTCAGCTAAGCTAAACTTAATATACTACGAAGTCACACACCGTATATATGTCCCGTGCTTTGATTCAGGTAGATGATTCGATCCGTGGTTTACGTTGAACGTGGCTTTTGCCGTGGTGGGTGGCTGTTATGTAATTTTATTACGGCAGGGAATAGCTGGTGGGATAATCCGTGAAGAGAGGTTCCCGTCTCCAGTTTGGATGGTTCTTGAGATAATCGGTGGGTAGGGAGAGGGAAGTTGATCTAATCAGTTCGATATTGAATTGAGGGTGTGAAGTGGATGGACGGGTCGGGGATTCTTCGGTATTACTTGCTGCTTTCTCTGCCTCTTGTCTTTGGGTCGTGAAGACGGTAACAGTTTTAGCTGAACCTTCCTTGGGATAGTTACAAGTCAGAAATTGCCTCGAACGAACGGTTTCATGATCAGAAAAGCCTATTTACTTCGTCTGTTATTATTAAAACTATATACAGATTCATTTCATCTTGATCATATCCAACCCACATAATCACTGCACAGCACTAGCAATGCTCTACGAGCATTCACTAATGTAGATCGTGTACCACCGATGGGCAGTCGTACTGTCAAGCAGCGTGCCGTCATTCCCAGCCGTCGAATCCACCCCCACGACCTCGGTGACGTCCGACGTTGTCACCGTCACATCATTGCCGCTGGTGATCCAGTACTCCGGACTGAAGTGGTGGTAGCCCAGCAGCTCCGGAGGCAGCTTAGGCACGATGTCATCGGTGTGCGTGACGCGGTAGTTGCTGCCCATGTTTTGGTCGGTGATGTAGTCGGCTAAGGCGAGGTTGCCAATACGGGGCTGGCCGAAGTTGTACTGTCGATTGATTTAGTAGACTATCCGAATGACGGAGGAACATTACAAGGATAAAAGAGTAGGAACTTACCAGGTCAAGAGTGTATCCGGCGTTGCGGAGCACGGTGGCCGCGACAGCCGCCAATGCAGCGCCGTAGCTGTGTCCGGTGAACACGAGGGTGTAGTCCGGATAGCTGGAGACGGCGGCCTCCACCTTGGATGTGATGGTGTCGGCAATGACTTCCCAGGCCTCGTAGAAGCCCTTGTGCATCTCACAGCCATCACAGATGCTGCTTACGGATGTGAGGCCGAAGTCTAGGTCGGCAATCCAGTTCGAGAGGTCGGAACTGCCCCGGAAAGACAGAACGATTAACTCGTTCGTCGGGTCAACGGCGATGAACCCCGTCGGGTCGCCGTAGCTGCTGCTGCTATGGGGGTGTGAGCTGGATGCCAAGTGGGAGGAGACGTTGGGGTTGGATTGGCTTACTCGTCAAACTCATCGATGGTCGTGGCACCGGCTGCCTCGACGAGAGGGCAATTGCCTACGTCGCAGGTCAGAGTCGTGCCGGTGGACTCGATGTTGGAGGAGCAGTAAGCTGCTGCACTGTATTGGGCGAAGAGGTCGATATTGTCCAAGACGGTAGAGGAGATGTCTGAGTATATTAGCGGAATTTCTGCAAATGGGTAAGTGTGTCTTACCTCTACGCTGCATCGGAGCAGGTGCGGGAGCAGCATGGGCCAGCACAGATAGGGCTGCAACAGCCCCAAATTCCCTGCGGAGAAACATCTTGGGCGCCAGGCAATACAGTGCAGGATACTCTTGAGGGCAAGATCTGCGATTCTCTCAGGCTTCACCTACGGTGCGGTCCGCCCCCTTTATAGATCAGATGAACCGGATGATTCGACGGCTGTCAGCGGCCCATAACTGTCACCCACGTCTCGGAGAGTGTATTCGAAATGAATTAATGAACTAGGACTCGGTACACCGACCGGAGATAGGAGACGTCGCCAACAAAAGCAATTGTGACTAACGCTCCTGGCGCTGCAAAAGGAAAAGCCAGGATTTTAGCCCCCAGGTGCACTATAAACCGCCAATCAGCAGGCATGTTTGGTCCGGGGCGCGCCATGGTCGTGAGGAATCCGTTCTGGCATGTCAGGCTGCAAGGGGCTATGGACCAATGGCCCTCTGGGTCTCAATCACGCAGGGAGAGAACAATCATTTGCGGAGTGCCGCCATGCGCTTGGCCGCGTGTGCCGGACAAAGGTGGACGTAAGAAGTCCACGACCCGCAGCGTTTCTAGAAAGCCTCTACCGTCCGTAGTCAACCCCACCTGCGCCTGGCTGAGTTGGGCTTGACTAGCGGGGGCCATTTATTGATCCGTCTGCTTCCGCCAATCACACTAGGGGTACATATTAAACTAGGTTTAACCAGAGCAGGGCCCGTAGAATAGGAGGTTAAAAGCTTAGTTCGGGTGAAGAAGTGGGTGTGATTTCGGATGACTGGGCTAGCGTGCCTGCAGGAGCTCGGTAGTCAGACAGGTGACAAGGTTAGCTCGATGCATGATCGTACAGGGGCGTGCATCCTGCGACTGCCAGAACTAGATAGCAGAAAGGACATCGACCGCGTTGTTGCATGTTATCTAGCACTGAACTGCAGCGTTATCGGCTGGTCGGATGGACGACGGTCTCCGATGGGCTTTCTTTGGTAGACGGACTGACATGTGAAGACAGTGAAGGGATGAGGTGAGTGCTGCAGCGGTGTGATGACGGTAATAGAGTTCGGCTGCTGAATGACCTGGCCCCTTGCGGTTAACTTTAAACGCCCGGATTTACGCGCTTGACCGTCGGGGTAGTAAGGCTTTCTTAGTTTGACCGGACCATCCGTTCAACGGGCAGTCAAGGATCCCTTGACCATTGCACCAGCCTCGTGAGTTGCGATAAGCAAACGGTGGGGGCCATTGCTCCCAGGGAAGGTCATCTTGAAAGGAGAGTTTGCAAAGGCTGGTATTCTGAACACGTGGTCTGCTCAGTCAAGGGATATCTTTGCGCTGGAATGCTGGGAAGGCTCGAGGCTAGTAAATCAAGACCAAGACGTTAATTAATGAATAGTACTAGTGGTGGTTCAGTCATGAGCAGAATTCCTTTTTCGGTTCAAAATGGATGTTGATGCCTCCTGCAATTTCCCCATGTGTTGGGATGTGTTGGATGAGGATCCGAAGTATATTTTGTGGGTCACCGGTGCACTGTAGAGCAGCAGGAGAAACGCCCTCACAAAACACGACTACTCCGTACGTAGCAGTCATCCGCAATTAATTCCGCCTTTGCACAATAATTAGATTCAAGATGGTTCACTTCAACTCGAACTGCCAGCCTTGGGGAACAATGAAGCGATTAGACCCGGGCGGTTGTGGCTGACTCGGGATGGCCCAACCCAACAACAGTAATAAAATGGTGTAACTTCGGACAATCGTGGGGGAAAAGGTTTCAACTAGTCCAACAGGAACGGCTCTGACAAGCTATTGTACGCCACAGCCCCAAGATTAGCAACCTAAAAGCATAATACGACGGAATAAGCCCGAACATGTGGTGCCGGTGAAGAAGAGCGGGAACAAAAAAAAAAAAAGGCCAAAAAAGATGCGTCCCGGGAGAGGATCGAACTCTCAACCTCACGATTAACAGTCGTACGCGCTAACCTTTATATTGAATTAGTAACTGGATGATTGGATGATTTTGATGAAGGGCAAGCTTACCAATTGCGCCACCGAGACTACTCGTTGGAAATGCCGCCCGACACTTTGACTTACATACGGCATACCGGTCTCAACTGCAAAAAGTTTCGTAGTCGCGGCATTGGGACTGACTCTTTGTATATCCGAATTGCCTAGGATCAGTCTTTTTTATGGCATGATTGAATTTCCTTGAATAAAGTAATGTATTGGGAAATGACACCGAACATATTACAAGGTGGACACCTTGACCTGAACGGTACTCAATTGAGGGTGGGAAAGTTTGCTATAGACCATCAGTTTTCTCAGTGCACCGGATGCCTGGGGTTCGGACATGTAAAACGCCATTGCTTTTTCACCACCCGTTGTCTATACTGTGCGGAAACTCGGTTGAGTAATACTAGCATCTACCAAACAACCATTTTGTGATCAGGTAAGAGGAGAGCGGAGCACTGTAACTCTCAGTCAACGCGCACTAGAATGGCGTTAGAAAAGCGAGGATTGACTTTGTATTGTTAATACCCAATGTTGAATTGTTTCACGATGATCTTTGGATATTTTATCGTTTAAGTAACGCAATAACGATAGTATTACTCGGTTCTATACAAGACTACTCAAGTGTCTGGGCCGTATTAGACCGTCTATATACTATTGAAACTAACCACTATATTCTTTCAACTATGCCCAGTGAAGCTTAATGAAGTATGAATATAACTTATAGAGGGCTCACATAGACTGCTCGTAAGTATGCCAAAGGCAACCAACTGTATGCATAGTAGTAGTGTTATTGTGGGAAGATGAGGGGCCGTTGCGATCAAGATGTATGGAGGTAAGAAGGTAATGCACAACCGGTTGGAGGTCCATTATTTCATAACTTAATCTGTCTAACTGATCGAGGACGCCATACCTACCCGAGAAGAAAGCCTACCAAGAGGTGCACCATATTGTATAAGACGAAGTAACACGGAGGGAAGCTTTTGTATTGCACAAAAATCCGATCATCCGTCGCGTTCGGAGATCGGGGCGTATATACGGCGGCAGGTCAAGATGCGTACACGTCGGCCCTAAGCGGAGGACGACCGCATATACGATTTTAACAGTTGAACGGAGATAGGATACACCCTATCATATACAAACTCACTAATAGTCAAATAAATAGGGAAGCAAATACAATATTACCCAAATGGGATCCATCGCAAGCTTTACAATAAACCATGGCATTCAAAGAAGACACCGAAACAGCCATCACCTCCACCTCCCTCGAGGCCGGTATGCTCGACGACAAGCCAAACGAGAACATAATCGACTGGGACGGCCCCCAGGACCCAGAAAACCCCCACAACTGGTGCGAACGCAAGCGATGGGCACACGTCATTGTGGTAGCCCTCATATCCCTAGTCATGTACGTGCAATCCTCCCCCTAACAAAACCACCCTACTATTAACCCTACTCACCAGGAACATGGCTCCAACCATGTGCGCCCCGGGTATCAACGAAATCCTCAGTACCTTCAACATCCAATCATCCACCATATCCACACTTGCAGTCACCCTGTACGTCCTCGGCTTAGCAATGGGCCCCATGTTCATGTCCTCCCTCAGTGAAGTCTTCGGCCGGCTTCCAGTATACCACCTCGCCAATCTCTTCTTCGTAGCCTTCGTCATCGGAAACGCCCTAAGCCAAAACATAGCTACCTTCATGATTTGTCGATTCATCTCAGGCTGCGCGGGAGGAACTCCCATGGCTTTGGGAGGGGGCACCATTGCAGATGTGACCACCATCCAGCAACGCGCTGTCGCCATGTCTTTGTATAGTTTGGGTCCGATGGCTGGTCCGGTACGTCCCACTCTTTATCTAATTCTTATACCCCTCAAAAAGACATACTATAATACAGGGACTCATCACCTCCTCTCCCAATGATAGGTCCTCGGCCCCCTCATCGGCGGCTTCGTCGCATCCAATCTAACTTGGCGCTGGACTTTCTACCTCCTCGCCATCTTCTCCGGCACAATCGGCCTCGCATCTCTTCTAGTCATGCGCGAAACCCACCCCAAGATTATCCTGGAACGAAAAGCAGCCCGTCTGCGCAAAGCGACGGGGGACCCCCACCTACGCTCGAAGCTCTCCGACCCCAAACCCGCACCCCAACTCCTCTTACAAGCCCTAACTCGTCCCACGAAACTCCTCTTCCGCTCCCCAATACTCCTTATTATCTCGATCTACATGGCCCTCATATTCGGCCTGATGTACCTCCTCTTTACTACTTTCACGGACGTCTTCGAGACGCAGTATGGCTTCTCCACGGCGACGTCGGGACTGGTCTATCTCGGTCTCGGCGTATCGTTGGTAACGTGCATGTTCATCGCAAAGCCGCTGGGTGAGCGCTTGACGGCGTATCATTCCGCGAAGAAAGCAGATGATGGTACCCAGCAACAGCATCGAGCAGAATACCGTCTCCTCCCGATGATATATTTCTCCCCGTGCGTGGCCATCGGACTATTTATTTACGGATGGACAGTGTACTACAAAGTGCACTGGATAGTGCCAATTATAGGGACGAGTGTTATTGGGTTTGGGTCGTTTTTCGTGATGGTATGTAGCCTTTCTCCTCCCTCCTTCTCATTTTATTCAGGGTGATTTGATTACTTACTAACACCCACTAATGGCGCAGATGTCCGCACAGCTATATCTGATTGATCTGTTCGGGTCGAGTGCATCAGCATCCGCGCTGGCTGCTAATAACGTGTTGCGGTTCATCTGCAGTACCTTTTTGCCATTGGCGGGACCGGCTATGTATCGGAGTCTGGGGTATGGGTGGGGGAATACGCTGCTGGGATTCTTGGCGTTGGGGTTTTTGCCGGCGCCGGTGGTGTTTTATAGGTATGGGGGCTGGATGCATGCGAGGATGGGAGGTGGGATTGATCCTTGCAAGTGAAGTGGGAGGGCTATAGGTTGGTGAAAGGGTACTGGTGGTGATGTTGGTGAGGTGGAATGAGTGCTGGATAGCTTGATTTATTGGTTAGTGGATCTGTAGGGTAGGATTTGGTTTTGAAGTGGCGTTCAAGTTAGATATGACACTAGAGTATATTTCATGTAGATCTTGTAGTTCGATTATCCAATGTGCATTGTTCAGATCCTGCTGTGCACTATCCAACTAGAACGCTTCCTATCATAATTTCATTCAGAATGGTGGGAGCTGATTCACTCGCAACAGGTATCTTTGATGAAGATCCCACTGCCATCTGAAATATTTACATCACAGTTCCACAGGAGGTAACCCTCGCTCTGCACACCCCTCATCAACACTTGTCCGCAGACTCTTCATCGCTGCCTCCCATGTCATTGCAGTCTGTGAGCTGCTGCCCGTTCGGCCACTCGGGTCTGGCGTCTTGAATGCATCCGACTTGTTTGCATTCTGCTCATCGTCTATCAGCCACGCAAGCCATGATAGGACAGACGTCGCCTTGTCTAAATCTTTCTCGTCCACAATGACACGCTTGAGATACCTTCCAAGCGAGAGCACATCTTCTTCGAAGGGACCCTCGCTGCTAAACGCCTCGTGCCACGAACTCATCGCATCACGGAGGTCGGATATGTTCGTCAGCCTTTGGGAGGTGAAAGTCGGTCTGTCTGGAAGTGGCGGTAGGACGAGCCGTTTCTCTGGCGCTGCAGGGGGATCTGTAGTTGGTACTGCAGCCGAATCTGAGGCGATTGGTGAACCGGCTCGCGGCGCCGTGGCAGGGTTGACGCCTGGCCGCTGTAACATCTTTGCGCGTTGTTGTTCCTGCAGCACCTCACGGCGTATGTCCTCCGGAAGCGCGGCGAGAAAATCGGCTGAGACATCCGTTGGCTCGGGTGCAGGCGAATGACGTTCAACGGGAGCTGGAGATGAAGCTGTGGCTCTGGGAAGAATGAACCGAGCTTGTGTGAGGGCCGGATTGCCTACTGACTTGGTGCTGGGCCGCCCTCGTCGCTTCTTCGGGGGAGTAGTGGGCTTCCGCATCATGAGGCCACCGGCGGAGGATGGCCGAGACGGCGGCAAGGGAGCGGCTGGCGATGGCGTGGGTTGCGGACCGGGACTTAAGGATGGCCGGCTGTAGTAGCCCAAAATCTCCGCGCGCACATCCTCTGGTAAGGCGGCTAATGTATCCGGGTCGAGCTCGGACTGGGGAGGAAGTTCTGCAGGCGCAGGCGCCCGAGGGCGACTGGTAGGGCACGGGGACTCGGAGCGTGACTCCGCTCGAGGTCTGGCCTGAGCGATCAGTCGCGACCGGATATCATTCGGCAGCTCGGCAACGACCTTGGGGTCAGTCTGTGACGGCAAGATGAATTGGGTTCCCGAAACATTGAGCGGCCGGCCACTCTCACTGAATGAAGGGACGGGCTTCACCGACTCAGTCTCCCCCTTCTGAGGACTGTCTAGAATATCAGGATCTTGACGCTCGATGCTTTTGCGGACCGGCGATGCCTTGAAATTGAGCTGTCGTTGGCCAGACTTTGAGGGAGAGCTCGTCTGGAGGTGCTGGAGTTTGGTCATCTGAACGCCCAGCCCTCTCAAGTCACCAGGTGATAGATTCATGCTGCGTAGCATGGCCACTGCCTCCTTGCCCAGAATATCGGCTGCATCCGTCGCCACGCCAAGGACCACACTCTTGTTGAATACATCGCACTTGCCATGGCCCAGATGTTTCACTGGCTCTAAGGGCGCGTCGAGTGCTCTCCGCATGACCTTGAGAGTCAGTTGTTGGCCTTTTACAAGATTCTCGACCAGTCTGCGATGCAGTTCCTGACACAGAGACCGCACAAAGTCCTCAGCTTGGGTCTGATTCACGAAGCGAATACCCCAATTGACTTCGGCAGAGACTGACTTCCTCAGAACTTCATTGCCAACTTCAGTCCGGTCAATACCCCTGGCATATTCCCAAATCTTGACTCCGGTCTTAGGCCCAAGGCTGGTCGTGAGTCTATCGCGGGTAAGGTCTCGAACATCCTTGACGAGTTTTACCCCCAAATCCTCCAGCTTTGTGCCCAGGCTATAGCCCACTCCAGGAAGATCCTGAACCGTCAAATTACCAATGAAATCAAGAACCGCATCGGGTTTGAGCTGGAATTGACCTGCAGGCTTCGCTTTCCGTAGGGCGACCTTGGCCAATAGGATATTACCCCCAATACCCACGGAAACAGCGCAGCCTGTCTCCTTCTTTACAGTGGCCCGTAACTCGTCCGCGATTTCATCAGCCCTGGCCTGTTCCCTATAGAGTGACCCCTCCGAAATGCCCCTACCATCCGAGCCTCCAGCTTCCAGGCATTGCGTAGTGATATCTACCAGGGCCTCGTCAATGCTGACACTCTGCACGATACCATCCACCGAAAGAATGGCACTGTAAAACTTCCGGCTGGCCTCTTCGTATGCTGGAAAATCGTACGGTACCACCTTTAGCTCTGGGCAGGTTTGCAGCGCACCCTTCATCCACATGCCGTTCTTGATCCCATGTGCTCGAGCCTCGTAGTTGCAACTTGCGATCTCCGAACCCGAGCCTGTGCCGTGCGCCACCGCGACAGGCTTTCCCTGTAGCTCCGGGCGCTTCAAGGTCGACACGGCTGCGAAGAAGCAATCGAAATCCACGTGCATAATGTACCTCCGAGCCCCGGGGGCTGGCTTCTTGCGTTTCAGCTGTGACTGCGACTTTTCCTTGGCTGCCGACTGCAACTGGGCTTTGAGATCGGCCTTCCACGTTGACAGGTGATGTAATCGCGACTCACTGTAGAATTGCTGGATGAACTGGGGATTCGCAACACTGGAATTCCTCATGTGTGGATCTGACAGTAGCTGCGCGTTGTACTCTTCGGAAGTCATTTCTGGCTTCACTGGGATAGATTCCCGTAACAGTGGGAGTGGCGCTGGAGGCACCTCAGGTTGGTCATCTTCTAGTTTGTATGTATTAGGTTCAGCGTCTTTATGCTCCACTGGTGACAGTTTATCTGGTGTCTCCGCTCGAACTTCCCCGGAAGACGGTATCTTAGGAGTCGTGCTTATCTCATCCAAAGAGGCAAAACTTGGAAACTGGCTATAGTCCGACTGGGACCCGTCATCAGGTGTCGCATCCTCTCTATTAGGCATCTCTGAGCGTGGAGGCGGTGATCGTTGTGGATTTGTCTTCTCAACAGATGATGCAGCCTCTTGAAGTTGGGCAGTGTACCAGCTGGTATTAGTCTGCTCGCGATAGCCAGATCGCGGACTATTCATCTGACTGACCATACGGCCATCATCGAACCTGAGCACCTTCTGGGACTGACCCTCATCAACGACCCGAAATGAGTCCCACGGTAGCATGCGACCCGCCTTGACACTCTCGACAACCCATGCCGGTTTGACGATGCGATAGCGGCGAAACTCTTCGCGTTTCTTGGGGGTCAAGGCACTGGCAATAATGTGGGTAGCGTCTGTTTTGCCGCTTAAATACTGTAGAAACCCCCCGCCATGACTCACTATGAGGCGATGCAGGTCCTGCAGTGAGGGTTGGGTGTAGCCATTGACGTGCGCCACCACACCGCGAAAGATGGGCGGGCAGTCCGCCGCAGAGGAGCGGATATCGGCATCGCGATTCTGCAGCTTGATTTTCTTACGGCGCATGTAATCGCTGAAACCCCCGAAGGCGGATGCCTCGTATTCCTCCCCAGCCTCATTGTCAAATTGATGGTTTTGGATGCGCTTGCGCACCGCGCTGGAGTTCTCGTGCAGGCGCGAGCCCATGCTGGGCGCGATGGCGGACAAGTCCAGCAGGCTGTGGGGGCGTTTAGATTACTTGATCAGCTGAAAGTCTTCCTTTCTGTCGCTCTTTTGTAGGCGGTGAGGCATGACCCGTGACGGGAACGCCACACGTAAGCACGTGATGTTGCATCTCTGCTCGAGCAGTCCATATGAAGCACCTGGTTTCGATCTTCTTGATAGTTACGTCTAGTTGGAAAATTGAGAAGCACCAGTGCAGGTCATGAATGATATAGCGTTTAAGACCGTCTACTGGACACCCGTGGCGGTTGGCCGATTGGAGATTAAGGGGGTAGGCTGGTATCAAGATCTAGTGTTTACTTCCCTTAGGAAGACAGATCTTCTTTGTTTCCATGATTTTATCGCTCCTTGAGGAAGCAGCCGCCCCATCTTTCTTTTCTCCAGCGGTATACTTGGTGATGATTGTGTGACTGCCGGGGAACAAGTGAATCAATGGTTTCCGAGACTGACAGGTGGAACTTCCCCGACCACACCTCCAATATGCCAAGACTTTGGGGGAACGATGCCCCAATAGCCGGACGGATTCGTTATATCCCCAACATCTGACTAGGTTGACTATGAACCCCTTGGTAGTAAGTATTCGCCAGTGATGTACTTTGATTGAGTTTGTTGGGGAGTTAGCTTACCTACTTGCCAGATAACGCATCAATGGCCCCTCTTTCGGGATGCTACGTTCCGCCGGCATCATGTTCACGACGTATGAAACCCAGATGAAACCCAGTGGATGATGACTGCTCTCCGTGTGCCGGAGGAAAACAGACTACGGATCAGGCAGAAACGGTCAACAGTCTATTGTTCTTCGTTTTCAAAGCACAGATTTACCGAGCGAACTCAAAAGAAGAGAACAAATAGATACAATATTTCAACTATCGCCTAAGGAACATGCGCCGTGACTTCAATTTCAACCCTCATATCATCGTAAGCCAACCGCGACACGCCAATACACGTCCATAGGTTGGTGGTTGGGCATATACTTTCTCAAATTCCGAACCATTGCGTTCAACGCCTCATCGTTGAGAGGAAGGTGGTAAGAGTTAACGCGATACACTTGACTCCATCCTTGACCACCCGCTGTTTTCAGGGTAAGCTCGACATTCGCAAAAGCCTGGTCAATTTGAGCGTTGATTTCGGGGTTGATCTTTAAGGTCGAAGGATCCCATCCACCTAGTTTTAGGGTTAATAATCCATCGATGTCATAGGATTATAACAGGACTGGGATGGAACATATGAGTTACAAACCTTGACCGGAGCACTCGATGCGATCCCCTACTTTAACTGCCTGGCTGTAGTAAAGGTCCGTTTGGCTGCGAGTGCCATAACCAGGGTATGCGTAATACTGAAGATGAGACATAATGATACTTTATGACGACGATTGGTGTTTTAAACGAAGATGATGGGTGCCCCGAGACACAGGTGACTTGCTCACTTTGGTAGTTTAAAGTCTGGTTTACAATGGGAACGGTAAGAAGACATGTCCTAGCTTTTGTATCATTTCATGGTGGCCACACAACAAGTCAATATCGTTTGATGTCATCGGCTTGGCATTTTGGGGGGCTGTTGGAGGTGTTGGAGGTATTGCAGGAGGCAAATGTTTCAAGCCGGGGGAACCTTCCCCAACGACATGTGACTAAATTTATTTCTTGCTGTGAATCTTTGAAGGAACAGCTTCATTTGATTTGCAAGCTAAGTCGTAAGACCTAGCTGTCGCTTACTGTGTGAACATTGTATGGTTCACTGGTCCACCTCATTCGGAATGATCAAACCATCTTGGGTCGTCACCCTCCCACATTTTGTTTTGAAGGGAGCTTCTGTTCCACTAATCCAGGACATCCCGACTCACAGACTTAGCTATCCTGGCAGTAGCCTACAAGAATAAAACGTTTAATACTATATAATGAATTTTACAGTTTGTTCGAGTATCGGATTGTCTAACTGCTATATCACGAACATACTGATAACATTCTCTCAGGACAAGAACGTAGACACGAAACTCGGTTTTAGTACTAGATTAATATGTGTGGTTAAGATCGTCAACCATATCGATCCCTTATGTCATGTCAATCGCCGTTCTCAATCCAAGTTACTGAATTACACTCTGGTTGCGATACAAGTCGCAGGTATGTGGGCGCTGCACACAGTATTTAGGAACCAGCGCTTTCGCCTGCACCCCATTGGCCACCAAGTACTCGCGAAAGTTCAAAATACGCTGCGTCATCAGCGTCGTGCGCTTATGTCCATTCTCATCCCGATTCCCAGACCATACCAGCTCTGCCAGAGCAGCGGCGCGCGGCCAGAACAGACTGGAGACAGTCACATCATCTACTTGTTCCGACCAGAGGGGTGCCTCCGCGCCCACGATGTGCTGGGCCTGGGCGTCAGTCAGATTTTGCGTGAAGTCATAGTCGTAGATACGCTGCCACGTCTTGTACGGCGCACACCACGAGCCTCCGTTGCCGCCATAGTTGAAGTTGGGAGTGTTTGGATCTGGATTGCTCATTACATCGTATCGGGGATCATTGGTTAGGAAGCCACCCATCCCACAGTCCAGATACATGAAGTCCGATGATGACACAATCACATCGTAGCCTTTGGCAGTCAGCTGATTGATGTAATCCAGCCCGTTGTTCCAGGTTTGCATCACGATATTTGTGGGTACATCATGCGCATGTTCCGTAGATAGCACGATATCTTCCCACATAACCAGCTGCCGCGAGGAACTGTAGTTCTGGAAGATCGGTACAGCATGGTCTACCCAGTACTGGGCCAGATCATTGTAAGTGCGCGACGGATCCTCTGCGAACCACTGGGTGACGTAGCTGCTGAAGTTAAAGCAGTTAGGCTGAATCTCATCCGCTCCAACATGGAACCAGTTGTCCGGGAAGATACCGGACAGCTCATTATATACCTCTCGGACCACATCATATGTGCCGTTGTAAATGATGTCCATTTGACCAGGTGGGGGTTCTACCGCGGTATGCAAGGCATAATCATCATTAGACCACCAGGAATCCACGCAGGTGACCATCTGGGGGTCAACCTGTTTCCATCCAGAAGCGGAATGGCTGGGCATATCAATCTCAGGAATGACCCGTACGCCGCGTGCTCGGGCATACGCTACGATGTTGCGCATATCGGCGTGTGAATATACCTCGCGCGGGGAGTAGGCATCATGGATCATCTCTGGATAGGCATCAATCTGCACTGGCCACGATTGGGTGTCTTCCATGTGCCAGTGTAGAACATTGAGCTTAGAAAGCGACATGCCGTCCAGCTGCTCATAGATCTTGCTAACTGAGATAAAATTTCGACCAGTATCAAGCATGATACCCCGGTAAGGATAGAGCGGCGCATCCTGGATCTTAACTGACTGCTCGATTATCAAGCCGCCCTGTCCGTCAGAGATGACCAGCTGCTGGAGAGTAGTAAAGGCATGGAGTGCTCCCCAGACAGTGGGTGCCTCGATGACGACTGAAGTAGCGCTCTCGGTGACCTCCAGTGTGTAAGACTCGTCAACTCCATGCTGCAGATCCGCGTCAAGATCAGCCACATTCACATCAACAAACTGCAGCGATGGCAGTGCCTGCGAGGACCGTTTAGTGACCCCGGCCGCGGCCGTCGCGGTGGGAAAAGGCTGATAGGATGACATGGGGCCTTCGGTCGCTGCGGGTACCCATTGTAAGGAGACAATAGAATCCCATGCGCGATTCCATCCATTGGCGAGAATGAAGTCAGGGGTATCTTGCGATGCACGGAGACTGACAAAGCTTGCCAGCTGCTTAGGACCCGAAGAAGTCCAAGAAATGTTGCGCGGAGCTGGTAAAGGATTGACCTTAACGGCGGCGGCCCCGGCCACGAGCAGCGTGAGGCACGCCGGCCAGAGGCGAGCAAGGAGCATGGTAAAAGTGGAAACAGGGTACAATTAGAGGCAGGTTTGTTGAAGTGTGCGGAGAGGCATGGCGGGGAGATTGGGGTTAAGAAGCAAACAGGATAGTAAAGATCAGCAGTGGCTGGGGGCCGGGCGTACAAAGGGGAAGACAGAGGGGGCCAGGAAAACAGGCGTACGAAGCGGGGGAATGCATCAAAGGGAATGATTCGAAGCTAGTTTCAGTTGGCATTCCGTAGTTAATTAGTCCGGTTCTCGATAAGCATGTCCCCGCGGGTGATGTCCTATCCGTGGAAGGAGAGTTCTTGGGTTCGGTCGCTTGCTTGCTATCGGTGAGATTCACTAGTAACATAGCTAGTCAACTCGGTGTCGAATGCCTGCAGGAATGGTCGATCTACATCGCTTAATCGGTTAGTTCGGGATGAGCATGGACTCAACCGAGTTCGTACTAGTTAGTAGTTAGTTCTTGAGTCCAACTCTCATGAAGAGCACAACCTCTGTTGCTATCCTCTGCGCCAGGAATGCCCCTAGCGATCTGCCTTGGGCACCACTCAGTATGAATGCCTGAGGCCATGACCATACTGTGTAAAGGCCGAATCAGCCACCCAACTTTGTAGACATCAGCCAATTAGTCTAATTAGTATGGCATGTCTTAGAAGGCAGACAGGCATGGGCATTGCCGGTTGAACTCCACATCATTCTTGCCAATGAGACGCCTGAATTGAGGGAAGCCAAAGAGGAGCCTGTTTGCCCGTCCGTCAGCAGACCAGGCACAGACCGCAGTTGCAGAGACATGGCAGCGCCACTTTTGCAGTCGAGTGCAACCCAAGACCAGGGTGAAATCGGGGCCTGAAGCTGTCCTACTCGACGGAAGTCTGATGTTTGGCAATGGAACTTGGGAGGATTCATGTGTGTAAATTCATAATGGCTGACGGTCACATGACTGGCGCGAAAATGACGTCGGCCCGACTGTCCACCGCGTCTCGGCGCGTCTTCCTGGCCGCCTGGCGATTATCCAGTCCAGCGGTTTCTGCACAGGCTTGGACAGCCACGCAGAGGGGGACAAATCCCATCCAGGATGAATATTCATGACGCTGATGAGCGCCCGTTGAAGAAGAGGCGCTTTTTCGTGGATGATGAAGATCTCGCCACTCCCCAACCATCCACTGATTCTGTCACAGCAAGTCTCCACACGCCCGATTCCTCGTCCCTGGCCGGTCAAGAGTCCCAGCCACAGCCTACACGATCTCAAAATGGCCTGGAAGATACAAAAGAACTGTTGATGGATGATTCTACGCGGGTCGAGGATCATGCTGTGCCACATGTGGAGCAAGAGATCGTGCAAGCGGAACACCACAATGCAGATTCGAGGACAGAGGGTGCCCTACTACAGGTGGACTACGACGGGTTCGATATATCGACGTTCACAAGTATCATAGGGGAAAACCTCTCGGCAGATTCAATACAAAGAATCCGAAGTGCTGCTGGTGACGACCTTGAACGGGCGGTCAACATCTACTTCGATGGCTCTTGGAAGAAATCCCCAACTCCTCGTGCTCAGAATCAGACTACTCTTACGGCTCGCCAACGCCCGCTTCCTACACAACCCCATAAGATTGCTACTCCCCTGTCAGCAACCTGTAAACCACACACCCAGATCCTACCGCCTGACAAGATCACATCTCGCCCTGCGACTCAGCCTCCCTTAAGATACATAGGTGCGTTTGGTGTTGGAGCCTGGGCTACAAGGAGTGGAGCTGGATTCCTCAGACATGGGGATCTTGTAAATATTGAGCGTACACGGTCCCAGCCGCTCTCGAAGCGGAACCGTGCCGGGAAGCTGGTTTCTAATCAGAAGAGTGACGTTCTCACCCGGTTTACCACTAAATCAGGGCAGGAAATAGGAAGATTGCCCCGGGAAACAGCTGAATGGGTCTCAACCCTGCTGGATCAAAGGGTGTGTACATTTGAGGGTGTATGCGTATACGTGCCGGACCGGGTCCGGGTGAATGACACCATCTATCTGCAGCTGCGATGCTACTTACGCATCGAGGCATTCCAGCCACGGATATTTAGTCAATCGATGGATGACAATAGGTCCGTTGCAATCTTCGAGGAGAAAGAAAGTGCAGATGAGAAAGCACTGCGGCTCCGCCAAGTGGCTCTTGTGAAGCTGTTTGATGAAATCCATCTTCAACCGACATCCGTCAATGACATGACGAGAAATCATAAGAAAGAAGGGTTGCTTCGTGCGGCGGAAATGGCTGAACAGCACGAGCGAGTGAAAAAGGAAAATCAAACAAATGACGACTCTTCGGAGGAGGACAGCCCTGAGCTTGAAGAGGATCAGCTTGATACCCTCTATAAGAAGGCTCAGTCGTTCGACTTTAGCATGCCTGAAGCAGAACCTGCCTCGTCATTTACATTGCATCTTCGAAAATATCAGAGGCAGGCACTATACTGGATGCTCGCAAAGGAAAAGGACAATAAGTCTGCAAGGGAGACGTCGCTGCATCCCTTATGGGAGGAGTACAGTTGGCCGTCCAGGGATGTCGACGACAAAGAACTCCCAGCTGTGGCTGGCATTGACCACTTTTACGTCAACCCTTACTCTGGCGAACTTAGCCTTGACTTCCCTGTCCAAGAGCAGCATTGCCTTGGGGGGATCCTGGCAGATGAAATGGGCCTGGGTAAGACGATTGAGATGCTCAGTTTGGTCCACTCTCATCGCATTATGCCTCAGAAGCCCACTGATCTTGTGAGGTTGCCTCAGTCGGCTTCCGGTGTCGTACCCGCCCCATATACCACTCTTGTGATTGCGCCCACATCCCTCCTTTCGCAGTGGGAAAGTGAAGCACTGAAGGCTTCGCAGCCGGGAACAATGAACGTCCTCATGTATTACGGGGCGGACAAGAATATCAATCTTAAAAACCTCTGCGCTTCGGGAAATGCTGCTGCTCCCAATTTAATCATAACCAGCTATGGCGTTGTTCTCTCGGAATACCGTCAGCACATGTCCGCGTTGCTCTCATCTATGAGCTCCGGTGGCCTATTTTCCGTGGACTTCTTCCGAGTTATCGTCGATGAAGCTCATGTAATCAAGAACCGTCTGTCAAAGACAGCCAAGGCGTGCTATGAGCTCAAGGCAACCCATCGTTGGGTGTTGACAGGAACTCCCATCGTTAATCGCCTGGAGGACCTGTTCAGCCTTGTGAGATTTCTCAAGGTCGAGCCATGGAATAACTTCTCATTTTGGAAGACATTTATAACTGTACCTTTTGAGTCCAAAGACTATGTGCGCGCCCTGAACGTTGTGCAGAGCGTGCTGGAGCCCCTGGTCCTCCGACGTACGAAGACAATGAAGACACCCGAGGGTGAACCTTTAGTGCCTTTACCACGTCGCACCATCACAATAGAGGAAGTCGAACTTCCAGACCAGGAGCGGGAGATTTATGATCTTATCTTTACACGGGCAAAGCAGACGTTCAATCACAATGTCGAAGCTGGCACTCTGTTGAAGTCCTATTCAACAATCTTCGCACAAATTCTCCGCCTCCGCCAGACCTGCTGTCATCCTATCCTCACACGCAACAAAGCGATAGTTGCAGACGAGGAAGATGCAGCAGCGGCTGCTGACGCAGCCAACGACCTCAAGGACGACATGGATCTTCAAGATCTCATTGATCGCTTCAAGGCATCCACCGAAGCAGCCGAATCCAACGAGCCTCAGGATCCCTCCGCCAAATTCACTGCCCATGCATTGAAACAAATCCAAAACGAAGCCAGCGGCGAATGTCCCATTTGCTCGGAAGAGCCCATGATTGACCCTGCCGTAACGGCATGCTGGCACAGTGCATGCAAGAAATGTCTGGAGGACTACATCCGCCACCAAACCGACAAGGGCATGGACCCTCGGTGCTTTTCATGCCGAGCACCCACCACGTCGCGGGACATTTTCGAAGTGGTTCGTCATGAAAGCCCCAATACCACACCCGAAGACGATATATATAGCAGTACTCCAACCCCCTCTCAAGCGCCTCCCCGAATAAGCCTCCGCCGTATCCACCCTCTTTCGCCGTCTGCCCATACATCTGCCAAAGTGCATGCCCTTCTCGCTCATCTTGCCCGCGTCCCTGCCAATACCAAATCCGTTGTCTTTTCCCAATTTACCAGTTTCCTCGACCTCATTTCCCCCCAACTCACCCGTGCGGGTATCCATCACGTCCGTCTGGATGGTACCATGCCGCACAAAGCCCGTGCGGAAACCCTCGCGCAATTCAACCGGGTCGAAACCTTTGCCGACCAAAATGAAATTGACAACGATGTCGACGCCAACGATTCCACCCAGCTTCCCCTCTCCAGGGCAAAGCACAGACACTCGACCGCCCCGCCCCCTCCCACCGTTCTTCTTATCAGTCTCCGCGCCGGAGGTGTGGGTCTTAATCTCACGGCAGCTAGTAATGTCTTCATGATGGATCCTTGGTGGAGCTTTGCAATTGAGGCTCAGGCTATTGATCGGGTTCATCGCATGGGACAGACACGGGATGTGCAAGTGACACGGTTCGTGGTGAAGGACTCCATCGAGGGAAGAATGTTGAGGGTTCAGGAACGGAAGATGAATATTGCAGGGTCTTTAGGACTGAGGGTTGGTGGAGATGGCTCCGAGGATGACAAGAAGAAGGAAAGAATCGAGGAGTTGAGGTTGTTATTTGAATAGTTGAGGTCTAAGGGCATAGGGACAGAAGGCTTTAGCGTATGGCATAATACGATACCAACTTAGAGATAGATTCCGGATATGTTTTGTATAGCCGGCCGGTTTATATAACAGGTTCACAGGATGGCCTATACAACAGTCCCATATTGGAATTCACACGTTATGAAAGTAGCACCCTCTCAGCTCCGGCTGAAGAGCTAGCAATGTGCAGTACTGACATCCTTTGCTGTCATAGTGATGAATAAGACAATGACACTTTGGCTGATAACTGTGAGGTCGATTCAAGTCAAGGGCAACCATGCATGCGGTAATTACTTCCAATGATCGCTGACCGTCAAATGTATTCATGCGGATGCAAGGTTCACACGCATTTCCGGACATCGAGCAGACAGAAGAATTGGTCTGTTCACCGCCTATATGCTCAACATCGTGAGAGGATCAGTCTTCTAGAACGATTAGATGCAAGCTTTCAATTACATGAAAGTGTATTTTATACGTCATTCGTCAGCTAATTCTGGAACCCACTCTCGGCACCGCAATATCGATTATATTTACTGTTTTCTCCCTCGCAACCAATCAATACACTAAACCTGCAGGATATCAGTAATGACCCCTTAACCCCACTGAGTTGGCCGAAGGGATGGTGCCTTGCTTACGGCACCGGCAGCATCCGAGTTAAGAACCCCGTGTCGGTCAGTCCCGTATTCTCCTCCTAAGCCTTCCTGTAGGGTGGATCCCGATACCATGGCCAACCTACCCCAAGGAATCCTTCCGACCCTGCCTTGTGCCCTACCAAAAGCCGATCTGTCCAGCGACACCGATGCGGTTGGTATCGCGAAGGGCCTTAACATTCCATTCAGTAGCTTGTCGCTTGACCATTTCACGCCAGATGCCTTATGGCGAGATACATTCGCCTTGACTGGAACCTTACGGACGTTATATTCCGCTGCTGCTGTCCTAAAGGCATGGAATGATCGATGCCGTTCTCGCCAGGCAGGAAGCTTTCAGCTGAGCCCCGATGCCTCGCGGGTAGTATGTCCAGCAGCAGGAATAGGCTGGATTGAGGTCCCATTCATCTTTGAGACAGCAGCTATGCCAGCGACCACCTGCTCTGGCTTTGTCTCGCTGGTCCCGGATGGAAATGGCAACTGGAAAATCTGGCTCCTCAGGACGATCCTAGACCAGTTTCAAGACCTGCCAAATGTGGATGAGTTAGAGCCTGGGCCCGCACCTACTAGGCAGCCTCTTCATGAGGGAGCAGTGTACGAATGCGTGGTTATCGGATGTGGACAGTCGGGCTTGAGTGTCGCTGGTCGACTGCAGGCACTTGGGGTGTCATATCTGGTGGTGGACAAGGCACCTCGCGTGGGCGATTCTTGGCTTCAGCGATATGAATCAATGAAATGTTCTGCCTCTGTTTCCTTCAATTGCTATTTTCTGTCAAACTGACCGAAGCAGTACACTCTGTCCGAGATGCCGCCCAGCTCCCGTTTCACCGCACCTTCAACGAGAAATATCCCGAATTTATGAACAGGGAGGATCTGGCCCGTGGATACCAGGCATGGGCTGAGCGATACTGCATCGTATGCAGCCTCAACCAACCACTCAATACGTTGCTAACAATGACAGAATATTTCATTCTCGACGGAGCTCACCTCAGGGACCTGGGATGACAACCAACGTAAATGGACTCTTCATCTGCGCCAGAAACAAGGCGAGCAAATGACTGCCAGGACCGTTACCTGTTCCCATGTCGTCATGGCCATTGGAGCTGGAGGGCAGGAGCCTGTCCGACCCTTTTATCCAGGGGAGGTAAGTTAACCCTCCATTAGGTATCTGCTAATTTAACAATAATCCAGGACCTATTCCAAGGCGATATCATACACACCGCACAATACAAAAGCCCTCGTCCATGGCAGGGCAAGCATGGTGTCATCATTGGGTCCGCTAATTCAGGTACGTATGCCCATCAAAGCAATCAACCCTATCTAACAAGACAGCACACGACACGGCAGCAGATATGGTCGGTACAAGAATGGCCTCGATAACCATGATCCAGCGCAGCCGGACATGTAAGGAACCCACTCACACCCATAATGTACCCTTCGTCCTCTAATATGTATTTCTCCAGGCATCATCCCAAAAGAATTCATGCCCCAACGAGCCCAAGGTACCTCCACCCTACCAACCCCACACAAGCCAAACCATAATAACCCCCATATCCACAACACAGGCACCCTCGCCGCCGACAAACAACAACTCTCCACCCCCCTAGCTGTAAGCCGACTCATGAGCACCCTCACCCTAGGCGCAAAGATTGCCCAGAACCCAGAGCGCTTCGACGCTCTCGAACGAGCGGGGTTCAAAGTCGACCGAGGCGCCGAAGTCGTCGCGCACGTTCACGAACGCTACGGAGGACATTACATAGATGTGGGGAATTGTGCGAACATTGCCAAGGGATTGGTTTGTTACATACACTCACATAGATTCTGCTGATGAAGATGGATCGCTGATTAGGGGTGGTTGTGGTGCAGGTGAAAGTCAAGTCCGATAGTCCTCTCGCCAGGTTCACTCGTACCGGACTTCTCTTCGAAGATGACACGCATCTCCCTGCTGACGTGGTGGTCTTTGCTACGGGGTATAAGGGGAATGCCAGGGATACGGTGAAAGAGTTATTTGGGAAGGAGGTGTATGATCGAGTTGAGGATTATTGGGGGCTTGATAAGGAGGGGGAGGTTAGGGGGGCGTTTAAGCCTAGTCCGCGTACGTTATCCACCCTATTGATATCTGCTTTGCTTTTGTGAGTGATTGAAGCTGACTGGATGGCAATGCAGATGGCCATGTCTGGTTCATATCCGGGACTACGACGCATTCGCGGTACTTTTCTCGGTTCATTGCGCTGCTGATCAAGGCGGATATCATGGGGGTGCCGGTGGAGGTGTATCGGGATACGCCTGATACAGATGAGTAGATGTTAGGCGTGGATGCAAGTAATGCACAATATATCTAGTCAGGGTTGAGGATTAAACAGCATGTCGTTCTATCCCAAGGTCTTCAGCAGTTGTAGTATTTACTATCTACACACCAAGTAAAGTTCTACAGATAGTGACTACAGTATATACATCCCCTTCCACTAGACTATATATAAACAAACCATCACTCGGAAATCCCACTCCTCCCAGACCAAAATCCACACTCCTTCACCCCCCACTCATCCCTCTTCAACCTCGCCGCAACCCCAACTCCATCCCCCCCAGCACGTTCATCATTCCCCTCCCCAAACACCATCACCTCCCCTCCCTCCCCACTATACCTCTCCCAAACCTCCCTCCCCTCATACCTACCCCCCAGAACATTCGGATCCCCATGCACCACAAACGAAGTCACATACGCATGAAACAACCCCGCAACCTCCCTCTGAGCCTCCGAAATATCCCTAACCGCAGGATTAAACGTCTCATACTCCATCTGATCACCATGGTTCGCGCCTCCAATAACAGTCTTATTCAACGCCCAGCGATACAAAAACACCGGCTCACCACAACCATCATCATTAGCAACAAACCCCGCCGTCTGCCGTACTGGACACGCATACGCATAATGCCCATACGCCGCCTCCAGCCGCTTAAACTGCCTTCCTAGACTCGGGATCGGCCTTGTCTCGAGGTATGGCGACGCCGTAGCATATACATTCGGATCGGGGTAGATCTCATCGATGGTCTGGATGTCGCTCTCGGGGTACGCGGGGAGGAGGGTTCGGAAGAACGAAGTGAAATCCTCGGAGAGAGAGAGGTTGCGAGGGACGTAGTATGTCCCCTCGTTCGAGTTGAAGCCCGTTAGGATGGGCATCCTATTCCACTTTCCTGAGCGCCAGGCGTCGATGGGCCGGCGGTGGATGATCTCGTGGTCGATGACGGGTTGGAAGGCCCAGCGGATGGAGGGGTTGTATTTGTCGAAGACGGAGATGGAGGCGGTGGTAATGGCTGAGGATGGGAGGGCGCGGAGACAGGGCAAAATGGCAGTGTCGGGGAGGTTAGTGCAGCCCGTTTCAGTGAGGAAGTCTGTGAATTGGGATTCGTGGAGGGAGGCGTTGTAGGGGTGGACGGCGCGGGAGGTGGCGGCGCCGGATTCGATGATGGCGCGGTGAAAGAGGGGGGTGTTTGGTGGGTTGTAGTTCATGATGTGGTGGGCTATCTGTGTGGCGTTAGTTTGGGGGTAGGGGACTGAGTTCTATTTGTATCTTAGAAGGGGGCATACGGAGTGCGCGCCGGCGGAGAGGCCGATTAGAGTGACTTGGGTTGGGTCGCCGTTGAAATGTGCGATGTTTTCTTGGACCCATTGCAGCAGGAGGATCTGGTCATGGAGGCCTAGGTTGAGGATTCCTTCTTTGGCGGTTAGGGTGGATGGGAGGAAGCCGAGGGCGCCGATGCTGATGGGTTGTTAGTTGAGTTGATTCGGAGGACAGGTTTGAGGACGTACCGGTAGTTGAAGCTGACTGCAACGAAGGGCTCGTCCGACCAGCCGACCATCGAGGCCGTGTTGTGTCCGGAGGCTGGATATTTAGCTGTGGGTATATAGAGGACTGAGGGTGATACACCTACCAGTGCCGCGATTGTAGGCTCCGCCGTGCACGTATACAGCGACAGGGAGTTTTCCCTGAGCGCCATGAGGCCGGAAGACATTGACTGTGAGACAGTCTTCATCACCACCTATGTCATTTGGATTCAAGAGCTGCTTTCCAGGGCACCTGAAAGGTCAGATATGATCTGAATGTCGTATAAGAAGCATACCTTGGGCCGAATTCACTAGCATCGATAATCTCGTCCGTCGCATGGACAGCCTCCGCACGGCGAAACCGTCTATCCCCAATTGGAGGCAATGCGTATGGAATTCCTCGGAAAGCATCTACCGGGGACTTGAGCGTGTCTGTCAAGGTCGTGCCGACGACAGTGCCCTGGGGGATTATGACGCGAGGTCGATTATAGAGCACGACATCTTGTAGTGCGGCCGGGACCCACGGAGCCAGAATGGCTTGAATCTGCTCGGTTGGGTGAGAGGCAAGTTGCTGGGCGAATAGTAGGAGAAGAACTGGCAACGAGGCCAGAGCAATGGAGCGTGCATTCAGCATGTTGAAGTGTAGTTTGCTCGGAGAAGGGCGGGGGACTTGTTCACTAGTTATTTATCATCGGGCCTACTTCTGAGGCCGAGGATATCTTTCTCATCTCCACTTGCCAATCTTATCTCCGCATCCTTATCGCTATCTCGGATACTTCTCCGGAATCGGGGTCGCTGACGCAGCAGGGTGACTGCATTGCTGTTAGGGTGCAGCATGATAACTATTAGGAGCTTCTAGTGATATACTGTGTATCTTTTTCTGTTGGGGATTACAGGATGTGGAAAGACTGTCTGAGATAAATATCATAAACATCTACAACACAAGTTTGAACGCTCGTGTTTCACTCTGCCTCACAAAGGGCCAGAAACTTGAAGAAAGTGTCTCGTAAAGAATTTAGCATAATAAAAATAGGTGCAGTCTGTCTAAGAGGCTTTCAAGTGATATGGCATCCCAATACTCATCGTCCCCATTGTCCCATCCTGGGAAGTATATCAAAAATTACAAACGGTAGAGATGTTCTGAGATCCAGAATATATATTTCCATGGTCACAGGACACGATTCCCAACTCAAGCTACAGTACAAACAAACTGTCTCACTGGACACATAAATTATGAGATACTAAGGCAAAGGCAACATATGTGGGCAGAAGAGCTGGATTGCTGGTCAGTGTCTCTTGCTATGCGAGCAATTCAAAGTCGCAGCACAGCCCCGCATTGCAAAGCGGAAGCTGTAATATGGAGTAGAGTGAGAAAGCGCCAATAGAAATGGTGAAACCGAGCTCAACTAGCAGAGCCAATAAGATTTCATCGTTTGAGGACTGTCGGGTCCCACCCGAGGCAGCAACGAGTGAATGCCAGAGGGATAAGGCATCAACAACATATGTGCAAAAATTTCGGGAGGAATCCCTTGGCTTGGCAGTGAGAGTCCCATCATTCAGCCACGGCGGAATATTCCAAAGCATTGGAATCTTCATATACTCACATCAACTATATACTGGGTTCCAGCTACCAAGCAGAACCTTTCTTCTAAAGTAAAGGAGCAACATAGATATCACGTTGTTAGTAGAACCCCCTCGAGGCAGATGACCTGTCTATCAATAATTCACTAGAGACTAAACAGGCTCCCCAGGAAGTGCAATTGTGCGAAGATCATCTACTGAGAGCTCCCCTGTCTTCATAAATCATGCATATGCTCAAATCCACTGCATCTTCCTCGCTGTCCCTGGCGGAAGGCCATTACATCTATGCGATTACTCCCGCATCCCCGGAGTCGTTCGCAGTGATATCATCGGATGATTCGCTTCGCGTATTTGACGCTAACAGGCTCGACCATGCGACCGTCATCGCGGCGAGTGCTCATGAGGGCGTCACGTCTCTAAAGACATATGATGCTAACCAGCAGGTGCTGGCCACGGCAGGAAGAGACAACAAGGTAAAGCTGTGGGATCTGCGCAGCGGCAAGAAGGGTGCTGTTGTGGAGTTGGAGACATGTAAGCCCTCCCTCCCCCTGAAATTCCTCTCATATTGTCTCCTATATCTATGCACAACTCTCATGATTACCCAGTGCTAACCTTCCCAACAGCGAAACAAGCCCCCATATTATCTGTCGCCTGCTGCCCCGAAGTCCACGGAGTCGCAGCCGGAACAGAGCTCGTTTCATACCAAGCCATCGTCGCCTTCTGGTAAGCCAGCAGCTCACAATATGCGCACAAATCTCCCCACAAAGTACTACAGTATAAATTCACGAGCTGCTAACTGACGCCCCAGGGACACAAGATCCCCCGGCCAAACAAGCCTGCAATACGTGGAGAGCCACAACGACGACGTAACAGAGGTATAACCCAACCCAACCCAACCCAGATCTTCCATCCACACAAATGACCGACACCACTGACATAAAACCCCAGCTCCAATACCACCCCACCAATCCGACCCTCTTCCTCTCCGGCAGCACAGACGGTCTAGTAAACATCTACAACACAACCATCACCGACGAAGACGAGGCCTTGGTTCAAGTAATCAACCACGGCTCCGTGCACCACGCCGGATTCCTCAGCAACAACACCATCTACGCACTCAGCCATGACGAGGTATTCTCCGTGCACCCGGCGACTGACCCCGATGATGCGGCCCAGGAGCCAAGTCCCATTCAGTTCGGGGATTTGAGGCAGCCGCTGGGGTGTGAGTATATTGCGCAGGTGTGTGTGGGAAGTCAGGGGGCGTATGTTGCTGGGGGAAACAAGGAGTATGTTTATCCCTTCCCCCACCTTTTCTCTTTTGGATTTTGTTGTGGATGATGATGATGTTAACGAGTACTGTAACCTGGTGTAGGGAGAACCGTCTTGATCTTATTCCGCTTGTTTCGGAGCCCTCGTGGAGATTCGATCAGGAGAATCTGTGGAGGTTGCCTGGGGCGCATGGCGAGGAGGTGGTAAGGTCGGTGTATCTTGATGAGAAGGTGTGTATCACTTCTGAATATGATGTTTACGGGATTGATTGGATGGATGGAGCTGACGATAACAACTATAGTCGCACTCTGTGTTTACGTGCGGAGAGGATGGGGTTGTTCGTGCGTGGAAGCCTGAGGGTGAGGGGCAGGGAGGTGCTCAGGCGGAAGAGGCTGCGAAGGGATCCCGTAAGGAGAAAAAGAATAGGGAGAAGGGGAGGTTTAAGCCGTACTAGATCGTTTTATTGAGAGGTGAAGGATGATTAGGGGATTATTTCGTGTTAGAACGTTTCTGGTAGAAGTTTCATGGGAGTTCATCAGAAGCATCTCGTATTTATTCGTGACGTAGGAGATGCAGCCACAATACCTGAGGTAGATGAAACCGTAGGAAATATCTCAAATGCAAAGGGTCGGTTGGCTTGCCGGCATTCTTTCCCGGGAAATCTCTAAAAGCATACATCTTATTCAGTGGATCGTTTCCATCGTTACTCGTAACTGCTATGTCACAATCGCTGTTGCAGCACATGCTCAATCCAAACGCATCCAAAAATATTATAAAAGCCATATTTGAAGGAGCCAGCCAGAGCGTACAGCCATTCAGTCCGAATAACTCAGGCAAAATCCAGCCGACCCAAGCTGGCGACAAAGATACAGAACATTACAATAGTACAGTCATAACTCATCAAACATCCGAAATATACATCCAAAAATCAATCGTCGATGATTAGTGTCCCCCATACGGGTCCTGATAGGTTGGATATCCTCCCGGCCCCGGAGCCTGACCCCAGCCTGACATCTGCATGCGCAATCGGCGATCTATTGATATGTTAGTTTTGGCCACCACACACATAATGTCTACATACCCTTCTCGAAATCACGCCACCGCTTCATCGTGATCTTGCTGCTGTCAAACTCTCCCTCCCCTGCCTCGTGCCCCTTGTCCTTCCCTTCGGACGTCTGTCGGGTGTCACCCCAGCTAAAGTCGTCGAACTTCCAGTACGAGTACGTCGGTAGTACGAAGTTCCACACTGGCAAGGACAGCAGATATATCAGCATCCACAGCACATACACAAACTTGTGCGCCGTCACCACAATCAACACTCCTGGCAATCCCAGGATCAGCGCAAGCAGTACCAGTGGAATCACTTGCACTGGCTTGTGCACAATGGAGTTGATGACCACGTAAAAGGTAAAGGCGATGGCTGCTGGAAGCACCAGCGTGCCAATCAGCTCAATGAAGATGCAGAACTGCATACTGAAGCAAAAGGTCCCGCACAAGTCTCGTACCAGGACCAGCTCCATCAAGTTGTGCACGGTGCTGTTGATCCAGCGTCGTCGTTGCGAGAGTAAAACCATGAATTTGTCCGGCACCTGCGTCTTGCAGACTGCCTGGGGCACAAAAATCTGCTTTCGCTTGGGGAAAGTCCGCAGCATCAGTGTTGATAGATACCGGTCCTCACCCAGCAAAAGCAGGTTCTTCTTGTGCAGCGTATCGACTACGTTCTCTGAGTAATGCTCCACCACATCAGGGCTCGCCAGAATGGGGACCCAGTAGTTCTGACCACCCTTGGGTGCTTTGATCCGGTACATCGAGAAACACCCGGGAAGGCACGTCACACCACCAAAGACCGATTCGAACGCCTTGGCTTGATGATGCGAGATGAAATACCTGCTTGTATTAGTACTGCAGTAACACAAAAAAACGGAGGGCACATACTCGAAGACTTGGATCATCGTCACCCAGCTGTCCTTCTTGTTGGCAATCTTTGTTTCACCACATAGTCCCATCACCTCCGGATCCTTGACCATCGCGGCAATCATGTGGGTCAAACTGTCGGGGAACACCTTGGTGTCCGCATCGACCATCAGAATGACTTCATAGAAATCGGGCGAGATGCCCGTAACCTGCCACAAGCCGTTGAACATTTCGTATTCGAGTTCTGTCATCCGCTCGTCGAACATGACCTTCTGGAGGAAGGACATCAGAATAATTTGACTGTCTCGCTTGCCCCGATTTCCCGGCTTGGACTTGTTTGCTTCGGCTGGAGTGCCGCTCTTCACAATGACCATCATCGGAACGCGCTGCTGCCTTTCCTCTGGGATGATGGAGTCCTCACCGTAATCATAGAATCCGGCATACACCTTCGCCATGTTGTGGCGCTTCGACCCGGTGGCAACGGCAACATATGAGAAGGATTGCACTTCATCCTTGGGGATAATGGGATCTTTCATCATTCTTAGGACAATATCTGGGGTGGAAAACTCCTCGCCCTTTCCTTTGATCATTCCATCGCAGATCACGAGGATAGTTTTATGACTGTTCGGATAATCGGTCATGGCGATCGAGTCCAGTGTGGTGCGGATACCCTCTTCACCTTCCGAGTAACAGGTAACCAGGCAGAGTGAGTGAGCGAGAGGAAACCCATAGGGCTGCCATTCCGGCGGTGGCTGCGGGATAACACCCTCGTGGACATATCCGCCCATCCCCGGAGCTTCCGATTCAAGCATGGCAGTTGAGTAGCGCGAGTCCTGTCCGGGAAGGGCCAGACTCGATCGACTGGCTGCTACATTGTGGCGCGAGCCATCGGGTCCTATACTGCCCCCGCTACTGTTGTGGCTCTGCTTGTACATCGAGTTGATGGCGCCTGGTACTAGGCGTGTGGTGGAGTTCTGGCTCGCCATAGTGACGTACTGGTACTTCTGCTTGCCTCCGTTGCTCACAGTGTACGGGCTGGAGAAGCGAGAGGTGGTAGGCAGAAAGCTTGCCCGTTTGGTGCCCCGTTCCACCACACTGTGATCCGTCATGCGCGGGCCCGGCCGATATATATCATTGGCCCAATCTTCGATTTGCTGGTTCCGTGTCTTGGAGTCGGAGTCCATACTGGTTCTCGGGGCGGCGTAGCGAGCGGAGATGAACCACTGGAACAGCAGAGCGAAGATGAACTTCACCACGACGATCGACAGAATAAATATCAATGAGACGTATAGGACGACCTTGGAAGCGATACATCCCACGGTATCGGTGTCAATACTGCCGACCTTGATGATCTGCGACAGGCACTGGCCAATCCTCTTTTCCTGGCCCGTTTGCAGGTAGTACGTGAGATCGACCCCACGGACCTTGGAATTCTCGCGCAGCTCATCGAATTTCGACGGCCAGTTCACCTGGGAGGCATTGAACCACTCCAGTAGATCCAGATCGAGCACGTCGCCATCATAAACTGCAAGGTTTCGGCTTGTATTCTTGGTGTCGTCCCACGTAAAATACACGTCTCCGGCGCTCTTCAAGTTATAGAAGGTCTTCCGAGCCGTCCCTGAAGTGTGACAGGCCCAGCCGAGGTAGTAATCCACCGTCTTGTTCGGTTTGGACGACCCATCTTGATTGAAGGCGTGACAGGGGAAGTACCAGGCGAGGTCGCCGGCTGAATTGGTAGGCACATCCGATCCGTCCGCCAGGGTGATGAGATTCTTGCACGCCCCATTGACTTCTTGGAAAAAGAAACTTCCGTCCTGACCTCCGTATTTGTGGGGCAGGTCCCAGAGGACATTGGAACCGGCAGGGATGCCCGCAGCAGCCGGGTGGGTGGAGTGGGAGAGATCATAGGCCTTGCCGTGGAAGATCATGTAGTTGCTACTGACTTCATTGATCCTCAGGCGTGTGGGAGGGGTTCCGCACACGGTCGCCGTGAATCCGAAGGTCAGAAAACCGACGAATGCTCCAACAAGTAAAATGAGACTGATGAGGCCAATCTTCTCGCGCCAGGCACTCCGCTGGGCCTTTTTGGGCATTCCAAAGCACTTCAAGATAAAGTCGGGAGCCCAGAAGGTAATAATCGCGCAGTATGTGGTCCACGGACTGGGTGCCCGCACCTGCTCCAAGGCTTCCTGGCGTTTTCTCTCCGCTGCGGCTGCCCTTCGGGTGATCTTGCGTGATGATCGCCTCTTCTTGATGCGACGTCGATTCGGGAGTCGTTCTAAGGGCTGGTTGATATTTCCCTCCGTCACATATACCCTATCCTTTCCTTTATAGTCCATGCTCTGGGAGCTGTTTGTTTCTGCCTCCCCTTCCGCTCCCATTAGGGGCTCATCTCCGGTCGTCGACGGCTGCGTGGGCATGTTCTGAGATTTCTGGCGATAATGATAGTGCGGATGGCTTTGGTCGACCCGACTGCGTTCCGGCTTCGATAGAGTCTTCTTGTGCCTCGATCCCGCACCCACTTCCCCTCTTTCTTCGTCCACATCCTCGCGTCTTCGGGAGCTGCGTGAGCGGTGATGGCGATGGTGGCGGTGACCTGATGGGGATTCGGCTGATGAATCATTGTGGTGGGCGCTCTCGTGGGTGCGGTGCCGTCGGCGGGAGGACTCCCGGAAGGAGGAGTAGGGATCTTCTCGTCGCGGGGAGGCTTTCCCCGGACGTTGAGGTAAAGACATGGCCCTGCAGGACGAGGATGTCGAAGTTAGCAATGATCTTCTTTGCGCAGGCAAGAGTGGCATTTCTGTTCTCGATATTCCCTCCCGTAAGGTTTCGCGACTCACCTTTTCTAGCGCATAGGCAGAACAAGGGTGGGCGAATTGATCGCGCCGTGGGGTGAGGGGTGTCCGATACGGTGGACTAGGACGCAGCGATTCAAGCGACCGAAAGATGGACAGTTATGCAGTATGGTCTGCGGATCTCGGTTGAACAGGCTCGTATAGTCGCGCGCAGCTGAATGGCCGGTGCCTGGGACAGTCTCCCACAACCGCGGATACGAAACGAATGCGAACAGGGAGATCCCAGTGTATGTAGTAGGCGAGCGAAAAAGGCCAGGAAGTGCTTGCTGTCAGAACCCCCTGCCAAGGCGACAACCGGATGGGGTTCAGTAGCGCAAAAAGGATCAACGAGCGCGATGGATGAGAGAGGAAAAGAAGGGGAAATAGTGGCGGGCGCGAGTGGTCAAAGAGAGGGTACTAATACCAAGTAGTCGAGCGGAGGAGATGGACCCGGACCCGGCCTGGGATGGTCGAGGGGCACTAAGCGTTCTCTAACACCCAATAGTAATGCCACCTTAACTTTATTAGTCGGACCCGGAGCAGTTTCTTGCGATGACTAGAATCGGCGTGGATGCGACGAGAGCTGATCAACGAAGAGATTCTAATTCGAGGATCTGCACCGGAACTAGAGGGTCAGGTACGTAGGCGTAGTGCCAGGCCGGGCAATGGGTTTGGAAAGCAGCCTGAAGGGAGGCAGAGAGAAAGAGAGTGAGAAAGAAGAATGCTGGGGCCGGTGATGAGGGGAAGCGATGCTGAATCTGGGAATATCACGGGGGTGGCCGCTTATCGTCGCCAAGACCCCAAGCAAGTTGTTAGTCTCGGGGACAGGAATGCAGAATCCGATCGGTATGTGAACTGAATCGGGGCTGTCAGTGAGGTTGGTTGATCTAGTTTAAACGGAAGAATGTAAGTACGTTCACTGCTCGGAAGCCAAACATTCATGAGTCTGTCTGTCTGTCAACCAGGAAGACAGAGACAGGCCGGGGTAAATGACGATGGCTCGGGCGTACACAAATAACTGCCCGCCCACGGGACAGCGTCGCTAGGGGCAATCAAGGCTAATCAGCTGGTTTGCTGGATAGTCTAGTCTAGTCCACGACGGGATCTGGCCCGGACCCTGACTAGCTCATTTAGGGTTAGTGCCAGTCGGCTCCGAGACATGGCCAGATTGAGGGAAAAAACAAGTGGGAAATTCCCTTAATTCTCCTCTCCACATGGTGAATTGTTCCCTTTCTTTAACTAGTCGACGAGATCCCTCTTGTAAATCGAGCTTCCATGGCCCACTGTCATTCCCCAGGCATCCATTTCCAAGCAGCTCGACTGCGATAGAATTGATCATCTCTAATAAAAAACAGAACCATCACGATAAATATTAGAGCATGTCTTAAAAGTCAAAAGTCTATTAATAGCAGTATGTGATGTTGTGTCTTTGCAGTTGCAGCCCAATGTGGTCTGAAAATAACTCATGATCCTGTTCCTGACTGGCTAGGTTTGGGCTGGAGTTTGTTAACAAATTAGTTAAATGGCCGACCCTCCAACTCGGTGAATCATTCTTGCGCCCCGTGATTGTCGGTGGACCGCCGTTCTTACCTAGCCTCATGTACTAGATAATAGCCATGACGCATCGAATACTCTTGTCCAGTGTCATATTCACAAACCCAGTGATAATCGATATATCACCAATATTCCGACTACTAGTAATCAACACAATTCTTGATTGCAAAGGCGGTGCAGCTACCTATTACACATGAAACATATCTTGCAGAGAGTACTGTCCGCATACTAATCTTCTGCTGGCCTTTCTTTCTTTTTTGTTTTTTTTTTT